TGTATTATTTTTAATTAGTTCCAACAAAAGAGTTTTTATACGTCAATAACAAAATTTGAGCTATTAAAATGGCAACATTTTAAAAACAGATTAAAAATAAGCGTGCAAAAAGCGCGTGCATTAATTCTCCTTTTAAATTGCTTTTAGAACACACGTTATTTTTTTAAAAGTTTGGTTTTTAGTTGTCTTTTATCACTGGTGTTTGATTAATATTATTTACAGTTTTTCGTCGGTTTCTTTCTTCGTACGAAGGCGGTGGGCGCTCACGCGGGACTAAATGCACGAAGGCTCTTTTCTTGGTATACAGGGTGTTCGGAATTGAAGGGCAGAAATGCGTACCTATTAATAGTACCGGGTGCATAAGCTTTATAACTAAAGAAAACTAGTGTTCCTACCCTACTATCTAATTGACAAATACGTTAGTTTGTGGGCATGTTATTGTGATATAGATAGTTCTTATAGGCCAAAAATGCTTGATAATAAAATTTTAAATTATATAAGTGATATATTACAAAGTTGTACAAGACGTTACAAAAAATTAAAAAAAAATAACTATGAAGACTTACCATCCGTTAGAACTAACGTGTGTAACGTATGTTTGTAAAGTTTTTATATATCCGACTACTTAACATGCTAAAAAATCAATACGTAAGTACAAGTACATTAAAATCGGTCAAACCGTTGCACTGTAAAAGAGAAACAAATAAGGCTCACTCCTTTTTGTGCAACAAGACCTGAAAATAAATTTCAAGTTTCAAGGGCCAAGCGTGAATCTGCCTATCAGGTATGCTGCATTTATTTCCACCCTGTATAGTGATTAAATTAAGGCCCACCCCACCGGTATAATATATACGGCCGATGTTTCTTGACCTCTCCGCTAACATGCAAGGGTGTTAGTTGGAATTTCAATGTAGGCTTTGTAACTTATATTTTAAATATTCGGCCTTACTGGGATCAAACCATTACTTACTTATTATTGTTTTTAAAAGTATACCCCGACGTAGAGAGAACTGAATAACTGCACATTTAAGCCTTTTATGTCAATTTTTTGGGGGATTCAACTCAATTAAGGGGGAATATCTACTGCTTTAAGACAAGTAATTAGGCACTAAAGACTCATTTAGCTTGGAATATTCAAAAGCCACAGATTGAAAACCGAATTGCGGCATTTCCATCTGTGTTCTATGGTTGAGACTTTGTTTTGAAGTTCTTACCATCCATTTATTCCAGGCAGAGTCTTACATGTTTCGCAAAAAATATTTATTTGCCGCATGCTCACTACGACCACAAGCCCGGAGGTGCAGGGCACACCCGGGTAAAATAAATAGTTCCGGTCGAGCCAGGCACAAAAGCCTGCCTACTTTTCAGCGTTATTGAAGTAATTTTAATCCGTTTAAAACGCGAAGTATGTGTATTTATTTTGAATGCTAACAAATATACACACGTTGACACGTATTGAAAGTATGTACTACTATAAACATGTGAACGTTATGGTTTTTCATTTTATTTTATGTAACAAACCCTTGAATTGTCGAATGATTAAATTAAAATTGTTCCCATTTATCCATATCCCATATTAAAATATAAGAAATAAGAAAACTTTTACTGTATTTGAACCGTATCCATTGCGTTGCCTCTCTAAGCAATTGGGCTACCGTGTCCTAAGTATTTTTTTCAACTTAAAAAGAATTTGATTTATATAATGCCATCATGTGCAATAATATGTGAAATATATGAGGCTGCTAGAGGAAGAATGGTCTAATAACAAAAAATATTATTTTAAGAGAGGAAAATAAAATGCGCAATTAATTTAGGCGAAAGTAAATTTTGTCGTAGTATTTGTGTAAGAATTATGTAAATACTGTCTATAGTTTACGCGAGTAGTACACATTTAAATACAACACTTTAACGGTTTAAAACGCGATATATTACTTAAACTTATTTGATAATGATTTTTAACTTCGGCCTGACGTTTCGGATGCTTTGCAGCAGCCGTGGTCACGGGGAGACATACAATTTTTACTTGGAGAGTTAAAATTATCGTTGTAATTTATCTGCCCGAATCCTACCTTAGCCGCACACGCCATTAGTAAAAGATTCACAATTAAAAAAAAAGGTTTTAATTACGAAACCTATTTTTAACTTAGAAGCAATTTCCATTCAATTTGTGTTTCAAGAACGTCAAGCGCTAATAGCGCAGCCATGTTGTTTTAGCAAATATGGCGCTCGTTGCTGTCAGATTTCCCGCCATTTAACGTTGACAGCGTAATAAGAGGTTTTATATGTTGTATTTTGGAAATAATAGATAACAATTCGTACGTTAAGTATACTTAAATTTAAGAGTTATTATTGTTGTTGCTGTTGTTATCGATTTGATATGTTACTTTATGAGAAATTAAAATACTAAATTTTACATGAATTTATCGTTACATTTACGTTAACCTTATTTAAAAAGATATTGTATTAGATATATATGATACGGTATTAAGTTCGATTTTATAATAAAGAAATATCTTGTGTCTATCCATAAACAATTCAGTATTATCTGTTTTAAGTTAAGTTATATTGTGTAAGTAATTACAATAAAACTCAGTCAGTTCTTAATAATATTTATATGTCTTCTATACTGATCAGTCTTCGAGTACAAATATAATTAAAAGAACAACAATAATAAACAGACTCTCGCATTTGGTGCTTACATTTCACGATACAAACACAGATGCATTTAATAAATAATTTATAAGTAACTTAACAATATACAATTACCTTATCCGCCATCTTAATTATTAATTACGTTTTTAACTACGGTTTCGGCATCCGAAATTCTTACGTTTAAATCTAAAAGGGTAAGCTACGAAGGCCAAATGAAATCCTTCATGCAGTAATTTTAAATCCATAAAACATTATGTACGTTTTAGTGGTATAGAATATTCACTTCTGTTACCAATAAATAAAACAGCATACTGTGTAACACGATAACCCATCTGTTTAATTTCTAGAATGGCTTTTAAGCGCTCAAAGAATCGTGGAAGTAGTTCTTAATACTTAGTTATAAAGTTGATTTTTGTGTGTCATGGAAAATAGTTTTCCTTACGATGTCGTGTTATGCTAAAGGTCGTACAGGTAAATGTTAAAAAGTATCGTTAGAAAACATTGATCCAGCATGTAATTAGCTCGAAGGAATTTAATGCACGACCAGTTATGTACTCTCTAATCCTGTGAGATTATTTACTTGAAGTTGTTTTATAACTGCGTTGCTTAGAATGTTAGTTGAAAACTCACTTTCTTCTGTACTTTACATTGTACTTGTGAGTCAAGTAATTTAATTTAAACTATAATTTACATAAGGAGGTATTACCAACTTTTAAATTTACAAATTGTGTTGCAAATTAAAACATTTAAAAAGGAAATTAAAAAAACTTATAATTGCAATTTGTACGTTTATTTTGTATTGCTACTTTAAACATAGATTTTCTATACCGAATTAAAACTCCAAAATAGCGCCGGATGCGAAATTGTTATCACTTCAAAAAAAAATGAATAATTAGTTCACTGTTGAATCCTTCACGAAATTGTATGCGCTACAATAAAATTGTTTATTGTCTCTTAATTATTTTTAAATTAAAACCTTTATTATGAAATATTGACTATTACACACATATATCAACAATTAGACCGAGACAAAGGGTTGACGTAAGACGGTTTTCAAATTTAAGCCTACATCGTAGAACAACTAGCACTCGCGTAGCAGTGTCTACGGCGTAGCAAAAATATTCTATTGATGGTTACACGCGTAGTAAAAATTTGAAACACATCAATAGAAATAATATTATCCCTTGGATTATAGCGCATGCTTATAAATATTTAAAAATTATTCTATATTTAAATATATAACGCGAGTGGGCACGTATGAGAGTTCAGATTCGATTTCCGTCCGTGCTACTTAATATGAATAACATTTTGTATGAATACCTGGTACTTCTGTAAGTATGTTTATATTTCCGCTGATTATTTGTGTTCAATGTCTAAAGTACACATGAAAATATTGAAATATTGTATGCTGTTAAACTAAGAAAACAAATGTTTCTAATGAATTAGTGTGGTAAAACTGTATATTTTTCAACTAATGGCGAAACAAGTTAGTATAAAAATCCAGATTGTATTTTAAACTATTATTTAACACGAGAAGTCACAATAATAAAGTTATTAACTGTTAATGTGAGTTTAATTCGTGAAAAAGCGTAATCACTGGTTACATAGAACTATCGTTTAGCACTAATGGCCTTTTAACGATCTACACTTGTTCGTGTCAATCAGTTATTTTTATTACATCTATACAATTACTTTGTCTGTGAAAACAAAATGTCTTCCATACATAATATGGGATAGGCGAATGACGTCACAGTTCCCAGCAATATTTTGAACTAGACTCGATCTTATTTACGATGCCATTAGATATAAATTAATAAAAATATTTTTGGAAAGTTTGATATTTTTCACATCGCACATGATGGCACTATATAAATTTAAAAATAAATCAAGTTAAAGAGTATTACATACTCTGTAGCTCAATAGACGAACGTATTGCCTATAATTGAATTAAGTACGAGAGGTCCCGGGTTTGAATCCCGATGATACGAGTCTTTGTTTTTGTCGGACAAATTCCAAAGTCTGTTTTCAATTTGATCACTGAAAGTGAATCACAATGCTTTTAGGCGAAAACTGAATTTAACTTTAATAATTTAATTTTCAATAATGTTTATTTTTAAGTACTTCCTAGAAATGTAGATAGATATTTTTTAAGTTGGTTACTTTATATCTATAATCCTCTATATCTCTGTAATCTACCTTAGAGCAGCTAACTAAGTTAAGTTTTCTTTGTATAACTAAGAAGATTGTATATTAATAAAAACACATTATATCGTTTATAATTTATGAATCCCCAGTTTAACAATTTATTATAAGTCACATGTTTTATTAATTAAAATAAATTACCATAATTATGTTCTTAATATAAATAGTGTAACTGTCAGAAGAAAGGACGCATATAGGCTGCTTGCAGATGACGCTGAAACAGAAAAGACTTGAAGAAGAAGAAGAAGTGTAGTTTACGCAACTGGTACACATTCAATGTAAGAGATTTGAACTTTTTATCAGTCCTAGATTCAATAACGGGTGTTTAAAATTCAATATAGTTTGCTCATTTTTCATTTTATAAACGGTATGCTGCATTTTGCATTTTTTAATGTATGTATGAATATCAACAAGTTACAATTGCCAACGAAATCTGTACTTCAAAACGATCACATTCGTAATATATTTTTGTGTGAATTCACAATTTTCTTTTTCATTTATTATTTCATAAATAAATGGCACAATTGAGGCAAGTTTTTTTTATTAAAAGTCTAAAGTCTCAGTCAAAAACCGACTACGTCTGATGAAAAAGATGGGGGGAAGGGTATTGCCTTCGTGTGGAAGAAAAGTACTTACTGCAGGTTCTCAACTCCTCAGAGTAAGGATGATCGAAGTCACACTGACATAGTCCGTTTCTACACGTTACCACTTCGGACATCTCTCTCAAATAACACTGGCTGGTGCGGGAACAGGTTTGGAACAATTCTAAAAAAATAAACAAAATATTATAAAATGTACTTAATAAAGAAAAAAAATTTTTTTAAATAAGTTTTAAGCCGTAAAATGTTTTATTTAAATGTGTACTACTACGCGTAATCTACAGACAGTATTAAAGAAAAAGTACAGCAGTTTTTCTAAACTTACTTTTATAACTTTAAACGCGTATTAAACGACTTTTAACAGTTTATAACGTGAATTTTTTTCGTAACTTAATGTTACTACTATTATGATAATACTCGTGTAAACTAAGTACTTATACAATACTAAAAAAGTCACATTGTTTGTTATGACAAAAACAGTTTAGCCATTTGTGTATGGGATGATACTAAAACAATGCGAGCTAGACAAAATATTTACTTAAGTATGAATTTTACATTGTGTATTATTGCAACTATATGGTTGTGTTAACTGTTCTGTGAATAACACAAAATTAATAGTTTTTAAAAAGACCAGATAACGTTTAACATCTCCTGATGATGCCGTCCACACGTGATGGCGAAACGTCGAGAACCTCTTCTCGTTCACATCGGCCGAACAGCCCGAAAGACAATGATATGCTGAACGATGGCCGTGAAAACCTTACACAATTTATTACACAATTCAGATAACGTTTACTTAAAAATCTTATCTACATTGATAATATTATTATATTTTGTTCCTACAAGCAACGAAGAAGCAGCTGTTAAAACTGTGATTACCTGTCCTCGGCCAACACATTTCGTCGCGATAATGGTAACCATCTGTGCAGACACATAGACCGTTCACACAACTGCTCGCATTTCCCATCGATGCCTGGCACTGTATACTGACAGAACAGGTAGCATTCTGGCCAGGAGATACTGAAAAAGTGAAATAAGTTCGTTGTTATGATAAAGTAAAAAATATTGTTTTCTTTCTCGTAAGAATTTTAAAGACAACTTGTTTCTCCGCCTCTATTCTAGCCTTTACTGGTTGTACCCACGACGTCGTCCGCATACCGTCGTTCTTGCAAGTTAATCTTAAAAGATAGATATATACGTACTATGGCGGATAATTTTAAGATCGTTTAAAAAGGAATCATTCTGTCATGCATCTTTTTTGGGTATCTTAAACCGTTTAAACACGGACCCACGCAACGAAAACTCACAAAGATGAATACTTTTACCCGTTTTTCCACACTTCCCACTTCTTCGCATATTGATCTCAGCGTGATGTTTTAGCCTAAAGCCTTCTTTGATAAAAGCTCTAGCGAACACAAAAATAATTTTTCAATTCGAACTAGTAATTCCTGAGATTAGCGCGTTCAAACAAACTCTTCATCTTTATAATTTTAGTATAGATTAGTTATTACCTGTATAACATTGTTGATCAAAGGCGACTAGATTGTCTCTGCATTGACATGTAGATCCTTCGGTTGTGTTCAGGCAAACTGTATCTTGTATTACACAGTCTGTGTCTTGTGCACAGGGACCGCCGATAACTAGAATTAGAATTTAATTGTATTTAAAAAACTTTTGGAACAAAGAATTTCAAAGTTAAAGATCAAAGTTACTAACTAGCTAACTTTGTTTATAAGAATTTTAAATCTAGTTAAATCTCAACGAAGGTAATACAATTTAAATCTATCACTTTTAACGGATTAAAACGCAAAATATATGTCAAACTTTTTAAAAGGAATAGAATAGGTGAAAGATTATTCAGAAACACAACACTTAGAATTAGAACTAAATCTATCAAACAATATAAAGTAGAAAAACAATTTTAATTTATGTTTTAATTAAATAGTTGCCTCTGAAAGGACGTTGGGACTGATGTCCCAACACTGATACCGAGCTAAAGCACGCGAGATCGTTTTACATTTTGTATATTACACTTAACACAAACCAACACTATTTATCTTAACTAGGACCCGACGTTTTGGCTGCTTTGCCAAAGCATGGAACTAGTCATTTACGGTATTATATAGAAATTTAAAGAATATGACAGTTTACTGCGCGTCTTACGTATTAAAAATGATGCAGAAAGAAAAAATATATGATTTATTGATAGAAGTAAAATTAATTACCTGGAGCACAATAATCGCCATCTTGTTGGAACCCAGTTGCGCAAGCGCATTTCCTATCTGAGCACACTGCGTTTGCTGTACCATTGCACTCCTGGCTCGCTTGACATGTATCGCCGAGAACTAAATAAAGTAACAATCATTTACGTTTACGATCCGCTTAATACGCCACTTCACGCTAGTCAACTTGATACATATTCTCATATACTTAACGCTTAATACGATAGCTCATCCCGTTTAATACGCCCGAGTCAACGAGAATAAATGAGATATTTAACGCTTTCGATATAAAATCACAAACAACAAAACTCAGAATCGAAAAGAAATTAAACTTTTAAATAAAACATTTTAACGGTTTAAAACGCGGTATATTTAAGTTAAACTTGTTTGAAAATTAATTTTAACTTAGCTGCAGCCGTGGTCACGGAGAGACTTAAGCTTTAGGAGAAATTAAACTTCTTCTTTGGGAGATGTGCAAAGAAACAGTCCAAACGTTGGAAAGTCCTATAAATATGCCAGAAAGCAAGTAAAAAGTTTTTCATGGTATAAGTTATTCTTAAACCTCTATGTTACCTGTGAAACTGTTTGTTGTACTCTATTTTTTATTTTCAATTCCGTATAATACGTTACTGTGATATTTCTGTTTGTTTCCGGTTTTCTTAAATAAATATTTGTGTATTATCCCTGAGAAATCGTCGTAAGCGGGTTTAACCGTAGAAAAAATAAATTGATTGTTGTAAAAACTCGTGTTTGGTAAAGATTATATAACTATAATTATTGTTAAATAAAAATGTAATGAGAAAAAAATATCATACTGTCTGGCCTTGAACCAGAACCGCCACAGTGATCCATGGCGCTGATCTAACTATATGAAGTTTCCAAATATAAATTTGTTTCTACCCAGTCCAGATGTCAGACACAATCCATCCAGCTCCGTTAAGCCTGGCGGGCACCTACAGAACCCTTGACCTTGGTCGTCTTTCTCACACGTGATCTCCAGATCCCCAGCCAGACAGTCGTTGTCAGCTTCACACTGTTCACCAACACCTGGAAAAACGTGTCTTATGACAGTGAGGCTTTTTCACGAATTGGCCGCACTTTGTGAACTTTTTAACCAGCTACGAATACCTAAAGTGCAATGTTTTCTTTCTTTTTTTGAATTTATGCCATCAAGAGATTTTCATTTATTTAACCGCCTCTGCAGTTAAATGATGGTGTTGCCTAACATTGCGTAACGCCCAAACGTGGTTACGCACGTTCGGTCGGACAGGGCACGGAAGGCTCATAAACTACTTCCCTGTAAACCTACCATTCCTACCACCTAGTAAATATCCAGATTAAGATAAAGTACAACATGTCTAAAAAAATATATATCGCCGCAGGCATCCTATGAATGCTGATTATGCCAAGCACAAAATTAATTAAATTCGGATCAATTAACTCCTGAATAATCGTTATTATTTAATTAATGAATTACTGAATCATAAAAGACTTGTTATGTTTATTGGTTCAAAAATATGAATTGTTAGGCAATGTCAGCCATATTGAAATGTAAGATTATTTAATTTAATCGCCTTAAATTAAAAAGGCTTTCATAAAATCATTTTACTTGTTAAATAATTAAGTTAAAATTATTATCAAATTATAACAAACTGCTTTGTTAATAGTTTCTTCTAAACTTCTAATTAAATTTAAAAAGTCAAGCGATTGTACCGCCATCTAGTTGTTTGACGTCGCAACAAAGAGACAATTACATTGTGTAGTGATTTTAAGTGGGGGGAGAGCGAAGGCTCAGCTGGGTCGGCCAGTTGAGTGGGAGCTCACTTTGCTGCGGATTTTTGAAGCGAAAACATTGTAAGTAAAATCCATGTCACTCTGTATAAAACAATAGACTTAAACTTATTCTGTATTTTGATTTACTATCTAACATTAATCTTTATTGTGTTAATGTTACCTTTAAAGAGAACATTGAGTTTAATCGTTGTTTCTTTGGTTGAAATACAAGTTTAGCGCTTACAATATTGCTGGCAGAACTGATGACTAGTATAGTCTGAGGTTCTGCTTATTTTTTTAAAAAATTATTCACCTACCTTAAATTCGACATATATAAATTGATTAGGAACACGTTAGACCACCAGGTTGATAATCGTTATTATTTGACCATCGAGCTCTCTACTCACCTGCGAACAGTCTACACAAGTTCCTGTCAGCATTCCATACAGCGTTTTCGCTTATACATTCGCAAGTTCGTAGTCCCCAGGGCTCCTTTGGCGGTCCGCAGCGGGACTGCGCCCCGAAAGTCCCGCAGTTTCCGTCAGTGACGCACGAATCCGTGATGCGGCGGGTAACTAGAGAATTCAAAATAATATACCGTCGAATTGCTATTTGCTAGGCGATGAGACTGATTTTAAAAAATGTACTTTATATTATTTGGTAGATGTTAAGGAACATAAGAAAATTAGTTTTAAATTCTGATACATATTTGTTGAAATATGAAATATTAAAAATTCTACTTTAAAATTGCGCGTTAACACTAATTTTACGAAATAACGCTGCGATACGGCTTCTGACGTCACGACCGTTGGCCATTGGTGTATGTCGATCATATGACCTACATGCATTTGTACAAAACATTAACATTTTAACAGTGATTAAAGTAATAAGATGAGTAACAAATTGATTTAATTAATAATGCAGTGATAGAACAGTTTTAACACTAGGAAGCACGGTGGTTTATTGCACTGTTTATAAGCAAGTGACGTCGTAAACCCGACCAATCAGGAGCGTTTTGCGTCACAAATGTTTTAAGAAGATTTTTTTTATTATTTTTAACGTATATGACAGTTTTACTATTTCCAAACTTATACTTATTATTGATAACACAATTGAAGCTTTATTTTTCGCCAATAGTTATATGTATATGTAATTATAGCCAATTGCTCTCAATGTTAATATTGTTGCAACACCAGAAGCAGTTGCCACTTTAGACTTTTTAAAACGGTTTAAAACGCGATATATTAGTTAAACTTATTTGAAAATGATTTTTAACTTCGGCCCGACGTTTAACGTCTAATCATCTAATGATTTGACTTATTTATATTTTCATAGTCTAAATATGTTAATCTACAATCGCACAGTGACCAAAAATTATCTACGTCATTCTTTTAAATAAAACACTTTAACGGTTTAAAACACGATGTATTAGTTAAAATGTCTCCCCGTGACCACGGCTGTTGCAAAGCATCCGAAACGTCAGGCCGAAGTTAAAAATCATTTTCAAATAAGTTTAAGTAATATATCGCGTTTTAAACCGTTAAAGTGTTTTATTTAAATACTTTAGTCTTAAGCAGATCATTCATGTGAATGCACATCTAAAAATTAATCGTTCTTTTTACTTTTTAAAAACGCGTTTGCCCGCTCCCGACTTTTGACTATATTTCAATTAATGCATAGCATATTGTTTATTTGTAAACTCTTCCTTTAATTGTAAGTACTAGGACTTTTGTGAAACGTACCTCTAGTACAATCTCTCATATTTTGTTCGAAAAAGAAATTGGGACGACAAGTGCACACTCCATCAATGACGACAGCCAGTAATCCATCACACTGGTCTGGTGTGGATGGTGTTCCCAATTCTGCAAGAATATAAAAAAAAATCAGTAATTTGAATAAATAAATTGAATGTCCCGCATTTGTCTAATATAGTATAATACATTTCTTACCTGCATAGCACTTATTATTATATTTATAGAAGCCTCTAGGACACACGCAGGCTCCAAAACTGCATATAGATGGTGAAGTACAGTCACTGTTAGTAGTACAGTTTATATTATGTACAGAATCCACTTCACGGTCTGATAACGCGGTTAGCATGTCTATAGGTTGAGTTAGTGGCTCGCTAGATGGCGTTGAAGCTGAAATTAAAAACAAGTAAATTTGTTATTTAATTTTTAAGTCTATGATCCCGTGACCTGCAAAGCATCAGAAAGGGTAGACTGTCTTTGAAATAAATAAAAAGTAAGTTATTTAATATATTTGATAGAAACAGAACATTTAAATAAAACACTTTAACGGTTTAAAACGCGATATATTAGTTAAACTTATTTAAAAATGATTTTTAACTTCGGCTCGACGTTTGGATGCTTTGCAGCAGCCGTGGTCACGGGAAGACTCAACAGAGAAACAAAACAGTTTTTATTTGGCGTTAAATTGACCAACAAAATTGATTGATTGATTGATTTAAAAATAATAATAGCTATATGTATCTATCTATTATTTAATTGATTTCAGATGGAAAATTAGTGTTGTGGCCATGGACGTGTTCGCCATACGTATTTCATGTGTACTGCTCGTACATCTACAGACAATAGTTAATAATTCTGTATTTCCTCAAAATACCCTACTTGGTATTTCGCTGCGTGATCGATTCCAAAAGGTCAAAGGCACACTTTTGCGTGACCTTTCCTAATTAAAGCAATGACTAATCAAATAAGTCAACTCGTTATAATAAACTAAGAATTAATTAAGCGTTTATTTTCATTATTGCAGAATAAAAGCTACAATGTACTAACGAGCTTTGATTAAAAATTATCACCCTTGTTCATTTTTTATATTGTAAATTCAATCCGTCTAGTCTATCGGTTTGAGTCCAACCTTAGTTTTTACAAATTCTTTATTTACAAAAAATGTTGTACATTAGGTCTTAGGCTGTACTAGCCCCCACACTAGGATTCCCTGTGTCGTGGGCGGCTAGTCTCTTTCGGTGCATTGAGAAATACGAATTAAAATATAAGTAACTACGTACAAAGTTCTTACATGCTAAGCAATGCTTCTACGCAGAAAAATATAGTAAATAGTATAGTGAGGAAAAATTAAACTTTAGTTATAGCCACTATACCGTTAAAATATTTTTTTTGTGACAAATATGCTTGCAAATTTGAGCATTATTTTGACAAGCTTCTAGACAAATCGACTTGCGGTACTAGTCGAGCAGCGCCCGGCAATAGTTGTGTGAAAATGCATATTTGTCGTGTTTAACGGCCCTATAAATTACTATGTTTGACACATTTGTCGTCTAATTAAAAAATTGAACTATCTTCCACGCCACAACATGGCGAACAAAGAGGTTACTTATCAGAGGTTTAATTAAAATATCGAACTGGCTTGCACATAGGAAGTTGTTTAAAGAAAAAAAAATACTTTGGCACAAAACTATTGACATTAGTGGTTCGTCAACTTATCTTTTACTTCGTTTAAAGATCTGAATTGTACAACTTAGTTTTAATTTGCGCGAATTATTCGAGAAAAGCATTAATGGACTTTACGTATATACACGTTCGTCCGTCATTGCCTCTCTTGTCGCTGCAGTAATGTATTAATAAGAATTTAATTGTTAAACTTAGCCTAACATAAGTTATCACTTCTAGGGCGTATTGAGACAAACGCGTTAATACTTACCGGTCATGTTGGTACAAGAGAATGTTTGTACATTACAAGTTCCATTCGTGAAGTGACAGTCATCGTCTACCACGCAGCCTTCCCCGACACCTAGAATATAAATTGTTTGATAATATATAAAATAAATTTTACGGGTCACCTCACCGGCATCCGTGTTGTTACTATAACCTATTGAGCTACATCGTCATCGTCGAATTTAAATAAAACACTTTAACGGTTTAAAACTCGATATATTAGTTAAACTTATTTGGAAATGATTTTTAACTTCGGGCCGTGACCACGGCTGCTGCAAAGCATCCGAAACGTCGGGCCGAAGTTAAAAATCATTTCCAAATAAGTTTAACTAATATATCGCGTTTTAAACCGTTAAAGTGTTTTATTTAAATGTGTACTACTCGCGTAAACTATAGACAGTATCGTCGAATTTTTTCAACTTATTGATACATGCTCTTCTCGCCCAATGTCGGATGGATCACATCTTAATTCAACGCACAGGAGCATATCATAAGCCAAAACTTATTTGTGTACTACAAGGCTCTGATCACCTGTCGCAATCTTTCTACATTCCCCCCTCTGTCGTTCGTAGTATCCATCTGCGCAGACGCACACTTGATTGCACTTCAACGCATACGGGTCTCTAGGTTCTGTCAAACACTCCTCATCTCTCTCGCATGCCTCTCTGTAACCCTTGGTCGGCCAGCACCTGCCCAGGAAAAAGTGGTTCCCGGGTAGACATGCGCAGGTACCAACTGAAATTATTGTTGTAATGTATAATTCGGAAAATGCGAGGAGGATCCGCGCACTCCGGGCTTCCCACCACTACAAGTATGTTATTAAAATTTCACTTTTATGAATCTATACTAATGTATAAAACTGAGGGATTTGTTTGTTAGTATGTTTGAACGCGCTAATCTCAGGAACTACTGGTTCGAATTGGAAAATTCTTTTTGGGTTGGTTAGAGCATTTATCGAGGAAGGCTGACACGCGATGTGAATAGAAGCGAAGGGTCAAGAACCGAAAAACTATTTATGAAAGAATTATTCCTTTTTAAACAATGTAAAAAAGTCCACACAGTTGCAAGAACGACTGGACGCGGGCGACGTCGTGAATAACAGCTTACATTCATAAACATAGGGGTTTGTAAAAAAAAATTGGATATCCAACGTCGCTGCCACAGCTACTTAATAATTTAAGACTGAAATTTACGTCACGGTGTTGTTGCTCTAACCAAAAGGACACGACAGGTAGCTAAATTGTCATAGAAGCTGCTAGTGCCGTAATTCGTCGCGTTTTATACCGTTTGGTGTATTATTTATATATTCGCGTAAGCGATATATTGTGGAATTAATATTGAAGCTATCAAATGCACTTCGTGTTTATTGAAGAAAACTATAGTTACCTAGACTGCCGTTGTTCTTGCGGCACTCGTAATTTGCCCAAAGTCTGTCACATTGTATATCTTCATAGCAGGGTGATGAGAGGTATGGCGCAACTAGAAAATACAAAAGTCTAAACTTGCTTTTCTCTTTTTTCCTTTCGCGTTTGACTAGAAATATTCGGTAGGTAGTTGTTCAAAATGATGTATGTGTATTTTACAGCTGTTTAAATTTAGAAAACAATTTGAATTTTCGTTATCTCTCAATTTTACTATCTACATTATATCCGTGAATAGGAAAATAAATAATAAATACATAACTTTACCCTCCGTTAATTAAATGAAATACTTTTATATTTATTTTGACCAAAGTCTCAATTACAGATGAATATTTAAAAAACCTTACCTCCGACACACCTTGTCCCCCTAAAAACTGGTTGTTGTCCACCAGGGCACTCGCATGAGCCGCTAACACAAACGCTACCGGCCTGGCTTGAACAGTCGTCATCTACTTTGCATGACCAGAGGGCTGATGATACATGGATGAGGGCTGAAATAGTAAAAACCATGGACAATAAAAACGTTGAATAGCACATTCATTTTTTACGTTTAAACGAGAAAGGTACCCTGCTTGATTCCAAGTCAAAACAACTTGTCTGTAAATGACGTCAATTAGTAAAACAAAAAAGAAGAGATTTTCGTAAAGAGACATTCGTAAAAAAAAGTATTTTGAATTGTAACAGACAATTGATGAACGTCGTTCACAGATGATAAATTTCACGGCTTTTTCATCTGTGGTCCGAGTAAAGACGTTGTTAGTCTATGGACTTCTGGAAGTAATTAACCAAAAAGATCGACAACGTATTTTAACTATATTAGACATCTGGCTATGCATCCAATGCTTTGTTATCTAATAAAAATAAATAAATAGAAATAACTCACCGAAAACCAATATAATTCTGTCCATTTTATTATTTATAATTAAAAACGATGTGTCAACTGGTCATTGTGTTGCTAAAGATTAAACACCTGTTTGATACTAACTTTGATTATATTTTTAATCGCTGTTATCGTAGATTAGCTTATACATGGTGTTGAATTAGGGTAAGACGAAAAATATAATTCACAACAGGAAAAGTTTGTTTTTCTTGAAATTTTCCTTTACTTGAAGTTGAGATGATAGCGCAATGCGATACTTCTATCAGAAAAATCTAAGCGTATGTTGATTAAAGCAATCTTAATGAAATTTAAATATATTTGTAAGCCTAAACAAAATGAATAAAAACAATTCAATTAAGTATCGCCACTTGTAGATTTTACATCAATGCATATTAATTGAATTTCTATACCCTGGGGACCTTATGTTTCCCCCGGATTCAAACCTAGGCCATCTCGCAAGATATCGAGATTACGTACATTTGTTATGGATATACAGCCTGATAAATTACTTTACTATGGGTAAGAAACACAAGTTAAACTCACAAAGAAATGTGTTCGCCCAACAACGCCACAACGGAATATAGGATTACACTTATGTTACAATTCAGCAAAATGAAGGAATAATGTCAAAGTGTGAAGTTTGTTTTAAATTCCTACTAGATTATCAATGCTTAGTATCCAAATTGATGGATTTTTTTAGGTTGACTTGATGAGAGGTGAAATAGCCCAGTCACATAACATTACAACAAGATGCGCGGTCGACCTATTTAGGCTTTAGATATTCACAGGCTGAATGCGATTAAATCTGTACTGTTATTTCGATATTACTGCTACCCATTTGATAGATCAGATTTCAGATGAAGTCCAAAATGTTTCATAAAATTATATGTTCATTAGAAACATGTTGGAACTGTCGGGGATCGAACCCGCGTCCCGTTGATTATTAATTAACATTGTTAAAAAAGAAAGGGAGTAGAAAAAACACTAGTTAAAATATGATTACTTTACACAGATTAAAACAATTAATGATGTGACTCTTTAGAGTACAACCACGTAGCCACGTAAGTAGATACGTATTAAATCTGCGTATTCAATGCGCCGTATAGTAACTGCTATATAAAAATGTCCGTCAAAAGTGTCCGTGGCTAATGAGTGTACAATTGATTTGTCCTTATCACTTATCCATACACCTGCATAGATATCTCGTATTATCTATGACTCGCTTTTCGACGCGGTGTTACCTATGGTTTAAATAGTAATTATGGTCAATTGTAATATATTAAGAACACAGTTGTATTTTTAGCAAATGGATTTTTTTTTTTAATATCACTAGGACCTTCCTTTTGATCACACGAAATTGACATCAAAGGTTATCTTTAAATATTGCAAATGTTTCGTTAGGTATATTTAAGTGGTTTAAGCCTTTGTCATCAACTACACGCGCCATCGACGCAGTTTATTCAAATCAGCTTAGTAATTACACGGGTGGTTTACATTTTAATATTACATTTTAACGGTCCCTTGTCTTCCAGTTTGAAACGTCGGACGTAGTAAAAATAAATAAGTTTAACTAATATTTATCGCGTTTGAAACCGTTAAAGTGTTTTATTTAAATCAGTAATTTACTGTGTATAGTAGACTAACGAAATCTTTAACCTCCCTTTGCCAACGTGCTTAATTCTTAGTTCGTATAATTTTACTAATACTATTAATATAATGTATTATAGCGTCATCTCGTAACAGTATAAGCAAACATTTTCGTGTATGTAATGTATGTAGATGATATGTATTTGATTACTATTAGCGACATCTATATTTTTAAAAACTAAATTTTAAGGAGGTGTGTTTATTGATGTATTAGGTAAGTGTTTTTATTTTAAATTACAACCTCTTTATGTTCTTATATAAAATTATATCTAATAAAATAATGTTATAAAATAAATAATAGTATAGTAGTTGTAGTTATTATAATTATGTTAATTTATATTTTATTAATGATAATATGTTTAAAACATATTATCATGTTGATATAAAATTTAATAACTGTTGATGGCTTCTATTCCAAAATAATACTATAGGTTATGATCTATAAATTGACATCACCGTACAACTGGTTCCGTGGTGTAGTGGTTATCACATCTGCTTTACACGCAGAAGGCCGCCAGTTCGATCCTGGCCGGAATCATATCTTTTTACTTTTTTCATAAATCCTTATATACTTTCTATTCATAAATCATAATATATTTTATTAGAAGACTTGATAATTAAATTATTTAGGAGCATTAGTAAACAAAGCATGTTTATTTTTATCCTTGTTAAAGCTTGTTTTACAAACCGGATTCAACAAAGTTCAAGAACTGCGCTATGCACAGAGTAAGCTAATATAGGCATTGACAACGTCTATAATATAACGTACACTACTACAATGTTTCGTAAAAAAATTTCGAATACCGTGCTAACATTTACCTTAACCGAAAAACGAACCCTGGACCTCATAATTTTCCATCAAATGCATCAACGAGATTAATTAAGCATTGTGCTTACAGGAAACGTTCTTTTAAACATGTTTTACGCAGTATCTGATATTTATTACTCTGTGTAGTTAATACGCAAAAAAAAAGTTAGTTTTGTCCTTGCTGGAATCTAAACAAGACGTTTACGAATTAAATTGTAATTATATTAATATGTTTAAAATTAATAATTATTATTGTAAATAGGTTTATAAGTTATGTGTTTTATTGAATGATTGGTAAGTTATAATTAGATAAGGAAAACGTCGATAAAAATAAGAAGCAATCTCCGATTTTAAATAAACCAATTTTAATGGTTTTAACCAAGAAACATATTATTTAACTTATACTTGTTTACATTATCATTGGCGAGTACTAAAAATGAAAGTTAACAAAAATATTTCGCGTTTTATTCCGTTACAACTGTTTTATTTCAATGTGTTTACACGCTACTACAGAAGATTTTTCCAATGATAACTGAGTTTTAAGATTTTTTCTTGACAAAATTCTAAACCACCGTTGCCGAGTTAAAATCCGAGGAAAGATAGTAAATATTCTCTTAAATAGGCTATAGTGTCTATGATTTAACCACAACGTATATACTAGATAAATGAAACAGACATAGAAAAATGTCTGACGTGCATTCGTGTAGGAGAAACGGGAATTCCCATTCGGATATTTAGCAGTTTTCTAAGAATCAAGACAATAAGGAAAATGGTTGCAAATTTACATATATTAACATATACTACGCTTTTTATATCCACTCTTTTAAGATGAAACCTTTATAACTCTAGATTAATAAAAAATAATAATGTTGTAATAAGAATAAACAACATACAATAACTTATGTTGCAAAGGTTTCGTTGCTAGTATTGCAAAGTGCTCGGCTTTGATGTATTGTTTCGCTAATTGCGCGCACGCAGATGTAAGTTTCTGCTTTACACTTACGCGCATGGCTTCACTATTGTAGATAATTAGTAAAATATCTTGTTTATGTTTAATAAAGTTTTGTATTAAATATGTACGTTTTATTTGAAAACATTTTTTTACAGTTCAAACGATGAAATAGCCATTACGTGACAATGTATCAAAAATGGTCGTCCGTTGTTTTTATGTGTGCATTTCTCAACTTCGGATATACACAAAGGGGTAAGAATATCAATATGTGAAAGATTGATACATTTTTTCTCAATAGACAACTTTCTACTTTTTGTAGAATCTATTCAATGTTATCAAATACTAACAGAACTGGCAGTTTTGCTATAATATGACTAATTTCCCCCTTTTTTTTTACATTTATTAATCGCAGCGTGCAGCTAAAGCATTCGGTAAATGTTCTAACACAAAAATTGTTTTTCAAACCAGTAGTTCTTGAGACTAAAATAACTTCTTTAGTTTAATATATTTCTTCAGCTGTATGTTAGTAAATAATGAAATAAAATCAAATAATAAAATCATGTTTTAGTTGGTGATCTATGTACAGTGAAGCACACTAATGTCTTAGGTGTATGCACTCCTGGGAACCGGTGTGTGTCGGCTAGGGAAGATCTTAAGTAAGGAAACATCCTTTTTGCTTCATATATCATGAGGTAGACACACTTTACTTTACTTCTAGAGACGAGATCTATCCATCAACCTTCTGTTCTTATGCTTACATTTAAAAGTGATGTGTACCTTTTTTATGATAGAGGCACACAGACAAACATGAAGGTCACATAATGGAAGCACAGATCTAAATACTGTCTATAGTTAACGCGAGTAGTACACATTTAAATAAAACACTTTAACGGTTCAAAACGCGATATATTAGTTAAACTTATTTGAAAATGATTTTTAACTGAAACGTCGGGCCGAAGTTAAAAATCATTATTTTAAAAATCGAAAATAAATTGAAAAAATTTTCGACTCGGGCAGGACTTGAACCGGCATCGTCAGCTTTCCGTGCTGTTGCTCTACCAATTGAGCTACCGAGTCCTACACCTCATCGTCGAATTTTTTCAACTTATCGATACATGCACCTCTCGCGCAATGTAATTTCTACCTTAACACTTGCGTATTAAGGCTCAATGTCTTATGCTTTGCAGCTTAAGAAATCATTGAAGATGAAATTACAAAGTTATAACGTTTGAAAACATTAATATTTTTCACATGTTATTGCACATGAAGGCACTATATAATTTAAAAATCGAAAATAAATTGAAAAAATTTTCGACTCGGGCAGGACTTGAACCGGCATCGTCAGCTTTCCGTGCTGTTGCTCTACCAATTGAGCTACCGAGTCCTACACCTCATCGTCGAATTTTTTCAACTTATCGATACATGCACCTCTCGCGCAATGTAATTTCTACCTTAACACTTGCGTATTAAGGCTCAATGTCTTATGCTTTGCAGCTTAAGAAATCATTGAAGATGAAATTACAAAGTTATAACGTTTGAAAACATTAATATTTTTCACATGTTATTGCACATGAAGGCACTATATAATTTAAAAATCGAAAATAAATTGAAAAAATTTTCGACTCGGGCAGGACTTGAACCGGCATCGTCAGCTTTCCGTGCTGTTGCTCTACCAATTGAGCTACCGAGTCCTACACCTCATCGTCGAATTTTTTCAACTTATCGATACATGCACCTCTCGCGCAATGTAATTTCTACCTTAACACTTGCGTATTAAGGCTCAATGTCTTATGCTTTGCAGCTTAAGAAATCATTGAAGATGAAATTACAAAGTTATAACGTTTGAAAACATTAATATTTTTCACATGTTATTGCACATGAAGGCACTATATAATTTAAAAATCGAAAATAAATTGAAAAAATTTTCGACTCGGGCAGGACTTGAACCGGCATCGTCAGCTTTCCGTGCTGTTGCTCTACCAATTGAGCTACCGAGTCCTACACCTCATCGTCGAATTTTTTCAACTTATCGATACATGCACCTCTCGCGCAATGTAATTTCTACCTTAACACTTGCGTATTAAGGCTCAATGTCTTATGCTTTGCAGCTTAAGAAATCATTGAAGATGAAATTACAAAGTTATAACGTTTGAAAACATTAATATTTTTCACATGTTATTGCACATGAAGGCACTATATAATTTAAAAATCGAAAATAAATTGAAAAAATTTTCGACTCGGGCAGGACTTGAACCGGCATCGTCAGCTTTCCGTGCTGTTGCTCTACCAATTGAGCTACCGAGTCCTACACCTCATCGTCGAATTTTTTCAACTTATCGATACATGCACCTCTCGCGCAATGTAATTTCTACCTTAACACTTGCGTATTAAGGCTCAATGTCTTATGCTTTGCAGCTTAAGAAATCATTGAAGATGAAATTACAAAGTTATAACGTTTGAAAACATTAATATTTTTCACATGTTATTGCACATGAAGGCACTATATAATTTAAAAATCGAAAATAAATTGAAAAAATTTTCGACTCGGGCAGGACTTGAACCGGCATCGTCAGCTTTCCGTGCTGTTGCTCTACCAATTGAGCTACCGAGTCCTACACCTCATCGTCGAATTTTTTCAACTTATCGATACATGCACCTCTCGCGCAATGTAATTTCTACCTTAACACTTGCGTATTAAGGCTCAATGTCTTATGCTTTGCAGCTTAAGAAATCATTGAAGATGAAATTACAAAGTTATAACGTTTGAAAACATTAATATTTTTCACATGTTATTGCACATGAAGGCACTATATAATTTAAAAATCGAAAATAAATTGAAAAAATTTTCGACTCGGGCAGGACTTGAACCGGCATCGTCAGCTTTCCGTGCTGTTGCTCTACCAATTGAGCTACCGAGTCCTACACCTCATCGTCGAATTTTTTCAACTTATCGATACATGCACCTCTCGCGCAATGTAATTTCTACCTTAACACTTGCGTATTAAGGCTCAATGTCTTATGCTTTGCAGCTTAAGAAATCATTGAAGATGAAATTACAAAGTTATAACGTTTGAAAACATTAATATTTTTCACATGTTATTGCACATGAAGGCACTATATAATTTAAAAATCGAAAATAAATTGAAAAAATTTTTTGAAAAAATTTTTTTTTTTTTTTTTTTTTTTTTTTTTTTTTTTTAAAAATCATTTCCAAATAAGTTTAACTAATATATCGCGTTTTAAACCGTTAAAGTGTTTTATTTTAATAAGGCACAGATCTATTCTAGGTCTAAACAAGATTGTCATTATTCGCAAATCTACAGACTGAGACTTGACTGAATCTATTTGGATTTAAAACCGAAGTTAAACGTGATTAAAAAAAATATAAGTAACACGATGGACTCTTGGTTCGGTGGCGATCAAACCAACGACCCGTTGATTTTAAGCGATACATTGCTATCAGACCAACAAGCTCGTAATGTATTTAATTGAATGTTTTTCTCGTTTTCAGAAACAATGGTATAAACCCAACGGTATGTTCGAACACCTTTGACGGCATCGTTGTCTGCTGTCGTGATGGGTCCTCCATTTTGAATACATCAACACGAGCTAAGTTGCCAGAGTATGTTCCTTGTCTTTAGAATAGTTTTTTGTTAAACATGGATTCCGGTTGAGCACAGGTCAATTTATCATATGAATTTTCTTTCAGCCGACGCCCAGTATGGTCTAATACACCAAACAAGAATAAAATGCGCCTTAGCGACCGGAGTAAGTGCAAATATTTTATGTTTGTTTGAAATTTTGAATACGGTGAAGATAAACACAATGGCTAATTTGGCAGAGTTATATATAATAAGTCAAATTATTTAAAACCAAATTTTATAAACATATATCGAGAAAATCAATCAAACAGGATTTTTAGAACCTATGATAAAAAACACAAATTAATTTATGGTAGCAATAACATGTACTGATTATAAATATTAAATTACACAATTGCTTATGTATAATTAATTTATTGACACAGACAGACAAAAAGGGAACAACACAACAATATATAGTTTAAAATCTCCTCTTAAATATAATGTGAATTAATATTGTTTTCAGTAACAGGGGCAGTTTATTAGATTCATAAAAAGAAACATCATAATGCATCTACAATTTAAAAGTTTCAAGTTAAAATTGAAAATTTATGACACGGGCGGGATATGAACCCGCATTCACAGCGTTCTGTGCTCTTGCTCTAAGCAATTGAGCTACCGATGACGTGTAGCATCGTAAAATGTTTTCAACGTATTGATACATGCACCTCTCGCGCAATGTAATTTCAACCTTTCTCTTCTAGAGTGCGAAGAATATTCTCGCGGCGTGATTCAAACCGTGGACTTCATACCTCTGGTCCCCGATCCCGACCCCCTACACATCTCTGCAGCTAAGTGTGACTACAATAAGGTCGATCTTATTGTTGGAGGGGAAACCACGAGTCCTGGTGAATTTCCTCATATGGTAAGCCTTATCCTCCATGTATTATTCAGAATGATTTTTAACTTCGTTTCACACACCTGAACGTAGTCTGTAGTCTACGCGAGTAGTATAAATTTATAATATAACACTTTTAACGGTTTAAAACACGAAATATATTAGCTACGCTAGCGCAATGCAAATGTAATTTGTCAATAGATTAGAGGCACTCCATCACCGTCTTTAATCCCCACGTAACCACGACTGCTGCAAAGGTCGGCCGTATTTAAATAAAAAAAATAAGGACATGTCACCTATAGAAATTATTAACTGGCAATATTAAAAATAAATATAGCGTTTTGAAAATGTAAGAAAATTTATGATATTCTTAAGGTGAGTTTATAAGGTTTAGAATTGTGTGGGGTTTGGAACAAAAAGAATAGTAGAAGTAATGTTGTAATAAAACTTGGCAATTAAAAGGAGTAGCGGCGAGTTTCTTGCCAGTTCTTCTCGTTCGTTCTACGTCCTTAACTTGGGAACTGGTGGTAACTGTAAATTTAGAGTTTTAAATTTTTATCTGTTTTGACGTACATAAGCTACGTACATGATTTTTTTTTTGTATCATGCAATATACCTTTGTTTCCAGGCGGCTATTGGATGGGTGAATGATAATACTAATAGTTACGAATTTCTCTGCGGTGGCAGTCTGATCAGTTCCCGTTTTGTACTGACCGCAGCCCATTGCACTAAGGTGGCGCGACGAAACCCGGACACGCCATCTATAGTCAGACTTGGAGACCAGAACATAGATCCAGTTGTTGAAGATAACGCTTCACCAGTTGATGTAAGATTCGAATCATATTCATTAAATATTTAAAAGAGAAATTAAAATTAAAAAAAAATTCTGGTCGTTTTCAGGCAATATTTTATGGTTCTTTACTGTTTTAATCTAGCTCTTGATTTAAGACTTAATTAATGTCACTTTTATCAAACACTTTTAACAAGTTCACCTTAAAGGCCATCCCTAGTTCTCTACGGTCTGAAATTGACACTACTTATTGTGGTCTTTGCCACGTTAGAAAAAATACACTATAGCTATACGCTTTGTATTCAAAGTGTTTACGCCGCAAGCGCATCGACATGACAACTGCACAGTTGCCATGGTAACGGTGTGGTTGCCATGGTAACGGTGTGGTTGCCATTGTAACGGTGCCGTGCCTGTTGCTACAATACTCCATTTATTTATTTACTATTACTTATTTATTACAGATCTATTATTCAGAATACTTACCACAAAACTACTAGAGATTTAAACTTACATACGAACTTATAAATAAAAGGCGGTCTTATCGCTTAACAGTGAGCTCTTCCAGGCAACCTGTAGTACAGGAGGAAAGAAAAAATAGAAAAAGGCTTATCAAGTCAATTTATGTTTTCAGGTCATAATAAAAAGCATTATATCTCATCCCGACTACAAGTCTCCGAGCAAATATAACGACATAGCACTAATAGAACTTTACACTGATGTAGACTTCGAAGCCCATATCAGACCAGCCTGTTTATGGACGAAGCCAGATTTCAACGGACACCAAAAGGCTATAGCAACTGGATGGGGTGTTATCGATCCTAGTAAGTTTATTTTGTTATGAGTGTTTAACATATGCTGAACATAAAGACAGGTACCTCGTAACAACAAATACCACGTTGGGGGGCATAGCACCAGCGGAATAGATATCGTAGATCCAGGTGGTGTTGTGCACCGACACCCAGAGCTTAGGAAGCCCACTTGCCTCATTTTTGAAAGGAGATACCCCTAACAGAAACGGAGGTTTTTTTTTAAATAAAAATAAAGTAAATTAAACTTTATTTTTTCCTTTTCCTATCTATAATATAACTTCAAGCTACGGTTTGGTTCAGTTCGGGTGAAAAGTTACTTCTGGTACTGTACAGTACAGTACCAGAAGTAGGATCGTCGTACCTCAGGGGAAACTAAGAATATTATTTTTTATCAAATTCTCAATCAAAGCTCATTTAGGATAAGCTTACGTTATAATAATTTTAGAGGATTCCTAAAGAGAACAGCTGTTGTATTCACAAAATTCCATTACACATTATCGTGGTATGTGTCAACAGAACAAAACATTGGCATTCAATGGAAAGAAATAGCACGAATGAACGTCTATTATATGCCCTTATAGTAGAACTCTTTAAATTACACCCTGTATAAACAATTCCTTCCATAGCTTCTAGAACACCCGAGACAGCGAAAGACCTACAGAAGGTGTCTCTATCTCTCCTTCCGAACTCTTACTGCGATGCTCTCCTGAAAGACTCGAAAAATAGGCACTGGAGAGGCTTCGTTGAATCGCAGATGTGCGCGGGGGAGTTGCGAGGGGGGAAGGACACATGTCAGGTGAATGAAATAAGACATTTAAATAAAACACTTTAACGGTTGAAAACGCGATTTGAAAATCATTTTCAAATAAGTTTAACTAATATATCGCGTTTTAAACCGTTAAAGTGTTTTATTTAAATAATAAGATTTTCCTAAATTTTCCAGGGTGATTCGGGTTCCCCACTGCAAGTGGCTGCGAAGGAAAATCAATGCGTTTTCCACATCGTTGGTATAACATCTTTTGGAAGAAAATGCGCACAGACAGGAAAACCCGCGGTGTATACTAGAGTTTCGAGCTATCTTGATTGGCTTGAAAGTGTTGTATGGCCAGGAGAGTAATTAATTTCTACTTCAACGGATTAAAACGGGATATGTTTGTTTTTAATCTATATGTTATGTATAACATTTAAATAAAACACTTTTTACGTAAAACTCGAAATATATGTATACAAATATTTGTTGTTAAATAAATTAAAAAGAACATATCTACTATGTGTCTCGTTTTAAACCGTTTAAATATTATTAATAATTTAAATTAATAAAAACCGATCAGACAAAACAGACGCAGAAATGTGTTGCTCATTTGTGTCTGTTTTCCATGAAGGTAAAGAGGTTTCATTTTAAGTAATTTTCAATTTATTTTAATAAAAAAACCTTAATACATTCGAGCATTTAATTCGTAAGGCTTTCTGTATGAATTAATATTCAAGACCCAGTTAGGAATACTTTCTGCTTGACAAAAACAGATGGCGCTAGTGTAGCTGATTTGAGTTTGACGTAACGGATGACCACTATCTCTTGTCTATCACAGCTGTTGTAAAGAATATTTACGAAAATAATTAATATACTTCTCCCTTTAAACCGTTAAAAGTGCATTATTTAAAGTGTGTTTTCCTTTTGGCGACTTTTACGAGTGCTAATTTAATATAACCCTAGTAGACCGATAATTAAATAAACGAATTACATAATTGATAAATATGACAAACGACATATCTATGAATAATTAAGTTGACCTGATCAATTAAGTTAGTAAGAAAATCTTATTGAATCGTAAAATAATTTTAATTCAATATAGACGAGAATATTCGTGACTAAGATAACATTGCTTAGCTTTAAGTATTCCTGGGTTCGAATTTACTGGCAGATCATTGAGTTCTGCTTGACTGAAACATAGTTCTACGAATTCGAACCCAAGACTTCCCGTGATAACACGATGTAACAACGTAACGTTTAAATACTGTCTATAATTTACGCGAGTAGTACACATTTAAACAAAACACTTTAACGGTTTAAAACGCGATATATTAGTTAAACTGATTTGAAAATGATTTTTAACTTTGGCCCGACGTTTCGGATGCTTTAAGAGTGTTTTATTTAAACTTACCGCTTAACCATTAAGCTATAGAGGTAGTCAAAGTATTATGTCCTATTAAAATATATGTGTCTCTAAATGTATTATTCATTTTGATAAGTCCCTGGATTCGAACTTATACCCATCTCAATACGCATTGTATTGAGATGGGTATAAGTAGACAAAGTAATTAACCTTTGAACCACGGTTGGTCGTATACAGTACGATGTAGTACATAATATTGGATTAAAGCTGACCTACATATAGTTTGTTGGCGTAAGGTAAATTCCTGTTTGTAAAACTCTATTATGAGAAAGGTCTACTATAGGCCTACTATATAATTATTCATAGACCTTATATATATATATAAGGTCTATGAATAATTTTCCCCGTTTTTTCCACATTCCCCAATTTTGTTCGTTTCTACTACTAATAGTAGACTTAGCGTAATGTTTCACAGCCCAAAGCCGTCCTCGATAAATAAATTTTCAATTCGAGCCAGTGGTCCTGAGATTAACGCGTTCATACAAACAAACTCTATGATTTAATTATATATTACATACAATTATAAATTGCAAAATATATGACATGATATCAGCAGCAGAGCCGTTGTTACCGGTTCGAGACATGCTCGTGCCGTTATTATTGTAATTTTATCTACTGTTAAGTAACTAATTGCTGTCGATTTTCAGTATTTCATGTCTTGAGATCTAAAAAATACTAAGAGCGTGATATTGTTAATAGTGAAAACTAACCTAGAATTGCGTAGTGGCATTACATTTCTTTAGTACGTCGCGATTGTGAAGTGAAGGCACACGCGTTTTAATATGTGAATTTTCATTGTGGCTTGGAAAATCGTGAGAATAGTTACTATTATACTCGCATAAAAAACATATAACTAAATTACCTGATTCGGCAAACGGTGTTTTGTTGTTGAGACATGTCTAACAAAGAACAATAGTGCGTTAATTTCGACCACATTTGATTACCATAAAATGGTTCTTATAAGTTAATTTTAACAGATAGACGTACTGTCGCGGACATTTTTAGATCATTAATTCGTATTCTTGTTTGATAATTTGATCTCGTTATTTGCTGTGCAATAAACTGTAAATAATTATTTATTTATAACCTCCTAAATATAAAGCATTTTACTACACGTCCCTAATCTCTGCTACTTTTTAAAACAACAAGTAGAACATTTGGTGGTGTATTGAGCAGGCATTAAATAAAATAACTTGTATATAAAATGTGGTTTTCCCATCAACTAGGAATTACAAGGCAGACTAATTAATCCGATTATTGGTGACATATGTCGTAAAAGTTTCCCGCACGACTAAACAAACACTAGACACAGTAATTTTACGATACTTACATGATAGATAAGCATGGGGTCCACTTACCCCACCTACCACATACCCCAGCCGTATAACATCTCTGCGTTGCGCTGTCGACCCATTTCCACTTTGGATATTCGCAAATCCACAGACTGAATACGCGATTAAACTTCAAGAGTTTTTCATCTGTGGACGGTGGTTCGTGGCCCATTTAATATCCAGGTTTTCAGACGAATTGTAACGTAGTCAGAAGAATTATAAACTGATTAGAACATGTTTGACTCGGTGAGGATCAAACCCACGACCGGTCGAAGCCGTACCGGACTAATGCGCCCGTCAGACGTAACTTCTTTATGTTTTAATCATAACTTGACCTAAACGGTTATCTCAATCAAACGAATAATTATAACAATAATAATAATATTAAAACAGCTACACACACAAATTTACGTTTATTTACTCACAGTGTAAGAACACACGGACATTCTAAGATTTTCAACAATTAAAGCAACACAATATAAATAGATAGGTACATGATATTTTGAACGTATTTGTATTTTTTCGACTAATGGTGAATTCTAATAAGATACCTGTGGAAGACGAAAAGCCATCCCTTTTTTTTATTATTGCCGTTGTCGTGCGTGAATATATTGGATTCGAATTTTGGGGAAGCGTTACACGTTTTAAAAAATAGGTACTGTCGGTAATTTACGCGTGTAATTCTTCAATAAAACATTTCAACGGCTCAAAACGCGAAATATATTGGAGACCACGTGACCACGGCTGCGACAAAGCATCCGAAACCGTAACCGGGCCGTAGTTAAAATATTTTTTAAATAAGTCTAACTAACCGTTTTAAACCGGTAAAGTTTTTTATTAAAAAGTTATAACCATTTAAATAAAACACTTTAACGGTTTAAAACGCGATATATTAGTTAAACTTATTTGCTGCAAAGCATCCGAAACGTCGGGCCGAAGTTAAAAATCATTTTCAAATAAGTTTAACTACTATATCGCGTTTTAAACCGTTAAAGTGTTTTATTTAAATGTGTACTACTCGCGTAAACTATAGACAGTGTCTAAGTTATAACCATTTATCGCGTACCGTCGGATGAAATGGTAAAAGTAAAATAAGTAATACAGAAATGTATTTAAACCATACTCCGCGTAAAAAAACAAGATTTAACATTTGTGGGAAGTATTAAATTATATCCACTTATTCTAAGAGACATATTATATGAACTAAAAACACCTACTTGTCAATAAAATGTCTATTAACCTGTGTATTCTAAATTAAGGTTAATACCGGCTTTAACCAAGATTACGAGAATGCACTAGAGTTGAATGTATATTTTATTAATAATTGCTCTAGCGTTGGAGTAATGTTACAATTTTCTGATACATACGTTAGTGTAGGTAGAACTTCCTCCGTGCCTCCTCGAATGCAAGCATGAATGGTCCTAGCTTCGAATCCCGCGAAAATAATATAGTGTGCGAGAGGGCACAAAATTCTCATCAACTACAATACAAACAAATTTTTATGAATATCGATAACTAGCTGTGTCAGCGACTTCGTCCGCATAGAATCGGTCGCGACCCGTCCTTGAGTTCCCGTAGTTCTTGCGAGTTAAACTTAAAAGATAAGTTTAACTAATATCGCGTTTTAAACCGTTAAAGTGTTTTATTTAAAAGGAATTATTCTTTTATAGACATTGTTTGGGTGTTTGAAGCCGCTTTCGCAGCGTACTTATCGAAACCTTACAGAGATTAATAAATAATTTTTCCCGTTTTTTAGCCCATGGCCTTCCTCGATAAATGCTCTAATCAACACAAAAATGATTTTCTATTCAAACTAGTAGTTCCTGCGATTAACGCGTTCAAACAAACAAACTCTCCAGCTTTAGGTATATATTAGTATAGATTAGATGTATACACAGTTATTATTATTATTTTTTTCGTTGGGTCGAATTTTAAATTATACTTAGTATTATTTAATCTATTTAAATAGTTCCAAATATTATTAATATATCACTTAGTGCAAAGTGTGTATATTTTTATTTCAAGTTATTTTTTGTTAAAATATTTTATTTTATCATTGTAGCGGATAGACGATCCTAACCGAATTTTGCATAGACAGTTGTCATCAATATTGATTAAGTTCAAACAAATTAGCTACTCTAAACATCGTAAGGAATACCTTCGCATGTATCACGGCTCCATCATCAGATCTAATTCTTGTCTTCGTTTATACGATGTTTAAAAGTTCGCCTCGATTTCCTTGATCTGTAATATCTAACAAAAAAAAAATATGAAATTCATAAAGTCTCCGAAGTCGTTTACGTTACGTTGTATGTATACAATTGGTATCGATTCTGTCTCGAGAAACGCCGCAGTATATCACTAGTAAGTATGTTATGAATAACTGAATATCAGTTATACGAGCTATTATTGTATAAGTAAACAACACATTTCGCGGTTGAGAAGTTTCTTCCGTGCAACGCGATTTTGCTTTGAATTTTAATGTCTTCCGCTGTACAAATTACTGTACCGGGTTATAACGACCCTTACAGTATTTAATTTATACTAATTCAACCCTTATAATACAGCAATAGAAACAGTTTGTCTGTACATCGAATAAGTTCATAAAACGTGTGGATGATACAGACCGTTAGTATATTGGAAGTGTTGGCTGTATTTTACCAGATTAAATGTTATATCTTAAAATACAATAATCCTATAATAATAAATTTAAATAAATTTCCCTTTGTTCAAACCCAAAAGGTCGATGGCACATATTGCTTAGATGTTATATGGCCGGGTTATTTCACTAACCATCAAGTCAATCCCATACTTGTTCCCATCTTAATAAAAAGATCTCATTTACCGGACTTGAACCAATAATCCATTAGAGAATTTTTTTCCGCACTGACGATTCTGGCACTGAAATTCAATAAGATTTCTCCGTATTAAATAACGTTGGAAAGTGACATTTGACTAAGGTTTTGAAGTAGATTTGTCGGTTTTACAAAAATTAAAGATTCATAATAATAGAATAATATAAGGCTGCTAGATGCAGAGTGGCCTAATAACAAAAAACATGATTTTCAATAAGGAGGGAAATCAATTTGGCCTACTATTTGTGTAAGAATTATGTTAACAATTTTCGGTCACTGCTCTTGTAGATTAACATTTTTAGACTATGAAGATATAAATGACTCAATTCAGATAATCGCAGTTAGGCTACTCTGCCTCTAGCGGCTTCATGTCTAATAGCGTTATCCCTAAACGGGGCATGGTGCGTACAATTTTAATTTTTCTAATCGATTTTCAACAATAAAGAGACTTCTATGACTGGCTTTAACAATGATACTTCTTGAAGACAATCAAACCTAGGTTCCTCGCTTAGCTAATTAGGACAACGCGTTTTACAAAAGACTGCCTCTCTTCGAAGAAGTCTCTCTCTCTCTCTAGTAGTAATCAATAATAAAAAACTCACTGTTTGTAACAATTCTTTATTATACTTAACTATAGTATATATAAAATGCCTTTATCACAAAATATTTTAATGTACCTAGAGGATACTGGAGAGATTTATCACAATTATAACAATTCCAGATTGTGTGTTTTAAATTTTTTTTAAACTTATATAAACAAGTTTAAAAAAAAATTTAAACGAATAGTTAAATAAATAAGAGATAACGATAATAACTTTTTCAAATGATTTAAAAAAAATGTTAATCGTGTGGACTAGTTCATCTGTAAATCTCGTCGTACATTAAATACTGTCTGTAGGTTATAAAATAAAACAGTAACGGTTTAAAACGCAAAATATATTACTTACACTTATTTTAATTGTAGGTAAAATACTTTTCACATGAGTTTAACGCATATAATACTGTACAATTTTTACTTGACGCCAGAGACATCCTCCATCTTTATCCCGTGACCACGGCACAACATCGGAAACATCGAGCCGAAGTTAAAAAGAAATTTTCAAATAACTTTAACTAATACATATATCGCGTTTTAAACCGTTCAAGTGTTTCATTTAAATTAACGCATATATTTTGCATTTTAAACCGTTAAATATTTTTATTTAACCGTCATAGACTAACAAACAAATAATACGAATTATTTATTTTTGTTTCCCTAAATTTTTTGTTAAAATTAATAATCTATGAACACTACTCTAGGCGTGTCTTGGCTGTGTCAGCTTTAAAGTAAATACTGTCTATAGTTTACGCGAGTAAGTAGTTAAATAAAACACTTTAACGGTTTAAAACGCGATATATTAGTTAAACTTATTTGGAAATGATTTTTAACTTCGGCCCGACGTTTCGGATGCTTTGCAGCAGCCGTGGTCACGTTAAAAATAATTTCCAAATAAGTTTAACTAATATATCGCGTTTTAAACCGTTAAAGTGTTTTATTTAAAAGCTTTAAAATATTTATCGTGTTCAATACATGCAAATATGTATAATAATTAGTCCCATTATTTCGGCCGCCATGTTGGAATTAGAATAAGGCCACACACTAAAAATTTACAAAAGTTTACATAAGATATACAGATTGAGTAAAACTGTTTCAAATAGTATAAAAATTATATTATCGACTGTCTAAAATATATCACAACAATCTATTTGTTCATACAATATATTAATGTCTTTAGTTAAATTTAAAACCTTGGAGTACATTAGTTCACTTTTAAATTGTGCATTTTAACTACGACCCGACGTTTTGTGGAATCAATTTAAAACTATATTTCGTGTCTTTTTCGTTTAACCTCTAATAGTAATAATCATGCAATAAGCGAAATCTTATTACGATGTATTTATTTTGAACTCGGCTAAGTTTTATCAAAAATTCATATATAAAAGTAGTAACCCATTTCTTATCTTTATTATTATAGTTATTAGTTTTTTATTGATGATAATCATAGAAGGGCAGGTGATCAGTCAACACTATATGCTAAATATTGCACCCATTTTCAGCATCTCCCTTTGGGTTACTTTGGTTTCTTGGGTCTCATCTTCATAGAAACATTATCACAATATTTTGTAAACGTTAATCAATTTTTGTTACAATTCGTAATTACACATCTGAGTCCCAATAAAACCTATAAATGTTCTAGAGGTCTCATTATATTAACATACTGATATTATAGTCATACCGTATAAAAGTATTTTTGCTAATCGGCTTCATATAATTAAAGATATACGCTAGAACTAGTGGTAACACACCTAAAATCAGAAGATATATATATTTAGGTATTGGTGGGGTATGTCCGAATGGATATAACCAGACCCCGCGTCTATTTGCATCCCTTATATGATGACTGAAATATGCTATACTCAACATATATGTAAGTACAAATATATTCATCTTACGGTATATATAACTGTATATAAGTAAAATTGATGTTATTAGCACCCATAATGTTGTACAGTGTAGAATACCTCTTTGCTTCAGGTGAGTTAAGTCCTGCAATAAAAAATACATTAGTTTGACTATTAGATTAGGTCCGGCTCCAAATTCATTATATAATGAAGGAATTTATACATAGTTGCATTGGCTAATAATAATTTGTACATCTGTATATCAATATGGAATGGTTTGCTCCCTGATTCATGAAAAGTCAATTTGAGCATATCCTAGCACAAACTTCCTAATGGTAGGAATATTTGCAAGCCTGTTTGATATATTTTACTAATCTTGTTGATTTAGGTCTACACTTTATACTTATAGGCTTGCCTGCTTGTGTATTACAAACTACCGGGGATGCAATTTTGGATTTAACTTTTACACTTAAGCAATTTAATTTGAGAAATTACCTTGAAGTGTATGGATTTTGCGACCAGAAAATGGTCGACATCTATCAAAGATGATACAGCCGTGCAGAATAAAACATTTAAAATCCATGCTTCTCGAGTTACATCCACCTTCAAGAAGAATAACAGAGCTGAAAGAAAACCAATACTGGCATGCACTATATTATCTGCCAACGCTCGAAATACAAACGATTTGGAAGGTTTCGATTGAAAAACTACAAAATCTCCAATAATTGCAGTAAGAATTATTGATAGAGATAGGAAAGCGCTTAAAATTTTCATTATTTTCCGGTGTGATCGTATTTCTCATGAGACCCTTTTGGACATTTCGTTTAATGCTAGATATATTTTCGTCAGAACATAGTACATATAAATTAGATAATTAATATTATGTCACCATTTTTTGTAACTATTTATTTTTTTTGCATCATTTTCTATTGTTATGTTATAAAATGTATTGTTTATCCTATCTTGTTTTGGTTGTACATTTTAATAACTTAGTAATGTCAAACTTGACATTGACAGCTTTGTTGAAAATGCAGATTATAGATTCTACATTTACACATTTTTTTTTAACTTGATTCTTCCGATGGACGGTATTACAGGATATTAAAATTAAAGTATGTCTGCAGTATGTACGGCACGCGAGTACCTAGCATTGTGCTAACCACGAGAGGTCCTAACTTCGAATATAATTGTTTCGGTCGGGCTGGGCACCAGCAGTCTGATCAACTTAATGTCTATAAATAAAACTATTTAGTGAAAAAGAAACATATATTTATTGGCTTCATGCCCCTCAGGAAAGAGAAAGATGCGAAAAATAAATCGATTTTCGTGATAATTATTTTATAGTAGGTATATATAGTTAGTATGTTTATGTATTTGGTTATGCAATAGTCCGACTTTATAATGAAGAATGGTATACCTCTTTTACTATTTTTAAATATAACACACAATCATAATTATGCGTAAGACTTTTGTCCAATCTAATCTCGCTTCATAAACTACCAAATAAATTGACTACTATCAAATAAAAGACTGTTTGTTCATATTTTTGTAAATTATTTTAGCAAACAATTCAACTCTTTTTTGAAAGTCTGTGAAGATGAAAATAGAAAAATGATTTCTGTAGATATATTATTACAGTTAGCCTTTTTTATTAGGAATGCATCAAAAATAGTCGAATATCGCGTATAAGTAAGTATTTTACCCGTGTGTGTATCCAAACTATACTAAAAAAAACAATGTAGTTTGTGAAATAAACGAAGTAATGTGAAGGAGTACTTGAAAACAACACGATAATTAAATAGTTAAATGTTAATTCATGAGTTAAATTATTATTCTGTTAAATCAGTGAGACGAGCGCAGATGTCCGGTCTAACTTTTCATTTGTAGCAAATAATTGGGCCCAAATTTGGTTTCGTAATCCAAGAAGTGTTCTATAAATATATTTTCACAACGAGCAAAGCCGCGTGATGCCACAGTATAAACTGTAAACTCATGGTCCACACCTAATTCTGATTATAACCGATAACCATTACAACATGACCTCTTCACTTAAACTTGTAACACGTAACAACGGTTCCAATAAACTTGTTACGTCTTATCTTTTATCATCGCGATAAGAATTACGGATTTTGATAGCGTATTCGTGTCACAGTACTGAAAAATATGCAATAATACATTTCGAAATATTGTATTAATATTGAAGAAAATAAATATTTCGCTCGTGTGAAAATTGTGTGGAAATTCGGTGGAAAATGCGTGAAATTGTACACGTTCAGGCCGGGCAGTGCGGTAACCAAATTGGATCTAAGGTGAGTACTTTTCATTTTTCTATATTTTTGGACCATGAAAGCCTAGAAATTGAAATCAATCACGAATTTAAGTTTTTCATCTATTTGGCACCTCGACGGAACTTCAGTATACCTATATAATGTCTAGATTTTTCATACGAGGTCTTAGATGAATTCGAGATACTAAAAATATTTAAATACAATACTTGAACGGCTTAGAACGCGATATATATTAATTAAACTTATTTAAAATTTATTTTAAATACGGCCCGCGTTTCGGACGCCTTGCAGCAGCCGGTTGTCGGGGAGAATATTATAAAATTTTTCAGAAACACGGAATGGTGTACCGAGATATCAAATGTCTGTTTTAAACTGTTTTTATTTTTATTTAATTTAAGATTATCTGTTTCTCAGTTCTGGGAGGTGATATCCCACGAGCATGCGATCGACGCCGATGGCATGTACCGTGGTACCCACCACATCTTGGAAGACAGACTAAATGTATACTACAATGAAGCATCAAGCGGTATTAATTTCAGATGATTTTTATCTACACTAACATACACTCAAACAGTGGGGTTCTAAGCGTGACAACTTTAATAATTTCCACATGTTATTGCACATTATGGCATTGCTGGAGAGACGCATGTATCATTAGGTTGAAAAAATTCGACGATAATATGTAGGACTCGGTAGCTGAATTGGTTAGAGGTTTCGAGTCGGAAATTTTTCAATTTATGTAGTAATGCGACTTCAAAGAAAGAAATGTATTATAATTATATGTCTTTGTCTTCTCATGTCATAATGGCCTAAATCCTATTTCTTCTATGTAAAACAATTTCACACAATAGCATTTCAGATACTTATATATTTTTAATGCTGGCAAGTTCATATAAATAAAAAATAAAATCGTTTAAAAACAATCATTGTCAAGTTGTTTTTTAATACTCAAAGTTAATATTTGAATTGTTTGATTGTTTTAACTTAGGTAGTTTGATAAGAAGCCACCCATGATATAGTGTTTTTGTATTTACAGGTAAATATGTCCCGCGAGCTGTACTTGTGGACTTGGAACCTGGGACAATGGATTCCGTGCGTTCCGGGCCATACGGACAACTATTTAGACCGGACAACTTCGTGTTCGGTCAGAGCGGCGCTGGTAAGATCTACAATATAAATTACAGTGTACACTCTATATAACGACACTGGCTTTACATTTTATGGCGTTATAGAGAGAGAAACGAAGTCTCAGAGAATATCTGAATAAGAGAAAGTTAAAGCTTATTTCTGACTTGTGTATCTACATACGAAAAAATCCCTTTTAAACGTCATTGCGTGTATTTTGTAATTTTTGTCGGAGGTTGTTATTTTATTCATATCTTGCGATATTGAGGCATCTTGCTCATAAAGAAAGTTTTCCAATAATTTAGCTGCTTCTAGACATATTTCGAGGCTTGGCGGATTCTCAGACTTAATAATGTGAAATAATGTGATGTAATTTCTAGTAGACAAGCTAAACTACCCTAAGTCAATTAACCTTGCTTTAGATTGTCGTTAAATCGAGTGACGTTATATAGAGTTTTTCCGACCTAAATGTATGTATTTCGAAATTAATCTGATGTTATGAATAATTTAAAGCACACAAAGGCTGTATTAATTTTAATGAAATTTGGTATCAGTGTTGCTGAATTTAGAATTTAATACAGGTTATTTTTTTCTTACAGGTAATAACTGGGCGAAGGGACACTACACGGAGGGCGCTGAATTGGTAGATGCCGTTCTGGACGTCATTCGAAAGGAAGCTGAGGGCTGTGAATGCTTACAAGGTTTACAAACAAACAAACCCATAAGAATTTTTTATTGTTAATTAATATTAATTCATTACAGTTACTAATTATATAGAATAATGAAACACTTAGTTTAAGCAAGTTTTATAAAAAATAACTTTCTACATATTATAATCAATATTTAATAATAACACAATACTTTTCTGTAAAGTTGAAGAGTTTGTTTGTTTGAATGCGTTTATCTCAGGAACTACTGGTTTGAATTGAACAATTATTTTTGTGTCAGTTAGAGCATTTATCGAGGTTATAGGCTATAAAACATCGCGCTGGAACTAATAGGAGCAAAAAAGCAACGGGAAATGTCGAAAAAAAATGTCATCCTTGTTGCTTTCCGTTGTGTACGCTGCGAACACGGTTCAAGATATCCAAAAAGAATGTTTAATTGATCGAAAAAATGATCGCGACAGTGTGTGTTTATCTTTTAAGATTAACTTGCTAGAACGACGGAACACGGAAGCCGTTGTGGGTAACAGTTTCAAACAGTTTCGAACGTGAGGTTTGGAAAACAAATTTGATGCCCAAAAATACTATTCTACGCGGGCGAAGTCACTGACACAGCTAGTATCTCATTAACAGTAGCGACAAAGCGTTACGTAACACTGATTTTCAATGTGCCCTGCGAATACCGCTCTACAAAGAAAAACTTATATACTAAATATTTTTTTGTATAATCTATTTTAACACTGTGACCCTTCTTCAGGTTTCCAGCTAGCACATTCCCTCGGCGGCGGCACTGGTTCTGGAATGGGAACCCTTCTTCTCAGCAAGATCAGAGAAGAGTTTCCCGACAGGATTATGACCACATTCAGTGTAGTACCATCCCCAAAGGTAAATCAAACTCGTACCAAAAAAGGTAAAGATTCTAACCTAGGCCCAGCACCATAGATCTACCAAGCTATCGCGACACAAGGCGTGTTAAATGTAATTTTGTTTAAATGAAACACTTAAACGGTTTAAAACGCGATATATATATTAGTTAAGCACCATTCTATATATAAGTATATAAATACTAAATACTGTCTATAGTTTACGCGAGTAGTACACATTTAAATAAAACACTTTAACGGTTTAAAACGCGATATATTAGTTACCATGGTCACAACGGCTGCTGCAAAACATCCGAAATGTCGGGCCGTAGTTAAAATAATTCTCAAATAAGTTTAATAATACATAATATCGCGTTTTAAACTGTTAAAGTATTTTCTTTAAAAGTTAATTTGTGTCTACTGTTTAAATGAAATTATGCATAAAGATCCCTCTGGAATCCCTCTGGACTTAACCTTCCACCAAGAGAACCTCATGCTATAAAAAAAGACTTAAATATTTTTTACTTTTCCAAATTAGTTTATTTTCCAACTTGAGTTTGGGTTTTCCAGGTCTCCGAAGTGGTTCTGGAGCCGTACAACGCGACGTTGTCAGTGCACCAGCTCGTGGAGAACACAGACATGACCTTTTGTATTGATAACGAGGCACTATACAACATTTGCTTCAGAACTCTTCGCTTGAGTAGCCCTACTTATGGTGACCTTAACCATTTGATTTCGGTAAGTTTGAAGGGCCGATATAACTAAGTAGTAGTGACAAAAGTGGATTACCCGAAGTTAATTTCAGAGAAAGAAGTACTTAATATTTGTCTATTAACTGTTAGTTACGCGAGTAGAGTTAAATGAAACAATTTTAACGGTTTAAAACGCCAAATATATTAGTTAACTTATATTTAAGCTACGGGCTGAAGTTTCGTACGCTTCGCAGCCACCATGGTCCAGCAGTACAGCACGTCGGGCCGTAGAAAGATTATATATATTTCAAGTTTTAAACCGTTAAAAGTGTTTTGTTTGTTAGACCTGTGTACGCATTTAGCCTATATAATTCTTAACTGACGTTTTCAGTACACTATGTCCGGGGTGACCACGAGTTTGCGTTTTCCCGGACAATTGAATGCGGACTTAAGAAAGTTGGCTGTAAATATGGTGCCTTTCCCTCGTCTGCATTTCTTCATGCCTGGTAAGTGTTCGTTGGAAACCCTATGTTTCAATACTTCACTATTTAATATGAGTTGATAGTGCGTTGTCTCTTTCGCACAATGCACTATGACCTGCAAACGTCACGCGAAACGTCAAAAATAAGTATTTGACTTATGTAAGGCTTAAATAGAATAAATATAAAACTATATAGATATATAAATACTAGCTGAGCCGGCATATGTTGTTATGCCATATAAATAATTTTACTAAAATGTCTATTAAAAAATAAGGGTTGATCGTAGAAGGGTGAAAATTGAGGATTGTATGTATCTTTGTATGTTGTATCATAAAAAACTAGAAATTATTTTTTTTTTTTAAATAAAAAAAAATTAAGCGTGAACTACCCTTATCACTTAGGGGGGATGAAAAATAGATGTTGTCCTATTCTCAGACCTATTGAATACACATATGAAATTTGGTGAAAATCGGTCGAGCCGTTTCGGAGGAGTTCAAGTTCGAACACCGTGACACGAGAATTTTATATATTAGATAAAAATATAAAACTAATGCTTTTTTCCAGGTTTTGCTCCTTTAACAGCTAGAAATTCTTTCCAATTTAGAGCACAAAACGTGTCGGAATTATTAACGCAGGTCAGTTTCTCTTCTACACGACAGACACTTATTTGTGTCTGTTTTATTAATCTAAGTTAACTCACGACGTTTAACACTTTACGATAATCAACGTTTATTTTGAAGGTAAACAAATATATTCTCGTAAAATGATTCGGTTTGAATATCTTGAGATTACATTACTATTATGTGAGGACACGAGAGATAAATTTGTTAGAGCACGGAAAGCTGTGGATTCCTTTCAACTCCTTACCGTGTCGTATTTTTTTCAGTTTATGATCCATTTTTAATTTTGATACACTGACAGACAGTATTATTATTTATTATTAGATGTTCAACCCTGGTAACATGATGACCGCGTGCGACCCTCGCCACGGACGTTACCTGACAGTCGCGACCATGTTCCGCGGTCTGATGTCGATGAGAGAGGTGGACGAGCAGATTCTGGCGATACAAAATAAGAATTCCAGGTATGGTAAATCTATACTAATATATAAGCTGAAGAGTTTGTTCGTATGTTTTAACGCGCCATACTCAGGAACTAACAATTATTCGTCGGAATTGAACAATAATTTTTGTGTTTTTGTGTAAAACGGGGAAATTTATTCACCTTTCAGTCGCGTACACTGCGAATACAGTACCCAATACCCAAAAATTAGTATGAATGAAGTGACGATTACTCTCTAAATGACCTAAAAAATGTCCGCGACATTATATGTCTATCTTTTAATTATTATTCAAAGGGAATATTGCTAGCTATGCCCACTCCTTAATGAAAATGACTTTTATTTAACTAAATGTTAATGAAACTTTGTTTAATTTCCTTAAGCTTTTCATGCAGGGAACGTGAAATGTTATTTTATTTTTACATTATAGTTACTTCGTTGAATGGATACCGAACAACCTCAAAGTGTCAGTGTGCGACATCCCACCAGAGGGTCTCAAGATGGCCGCGACATTTATCGGAAACACCACAGCCATTCAAGAGATATTCAAACGAATTTCGGAACAGTTCACCGCTATGTTCAGACGACGGGTAAGTTTAAAGAAATTTAATGTTTTCAATAGAATTAAAATTGTTAGAATACTATAATATCACCCATGATGGCATTATAAGGGTATCAAAACAACGTAATACATCTTATAGACGGTAAATCAAGCGGTTAGAGCAGCAGAACGGAACCCTGAGGATCAAGTCCTGCCTGTGTCGTAGAAGTTATTAATTAATATGTAGATTTTTGATTTAAGGAATCAAATTCGCTTACTAAAGAACGCAACTACATTTATTTGTGAATGATAAAGATGTTTTTTTAACGATGCTCACTTAACGGAAATTAAAGACATTCCACAGTTCACCCCACGCGCCGAATGTTTCGCATTTGTTGGACAACACCAACAAATAGAAGAACAAATAAATCATTTCCATATAAGTGTTAACTATTTAGGAGTGTCCAAATACGATATCCAACCATCCAAAGTTGAAATGTTATCGATGTCGTACAAAAATAGAATATATTTGTAATAAATATTAAATTTTCTTAGGCCTTCCTACACTGGTACACTGGAGAGGGCATGGATGAGATGGAATTTACGGAAGCAAGCAGCAACATGAACGACCTTATTTCGGAATACCAACAGTATCAGGTATTTTATATAAAGTTACTACAATTGTATCTAAAGTTGCCCCGTTGTTGTAAAGATACTCCTACAACTGGAATTCCCATTGTACAATACAAAATGGACGCGCATTAATGGAATAAATATCTATTAATATGTTTGTTTATTAACAAACAATAGATATATTTATATTTTACTTTCAGGATGCGCAAATAGACGAAGAAGAGTTGGAACTAGAGGACGAAGAAATAGACCCACCAGTCAACACAAGCGCTATGGTGGATTTGGATCATTAATTTTTTATAAGCATAAGTAATTCTTTTAAATCAAGATGCATTTGTGAATCAATAATCTATATTCATATAACTATCATTGTTAATTGTCAAATTATAAAAATGTCATCTGTCACGAATCGAATCCCGCTTATGTCACGTTATTCGTTACATTGTAATGCCCTAATTTCTTTATTTATGCGTTACTTTCGAATTTCGTTACGTTTAATGAACAAAACTGTATTAGTCTATGTTAAGTAAAGCTAATTTAATAACAAGCTTTATAAACGTTAACTTAACGTGAAACCGACAAAATTCAGCTATATTTACAAACTATTAATTACTATTAAACACTTTTCAGGAACGCTCTTCATCATCATCATCTTCAAGTTCAGATTCCGAATAAACGGTAAACTGTACATCTCTAAGATTTGGTTGGGTATTCTATTTAGTTCAGTCAGCCTATGCACTCCAACAAAATCGCTTATATGGAGGTGCTATAGCACTTTAAATTTTATTTTCATGATATTCTATATAAATTGGCTATATTTAGTATTAGATAATTTAAACCACGAAGACAATAAAATTGAAGAAATTCGAGTCTTTAACATCTTAGTCAGACGGTCTATTAGATAGAAATTTTGTCTACACTACTGAGAGATGTCGTAGCGTGCATATTGGCCCGGCAGATTACAACAATGTCTTTCAACCACAGAATATATAAAAACTAATTTAAGTAACATGAAAGAGGAAGTAGGTATACCTTAAAAAAAAATTAAACTCGTTTAAACGCAATTTATATAGTGTAGCGCTTCAGACATGACTGTTATTAACAATCTAACTAAAATTCATGTTTCAATTCGTTTTATATACATTTAGACGCCAACACTTTTTGTATGTGTTTATTAAGATTACTGTATTCTTATGTTAAAACTTAAAATTTTAGAACACAAGACATCGTGTAACATTATTATTATGTTATTTTATTTTACAGTTACTAAGATACATGAAAAATTATTAATGGCATATTTTAATACATAATCTAAATAATAGTTAAGTATTCTTTTCCTATTTAATTTTGCTATAAATAATAATAGATACATGTAACAAAGTAAAGACCCCGAAACGAGATAAATAATGTAAACTGGAATTCCAAACATTTACAGGCCATTAGTCGTCTATAGTATTTTTTACATTTTTCAGCAGAGGGTTGCTAATTCCTATTGCGGCGCCCTGAGCTCTTACAGGAGCCATCTTGTACATCGACCTCGAATTGTCTGCCCTAATTGGTATTTCAAAAAAAGCCTCGCATCCAAATTGGTTCGTCGGTCGGGCTAGTTACACCGCGTCCGACAACTTTTGCCTCGATACGACCGTTGTCATCGACGACGTCGACTCGATACGATCGTACATTATAACGTCATCGCCGGTCGAGGTACCTTGTTCCACGTACCCCCACTTGGGTGAGCTACCATCTAGCCCCCACCCACTTTGCGGTGGTGGCTAGATGGACCCAGACCCCTTGGGGGACGCCCTGGACCAACATACTCTTTAGTCATTTCAAATAACAAGTCCGTTAGTTTATCTCGTTTCGACGACCTTAGATTAATTAATAGTTCACTGCCCGTAGCTTCGTATTTGTGGTTCAAAGTCAACTAGTTTAGCGCAAAAGGTTCCGGTGGACAATAGTTTTGGCAGGACGTTTTACTACTTGCCTATAAATAAAGGCAACCAGAAGATGACTGTTTCATGACCCAATAAGCAAAATCGGGATTCCCTTTTTTGTGGAAAATGTTGTGATAAAATCCCTTTTGCACAGACAATTCGTTTTTTAACTTGACTAAGCGATATGTGTTTTTTTTTTAGTTTTGCGTGATTGTTATTATTTTGTATAACGCTTGTAATAAAAAAATCATCTATAGTTTGTATTATTTTTTCGTTGAATAGGACTTTCGTAGGCTAAGAATTGCTTGTAACTGTGTAATGAAAAGAAAATTGACAAGTCGGAGACTAATTTTATAGACGCTAAATACTGTCTCTAGTACGCGAGTAGTACACATTTAAATCAATCACTTATTTATTTATTAACTTTATTAATTACAAACACCACAGAAATGAATCACTTTTACTGTTTAAAACGCGAAATATATAAGTTAAAATTATGTATTTGAAAATTATTTTTTTTAGTTGCTTTGCCGCGAAGGCATTGAAGATGAAGACCAAAATTAAATCTGCTACTGCCAAGTGGCTCCAACGTAAACATTTACTTGAATCCTAAAGATTTTCTATGTATATCAGTTCCGTATCGGTTGTAACATCAAGTAAATGTCGAGATTTCTAGACATTAAGAGAACAATAAACAACGTTGGTCTAAGAGGGAATCAAATCCACTATCTGATAGGTACTTATCAATTACTGGACGAATAATAGAGTGTTCTCTGTATATAACTCGAGAACTCATAGAGAAAAAAAATAAAACCATTCCATTCTTATAAAAGTTTATTTTAATACTTCACTGCTTAATTACATTCGAGATTTCGTTTCTAATACTTAAAATAAATAAATACTTTTAGTCTAATAGTTCACTGTCTTCCATCAATATATTTCCACGAACATACAAAAAAAATCTATAATACATCGGTCCTATGCTTTAACAATTCCAAACAAGTAATCCACTCTACAGCTGCTAATTTAATTTCATACAAAATCCTCTAACAAAAGTTCCATCAGAATCAGTCGAGCTGTTTGTAACCGGAAGCAATGGACAGGTATAGTTTTAAGTTAGTATTTTATGTATAAAGCTGTAAAATACAGATAAGAGACCAATATTTTATTTCAATTTTCATTATATAATATTAAAAACTCAGGCGGTCGAAACTGTAATAAGTATACACTAAGTATAAACTATATCTACTTCATTTTTAACACAGTCATTGATAAATTAATTCACATGTTAAAACATCATAAATAAGCAATTATTTTGATTGAATAAAACATTTTTAACGATTTAAAACGTTGAATATAGTAAATAAGTTAATAATTACTTTTTCAGTTCTCACCCGACGTTTTGAATACTTTGCAGCAGCAGAAATCTAGGATACAACTAAGCAAAGAATCTATTTTAAACCGTTAAAAGTGTTTTATATAAGAAGATCATCTTGGTTAGTAAGTATTACAAAATTAGTATACAAATATGACGAATACGTCTACCTGGGTCAAGTAATACAATTAGGTAAATCCAACTTCGAGAAAGAGGTCAATCGTCGAATCCGACTCGGCTGGGCAGCGTTCGGGAAACTAGACAAAGTCTTTTCATCCCGTATACCTCAGTGCCTGAAAACTAAAGTGTTCCAGCAGTGTGTGTTAGCAGTGATGACGTACGGTACCGAAACATGGTCTCCTACCGCGAGCATGGTGCACAGACTACGCGTCGCTCAGCGTGCGATGGAAAGGGCTATGCTCGGAGTTACCCTGCGCGATCGAATCAGGAATGAGGAGATCCGTAGAAAAACTAAAGTCACTGACATAGCCCATCGAATTGGCAAGCTGAAGTGGCAGTGGGCTGGGCACATCGCTCGAAGAACTGACGGCCGTTGGGGCAAAAAGGTTCTGGAGTGGAGACCACGTACCGGACGTCGAAAACCTGGACGACCTCCTACCAGGTGGACCGACGACCTGGACAAGGTAGCGGGGAAACGCTGGATTCAACTGGCGAACGACCGGTCGTACTGGAAGTCTATGGGGGAGGCCTATGTCCAGCAGTGGACGCTGAACGGCTGAATCGAATCGAGATACATATATGCTAATATTATCAAGCTGAAGAGTTTTTTTGTTTGTTTGAACGCGCTTATCTCAGGAACTACAGGTTCGAATTTTCTGTCGAGGAAGTCTTTAAGCTATAAAAACTCGTGATAATATCGGAAGCGTAGAAATAATGGACAATGTGAAAAAAAAACGGAGAGAAATATTTATCTTTGAGGGTTTCCGTTTCGCGAAGAAAGAATAATTCCTCATTAAATGGCCTAAGAAATGTCCGACGTCGTGGATATCAGCTAGTAATTGATAGATGCAAAAATAAATTGCGATGCACAAAATAACTATTGTGGGCGAAGTCGCTGACTCAGCTAGTCTTTATTATTGTTTCAATAAAAATGTCTTTCTTATAACTTACTCTAACTACATTTTGAGGTTATAGTACATAGACTTGTCTATTAAAGCGTTGACTTCGGCGACTTTTGGGTCGCATTGGGCAGACCACACCGGCTGTTGCTCCATGTCTGTGATACCAGCGTCTAACGTGCGCTGAAAAATTGAATTATAATCATTTTGGGTTAATTCAATACTGTCTGTAGTTTACACGAGTAGTACACATTTAAATAAAATACTTTAACGGTTTAAAACGCGATATATGTTAATCAACCTTGTTTGGATATTATTTTTAACTACAGCCCGACCTTTCGGAAGCTTTGCAGCGGCTGTGATCACGGAGTTTAACTATATCGTGTTTTGAACCGTTAGTGTTTTATTTAAAAAATATACTATTGTTAACTACTTTTCTAACTTGTCAAAGTACCACAGCAAATATGGCCTATCTCAAACCATAGAGAATTAGTGATCACCTTTTATAGAGTAAAGTTACTTCAGATGAAACAGGGAAAAATAAATATTGATTATATATGGACCAAACGAACTAAATCTTTTTTAATCATGTTTATGGCGACCTTTTCTTTATTTTTTTCTGCGATCGTGCACGATTGGGCCTTCTATCTTCTATTGTCGTTGACTTTGCTAACATCCCATCCGTATGTAAATGTCAAACTAAAGATATTTTCATCTGTCCATGTGCGTACATTTATTTTTAAGATTGTTATTAATTTTAGCATGAAATAGTGGTTTTTACTAAGTAAATTTGTAGTTGTTTATTAGTTTAATATATAATCCAGTGTCTTTAAGTGTTTAGTGCAAATCCTTGTGAGAAAATCACGGTCTCATGTAAATAGTGTTTGTTAACAAAAAATGCCAAGTTAGAAAAAATACACTTTAGAATTAAAACTGACAATTGGCAGCTAGGCACCTTCGCAAACAGCTCGAGTCCCAGCTGTGGAAATGATAGATGATGGTAACACTCACCGGTTTGCTAGAGCGCTTGCGTTTCGGCCAGGGCTTCTTTAAATGCACGTACGTTATATGAGCTCGTTTTTCACTTGAATGTTTGAAGCATTTCCCACACATTTCACATTTGTACGGGCGTAGACCTGTATGTATCTGAAATGTCAAGAGAGAGAATAAATAAAATGACAAAGAAAAAGTGTCAAGAAATTAAATTAGTTTTTCCCCGCCTTTATTTCCCCCATAATTTATTTTACACACAGATCTAACTAATGGCGGTAGTCGCTAAAGCCTGCCAACAAATAGAGCACGACGGTGCGTCTACGCCCTTACATCCCCCCCCCCCCGCCATTAAGTGCGGGACCTGCGTCTAACAGTGGGATATGATTTAAATAAAATACTTATAAGTTTAACTAATATAGACCGCATTTAAAACCGTTCAAATGTCTTATTTAAATGTGCACTCGCGTAAACTACAGACAGTATTCAATGACTCACAAACATATGCCGCTGACAATTACTGTGGGTGGAGAAGCTCTTGCCGCAGACCGCGCAAGTGTACGACGCCCGCAGCTCGCTGTGGACCCGCCCATGGGCGACGAGCCGCTGCTTCATGCGGAACGCTTTGCCGCAAATCGAACAGGCGAAGGGCCGCTCGCCCGTGTGCACCCAGCAGTGGTCCTTCAGCAGGGCGTAGCTCTACATACGTTAGTGAAATATACAATCGATTATAAATTGAAAAAAGTACCACACGGGCAGACCATGAACCGGCATCCATATGAACTTGAGGGATACATAATCTATACTAATATATGAAGCTGAAGAGTTTGTTTGAACACGCTAATCTCAGGAACTACGGGTTCGAATTGAAATTATTTTGTGTTGGTTTGAGCATTTATCGAGGGAGGCTATAAGCTACAATACATAGTGCTACGACGCTTTTAAGATTAACCTGCAAGAACTACGGTACGCGGACGTACGGACGTCGTGGGCAAAAATTTATATAGTTTAACAGGGGGTTTGGAAAAACAAAAATTGATATCCAAGATAATTATACTACGCGTATGAAGTCGCGTGGCTCAGCTAGTTTAATATATAACCCAGTGTCGCACAGTTTTTCTTAGCGTAGATCACGATTTCTTGTAAGTACACAATAGCCCACATCTAGCTTAAATCTTTTGATTTTCCTATAAAATAAATTTGTCGAAATAGATCGCATCTTCTTTAGATGTTATACAGCTGCGACTTGTCATTTTTTATTATTTTCATTTTACACTAAGTGAGCTATATGCTTGTGTGCTCCTCTGCCATAGGTTTACTGTTTTTTTTTTTTAATTTTCCCTTGCGTGAGGCTCCGCATGCCATACTCTAAGGACTTACTGAAAATCAGTTTTAGGTCGACAAAGGACCGGATATAGGCTGAAAAGGATCCTATTCTACCAACCATCAGCAAACATTGTTTATACCGTTAAGATTCAATTAAATTTTATTTTGATATTAAGCAATAAGTCTCAGAGTTAAGGTTTACACCCGTCTCAGAGGTCGGTGTGCCTTATAAGGCACACCGACCTCTGAGACTTACTATACTATAGTATAGTAAATAGATTTATTTATAGCTTCTCTCTATTATTTTATTTTAAAGCTATAGTTAACCAATTACATTATTAACACCTCAAACAATGTTTTACCTGGAACATTCTCCCGCAAACCTCGCACATGCACGGCGATTTCATAGACGGGTAATTGGTCCGATTCTTGTCCGGGTGCTGTCGCCTGAAGTGGCTGTGGTACGCGCGCGAATCCTCCAACTGGATGCCGCACTAAAAACATCATTTAACTCTATGTATACTAATATTATAAAGAGTCGGTTTGTTTGTAGGTACGTCACAATCCCAGAAATAACTATACTAATATATAAAGCTGAAGAGTTTATTTGTTTGTTTGAACGCGCTAATCTTAAGAATTACTGGTTAAAAAAATTAAAAATTATTTTGTGTTGGTTAGAGACTGTACAACATCGCCCTGCGATTTATAAAACTAATGAATAAAGAAACAGCAGGAAATGTGGAAAAGCTTTCAGGGGAAATTGTTCACCCTTGTGGGATTCCGTTACGTACGCTGAGAACACGGCTTAACTTACCCAAAAGTATGTATGAAAGAATGATTCCTCTTTAAATGATAAAAAAAAAACCCCGCAACGTTATTTGTCTTGCATGTTCGATAAGACGCTACCGACGCCTTGAGATGAGGAGGTGGTTTGCAAAAACAAAATATCACGCCCAAAATGACCACTTCACGCGAACAAAGTACGCTGACACAGCTAGTGTACATTAAAACCCTATTTCCCCTCGTGCGTATGGGGCATACACGTTCCTGTGCCTTTCCTGACCGAAATAATTTGTTTCTTTTCAATTCAATGTTAGGCCACGCGTTGAACTAAGACCTACGAAGGAGGAGACAACTAGTAATATCTTATTTTTTCTTTTGAGATGGGAAAATCTATTGTTACAACTAAGATATGAGACGAGAAAAATTTAAACAGATAACATGTTCACATTTAAACATCTTTTAGATGAAACGCTTTTAACAGTATAAAACGCGCAATATAAAAGTGCTTTACTTAAATGTGTTCTACTCGCGGGAATATAGCTAATAAAACATTTGAGACGACTTCAAAAAAAGTCACAAAAGTGTTTTGTAAAAGCTAAATGTGTGAGTACTATACAAACAAGTAATTTAGGTTAATTTTTAAACGGTTTAAAACGCAATATAAAACAGTTAAAAGTCTTTTATTTAAATACATCTTCTGTAAATTACCTGTTCGCACGGTATGGGCCCCTCGGCCTTCCTCACTTGGCTCGGATAGTTCTTCTTTCGGTCGAAAATCTCTTGAAGCGTGATGTTCTTGTCGATTTTACCGCGTGGCTTTCGACCTTTTTTAGATTTGTCGTCTTTGGAACTGGAAATCGTTTTCTTTCTAAGGCTACCTGAGGTTGCGAGTTATTCAAAACGTCGAACTATTCTCAATTACGACGGTCGAACTGGTCGAAAACTCAAATAGTATTAATCTTATAAGGGTGAATGTATGTTTTTATGTAAATAGTTAATTTAGTATTAGGTAATATATTTGTATTAAATTTGTTTGTTCAATAAAGTGTTTTATTATTATGTAAGCAATACACTAATATGTGAAAATTGAACATAAATAAAATACTTTAACGGTTTAAAACGTGAAATATATTATAAGTTAAACTTATTTTCAAATTTTTTTAACTTCCGCTGCTGTAAAGCTTTCGAAATGTACCGTAGTTAAAATAGTTGTGAACCGTTATAAATGTTTTGATTAAATGTTAAAAGTAGTTGGTTAGACGGGTGTAAAGTAAACCTTAATAAAATTTACATGAAAGACATCTGTATAACCATTTTAGTACTTCAATAACTATATAACTTTAGAGGCACTAACTTTGTATGTCTGGCGGACACACTTAAATGTCTCTTGTAAGCCTCGTCGGACACAAAGCGCACGTTACACAGCTCACAAAGCGGTCCATTCTCTGGTAACTGAAAATATTGGAAATTATTTATAATCGTCGTCGTACAAAAATGTAAGTTAGTTTATAAAAGATTGTAAAAATACGTGGCGAACTCATTTCCGTGTCTGTGTAACTGATCAATATTTTTTATAGACAAATGTTTGATTAGGTTAGATCAGTGTCTCGCAAACTTTTTTAGTCTGCGGCACGCTAACTGATGATTTTTTTTCCGCGGCACACTAAGCTAAATTACTTTATTAAATACGTTGAGTGGGGGGAAAACCACGCCCAGTGCTTTTCTAACCAATTCGTCCTCGCTTGTGCATCTTGTTGTTACGAGTACCTGCGTTCTGGGTTATTTAGTTAAAGTTAAATTATTACTTTTTGGGTAATTTTATAGTTATCAGAAATTGGTTTATAGATTAATCTCAGAATATCTAGTGCAACTTGGAAAATCTTTTGCGGCACACTTAACATTCTCCCGCGGCACACCAGTGTGCCGCGGCACACAGTTTGCGAGACACTGGGTTAGATCGTTAGATCTGTGCCCTGCCCGACCGAAAAAATCTGTTTTCCTCGTAATTTAAAACCACGAACTTTAGTGCTAAAACCAATGCTAGGAAATGTGTTTAACAACGGACGGAGACGGTCAGTGTATGGGAGTTATTCAGATTTAAATAAAACCGTTTTAACGGTTTAAAACGCGAATTATCGTAAAGCTATTTGTAATTATCTTTGTCACGGATTATCAGCAGCCCTCGCGATTTTAACTGTAACGGTAATAATTTTACTCTATTAGTTTTCTTATAACTTAAACATCTAAGTATGTTATACAAAAAATATGGAACAGCAGCTTAATTGGTTAAACAACCTCGGATCGCTATGATTACCGGTTCAAGTCCCGCCCGTGTCATATTTTTTATTAAATTCGAACCAAGATTAAAAGTTTATTACACCGTTAATTGTTTCTGCAAACTGTCTGTAGTTCACGCGAGTAGTATACATTTAAGTAAAACACATTAACGGTTTAAATCGCGATATATATTAGTTAAACTTATTTGTAAATTATTTTAACTTTGTCTCTCCGTGACCACGGCTTCTGCAAAGCATCCGAAACCTCGGGCCGAAGATAAAAATAATTAACAAGTCTTTAAAATTAATTAACTTCAAAACTAATCTTAACTAAATCTTTTGATTATTTTTTTAAAGATAGAGAAGGACAGACAAGCACTTGATGGTAGGTGTAATACTCCAGCCATATAACATCTACACAAGATGCGCTGTCGGCCTATTGTGGCTTTGGATATTAAAAAAAAAACCTTTAAATAAATCACTTTTGGTTTAAAATGCGATATATAATAGTTATTATTTTATTAACTTATTTAAAACTTAATTTAACTACGCCCCGACGTTTAAGATGCTTTGCAGCAGCCGTGGTCACGGGGAGACTAAATATGCAGGATGTCTCTGACGTCAAAGCGAAAGCTACGCTAGCGCCATCTGTTCCGTCGAAGTTGGTATTTAAATGTGTACTACTCGCGTGAACTACAGACAGTATTTAATATATATATACTACTTACTTTGCCGTCGTCCAACCTATGTTTAAGCTTCTTGTGTAGTTCTATCCCTTTCTCGCTTACGAACGAGTACCCGCATATGACACAGATAAAATCCGACGGGTGTTTGATCCTAATATGGCCCATATATGTCGTGAATTTGCTGTAAAGGCAATATTAATATCCTTAAATGCTGCAAAGCATAAGACATTGGACCTTAACACTCAAATGTTAAGGTTGAAGTTACATTGCGCGAGAGGTGAATTTGAGCTACAATTGGTTAGATCCGCCGGTTTACGTCCTGCCCGTGTCGAAAATTTGTTTTAAATCTAAAATCATCTTTTTATTTAGAAATAATTTATAAGACAAAACAAAAATCTCTCTTACACGAATTCGTCTAGACAATGCGGACATTGGTACTTCGTCCCTTTATGCCATTTCTCGTGAAGTCTCGCCGTTTGTCTGTAACGAACATACACCCATTAATATCAACACTTGTTTATGTAACTATGTATGGTACACATGAAATAGATCACTTTTAACAGATTAAAAATAAAACTGTTAAAACTCTTTGACGGTTTAAAACGCGTATATTTTGCTTAAGCAAGTTATTTTTAACAACGGCCCGACGTCTTTGATGCTTTTTAGTTTAGGTCACGGGCAGAGACACTCGTCTCTAATGTCAAAGTAGAAAATGGTACGCTAGCGCCATCTGTATGCGTTCCGTATTCATCCGAATTGTATACAAGAATAGGCCGAAAACCGAACAGTTACCGAATATTCGTTGCAAGCTTATTCTGAATTACTTTCTTAAAATATACTTCACGTAAGCGTAATTCGTGTCCATTTAGGGCCACGAATTACGTCAAAGTGGGCATTTAAAAAATAATCTCCTATATTAGAGGTTACCTGTGCGTCGTGACGTACGGACACCGATTGCAGTTATATCGTTGTGTGTGATGCGCAGTGACATGTTTACGCAGCGCGTGCGAGTGTTTGAAGTGCGTCTTGCATATCTCGCATTCAAATTCGCCGCATTGCTAAAAAAAATAATGGTGAAACGGATTCGATCTCCGGGAAAAACACAGTCTATTGACGAAAAAGTAAATTTCAATTGTGTATCGGTTTAATTTGTGTGGATTTCCGAACATAAAACCAACATAGGTCGATAAGGCATCTTGAATTTAATGTTGTAATGTGCTGTCCCCCTCTATCGTAAAAAAATATTTATTATGCACGTATGACGGTTTAAAACGGGAAATATAATTGTAAGTAAACTTATTTTAACTGCGACCTGAAATTATTAAGCTTTAGAGACAATGTATATACTTACGTCCGTATGTTTGGTCATGTGTCCGTTATACGCGTCTTCATCCAAAAAGCCTTTGAAGCACGCCGTACATTTAAAAACTGCATTTTTATAATTCGCAGAGTCTTGTCTCTTTTGTATTTCGGCGATCTGCTCCTCAAACGTCAAATCCGTTATTGTAAACAGCGTTTCATTTAGATCCGCATTCAAAAAGGGCTTCCTTCGCCTGTCTATCTTCGGTTCGTTTGTTTTTTGGACATTTTTCACTGTCTTTCCAGCTTTTTTCCGCTTTTTCCTCTGCACTTGCAACGGTAAACTATCATCCGTTGAATATTCAACATCTTTATCATTAAAGTCCGCGTCTTTAGCGTTTAAGTCATTATTTTTATCATTAAGGCCAGTATCTTTATCATTGAAACTGACATCTACATCATTATAGTCAGCATCTTTATGAATTACATTAGTATCGCTAAAGTTATCTTCTTTGTCATTACTATCAGCATTTTCTTTGAGAATTACAGTTTCATCATTGTAATCATCATCGAAGTCATTGTCAAGCTCTTGTGCGAAAACATCATCAGACTTTACATCTACATTTACGTTTTCAATAATCTTGTTTGTATGTCCATCTATTTGAGTGTATTCGAAACAGATTATATTGTCTGGATCTAGTACTTGTGATGATAAATTTGATGATAAATCGTATGTTTGTCTGTCTATTGTTCTTATACTGTCTAAACTTATCTGAAAATAGACATCACATACAAATTCAGCAATTAACCAGAAACAAAACTATATTTTTTCTATGATTCGCGAAAATATATGAAAATATATTTTTCAGTGTTCAATTCTCAAGTATTACACATTTATAAAACACTTTTAACAGCTTATAACGTGAAATATATTAGATAACTTATTTTTAATTTATTTAAACTACGGCAGAAGTTTTAGTTGTTTTTAAGCAGCACTTGTAAAGGGAGGATCAAGTAATATCTTTCACGTTTTAAACCGTGAAAAGTGTTTTATTTGAATTTTCAATACTTACATTATTATCTGTAGCTAGGTCCAATAGTAAGGTTCTTGACCTGTGACACTTTGTTTTGAATTTCCTACATGTTGTTAATCTGTGTGCACACTCACTACAAATAAACTGTGGCAGATTGTCCTCTCTACTTATCTGTGAATAATGGCAAAAAATGTAATTTAAACTGATATTTAGGTAGAACAATAATTATAGTTAAAGAAACTAGGCTTTATAATGTTGTGTTAGTGTATTTCTCTAAGACACTGAACTGACAAAAAAATCTGAAACAATGTAACAGTGAAATTGAAGTGAATTTTATTTTGTATATGTAATTCTATGTATCCATGTTCTTATGTCTATGTTTGTGCAATAAAGAGTTTATTATTATTATGATTATTGAAACAGAATTCAATTTCACTATTACATATTTTTATTTCTATCTGACCAGCTATTACTCTAAAGGGATTTATATAATTTGTTTACTTACAGTATATCCCGTAACATGTTCATATGTTTGCTCCAAATCATATTTACCAATTGGTAGCAGTTTCACATCTGTACCAAGACATATTCTGCATATCTATTGACAGAGTACAAGAAAAGATGGTAAAAATATGAATAACTGACTGTTATATAAAAAATGTAACAAAAATGATCATTCTTTTATACTAACCATTAAATTAATTGTGTTTTGATTAAAATTGTCTTTGATATCCTGAAAATAATAAAAATATTGAATAATAATGTTTCTGAGGTTGCTTAAACAAACACACTTTGAGAAACATAGACTACAAAACAAGTCTTCAGAAAGGTCCCAAAGAAAACTTGTGGCATTCAAACAAAATATATTATATACACACAAGATTAATGCACATATAGATTGTTATATACAATATTATATGCCATTATGGTGTGTTGGCTTCAAGTAATAGAAATATAAATGTCTTTATAAAACATTAAGACAGTATAAGTACAAACATCAAATGGCACAGCTCCATTCTTAACTTTCCTCAAACCATTCTTTGTGATATATAGATCCTCTTTCAGAAAATGGTCGGAACAAACAGCACTTCTCTCCTTTGGTGACCATGAATCTTTGTGTAATGCTTTCAACCAGGCTTGCCGAAGTTTTGTTTCAGTTGGGAATCTAAAAGTATTATGTTTTAATATGATAGGAGAGGATTGAGTAACAAGGGATTTTCTTGATCTTACTGAAACCTATTTAAATTTTGCATCAAGCTTGATACCAAAACAACTATATGGTTATTTAGTTTAAGATCATTGAATTTAGATATCCTTATTACCCAGATGTACATATAATCTTTGAGACTTGTATATTTGTAGTAAAATTCTGAAATTTTAATTTAATTTTTATTTAAACTACAAGCTAGTGGTACATAATTAATTATCACTGATACACATTATTTTTGCAATTGAATAGTTGTTTTGTTTAGTAAAAGATTATACCATCGTTTACTTATCAAATCAACTACAGGATATAAGGGTATATAGTTTCTAACTGCATTAAGAAGTTTACATATTGTCAAAAAGAAAACAAGATTAACCCACTGTTACTTACACGTGAAATGTAATCCCCTGGGATTTAGATATTTGTCTTGAGTCATTCTTGCATGATTTTACACAACACCTCATTTTAATTAGATTTTAATTCATGATTTGCGCTTAGAGTGTTCCATACGTACTATACTCAAATAAGGAATAACTATAAGACTATCAGTATAGAAACATATCGTATAATGACGCTTCTTTCCTTAAAATATATTTATTTAGGTTTGCGCTTATTGTGTGTAAAGATATTATGTGTTTTTTATTCAATTAGACCTTAGAAATTAGCAAAATTGGTCATTATAGATTTCTATTTCCTAAAGCATCACAATAAAGATTAAAGAATAAAGATTATTATTTTCAAAATTACTTGACAATTGACTAGGGGGTCAGGCAGTGTTGCTAAGATGGTTAAAACCTTTCAACAACAATTTTATATATTTTTGTAAGATATGACTATGAATAAATTAAATTAAAACTAAGCTATTTTTGAGTGCCTTCCTTTTTAATTTTTAAAAATATTACTGTTCCAAGAGATCGAGATTTCTATGCAAGAATTGTCAAAAAACGATTCAGTCAATTTTCAACTTAAGTTGTCAAATGTCAATTAGCTTTGAATCAATCTCAATATTTCGATTTTTGTTTAATGTTTATTGTTTATTAATATTTTTCTGTGTACATCATACAATTTAACAAATAAAATGAATTAAAGGTGCATAATATGTAACGCGAGTGTTAAGCTTATAAAGTGAACTTTAAATGGCTTGCAATCACATAAATAAGCAGTAATATATTAGGTATGAGCGAGGTGTAAAATATACGAGTGCAATTTTTTTCGATCTATTATTATTTTTAACATGCTCTCTTTTAATTGTGTTAGTTATATTTAGTCTTGTAACAAATCCTAACTTTGTACAAAATTTTAGTTCATTATGGACATCTAAATTTACAAACTGATGAAGCTTGAAAATGGATGGTACAGATATGCAGAAGGTAAGACTGGCTTAGTTACAGTGTCTCATCCAAACTGAGATACAGTATCACAAATAAAATATATTTCACACATTTTAGGTGTGTCGCATCTGCCTTGTCATGGATTCCAAGTTATTTGACATAAACATGGATAATCTAAGTGAAATATATTATGACATCACTGGAGTACCTGTAAGTTTAAACATTATAATAGGTATTTGATTTAATTTACACTGTGGTTAAAATTCTTATGGTGTTGGTATGATTAAAAAGTTTCAGGCTTCAAACAAGGACAAATTGCCACAGCATCTATGTTGGGAATGTGCTTTCCGTTTGAAATCTGCTCAAAGTTTAAGAGAGAAAGCTCAGACAGCACACAACATACTAGTAGATCTTATTAATTTTAATAAATATGTAAGTAAATTTCCAAATAAATATTTCAAAAAAATGTAGTTTAGTACTGAAATTTATTAACTATGGTTCAAAATATAATTTTAATTGCTTTTTAGATAACACATGATCAAATAAAAGCAATAAATAGAATCGAAAACAATCTACAGTCGGCACTGACAACAAATTTTATAGATGCGCATAACTATGATGTCGCTGTACAAGAGTATACAAAGCTGGATGAGTTTGAAGGGAAGATCGAAGTCAATGCTGATGTTAGCCATACACCGGACATTGATGATATGTTCAATGATGATCCGCCAGCAACAGTTGAGATTAAAGTTGAGAATAATGAGATATTCTTCGAAGACTGCGGTTTTGCGAGCGAAGATGATAGAACTTTAAGTGAAATGTGTAAAGTTAAAAAGGTGAAGAGTAAAGCTAGAGTGAAGAAAAAGGTAAAAGTTGATGATGATTTAATTGAGGATACGCCGACAGCTATGGTAGAGAAGTAGGTTTATATATTTTTTAATTTAATCTTTTGAATACTAGCATTAACATTTGGTTTTTTATAATCTTCCGAATGAAGCAAGGTTTTCAAGCCTGGCTTCAAAAAATACTTTGAAAGTTTGACTAATTTTGTACATGGTCGTACCTAAATAGTGATCTACAAGGTAGTCAATTTAATCTTGATTTATTTTTTGATTTGTTGGTAGAATACTGTTTGTACGCGAGTAGTACACATTTAATTAAAACACTATTAACGGTTTAAAACGCTAAATGAATTAATTCGTTAAATGTTGAAATCTCATGCTGTAGTTCATTTGTATTAAGTTTAACGGATATATTTCGCGTTTTAAACCGCTAAAAGTGTATTCTTTAATTGTTCATATAAACAAACGGTAATATTTTATGACTGTCGCTGATATATCACTGATAGATTGTTAATGTTTTAGTTTATATAATGAGATTGTAATTTTTATAAAGGTTTAGACTATTAACGGTTTAAAACGCTAAATGAATTAATTCGTTAAATGTTGAAATCTCATGCTGTAGTTCATTTGTATTAAGTTTAACGGATATATTTCGCGTTTTAAACCGCTAAAAGTGTATTCTTTAATTGTTCATATAAACAAACGGTAATATTTTATGACTGTCGCTGATATATCACTGATAGATTGTTAATGTTTTAGTTTATATAATGAGATTGTAATTTTTATAAAGGTTCAAAACAGCAGACGTGAAACGCAGGAGAGCGAACGAGAACATAGACGCGAACCTCTTCACGATAACGACTCTTACTTACGAACAACAAATAGAACAGATAACGAAGAGAAAAGAATCTGAGTTGTACAAGAACGCGACGTTTAAATGTGATATGTGCTACCGGGGCTTCCATATCAAAGCGAGATATGACGCGCATGTAGTGCGGCATAGTGATGTGAGTTAAGATGTCCCACTGCTGGGCATCCCAGTGCAGGGTGGGCTTAAATGGCTACCGTAGCTTAGTTTAACCAATATGGCTTACGTTATTTGCAAATGGGTGGACTACCAACTAGTACAATTAAATTATATAGATATAAATACTTAATCTGATACTGTCTATAGTTTACGCGAGTAGTACACATTTAAATAAAACACTTTAACGGTTTAAAACGCGATATATTAGTTAAACTTATTTGTAAATGATTTTTAACTTCGGCCCGACGTATCGGATGCTTTGCAGCAGCCGTGGTCACGGGGAGACCGGTCGCGATTTAAACCGTTAAAGTGTTTTATTTAAATACTTAATCTTCATAGATGAAAAATAATATAAGCAGTGCTTGTGATAAAAAAATAAACAAAGCCACGAAAAATTATATATATTTCTTTATGGTAGAGGAGGACATATAAGAACGGGGTTCACATGATGGTAATTGAAATACCCCAGCGTATAGTATCTAATGAAGATGCGCTATCGACCCATTTTGGCTTTGGTTATTCGGAAATCTTCAGGCTGAAACCAAAACGTCAATAAGCTTTTTCATCTGTGGATGGTGGTTCACTTAATATCCAGATTTCCAACATGTACCACAAAAAATGTATATTCATTAGAAAAATGTGCGACCCGTTGGTTATTAGCCGTACATCGCTATCACTGCACCAACGAACCCGTCTAATAACCATATTTCTTTAGCAAAGCGGCGCCTACGAGTGTTTCATTTGCAAGACTAGAATGAAAACCGGTCGTGCCTTGCGTAAACATATAACTTCGCAACATACAGAACAGTTCAGCTGTAGAGGCTGTCCGTTTGTCACTATGAATCGGTAAGTCACTTCTTTTATAGTTTATTTTCTGAGACGAGTTGATAGAGTGTTGTCTCTTTCCCACAAACCCATATAGAGAACAAGGAGAGATGAATAAAGTATAGCAGTGACCGCGTGTGATTTTAAATTAAAAATCGATTACATTGAAAATACTTTACGACACGGGTAGGACTCGAACCGGCATCCACACACAAAAAAATTCAACCTATCGATACATCCATCTCTCGCGCAATGGAATTTCAACCTTAACGCAGCTTAAGAAAATCATTTCAGAATGTTAAAAACATTTAAATTGTTTATTTTCATTTTATCAAAGAACTTTTTTCCGTTGAATATACAAATACTTGTATTAAATAGTAAAATCGTGTTTTCTCGTGGTCCCAGCAGTGGGAATCAAATCATTGATTACTCTTTCAGGGGTGTAGCGCGTGAACACGAGAAATGGCACGCGGGAACGAAGTACCAGTGTCCCCATTGTCCGAGTCAATTTGAGTAAGTTCTTCTTCTACCTATCTACTGCCAGAACGCCTATACGAATTTTGATATGTTTTTATAGAGACAAATCAAATTTCATGGAAACGTCTCCAGAGCTAAATGATAAAACGTGGTGTGTAGCATGGCGTTAAGCACTTGGGTTCGAATCCTTAGGAAACGATAAAGTGATTCGGATGGACAGGGCACATAAGTTCAGACTTAGTAGTTCAGACTACTTGTAATAAAATTAAATAGTGAAACAGATACATAAATGTGTTCGCCTCATTGCCCTTAGGGAAAAGCGGGATTGTAATATATATATTATTTATTAAAATCTTCTTGTATTATCTATAGTTTACGCGAGTAGTATATTTAAATATATTAATATGCCACATATACATATTGAAATAAAACACCATTTTGGTTAATTCTTTAACTTATTTAGACTACGGCCCGACGTTATGGATGCTTTCCAGTAGCTGAGGTCATGGGGAGACTGAAAATGGAGGGTGTCCCTAATGTAACTGCTACACTAGCGCCATCTGTTTTGTCGTAGTTGGTATTTTTTCGTTGGGCCACATTTAAATTGAACATAAGCTATACTTCGCGTTTTAAACTGTTAAAAGCGTTTTATTTAAATAACTCCATTGTGTGTTGTGTAATTTTTTTATGTCTCTTCTTTCCAGTAAAGTAACGACGTATTTAGGGCATGTAAGGATAAAGCATGTTTCGGACTTCGTCTGCGAGCTTTGTGGCTATACGTTTCTGAGTAAAAAAGGGATAGACGTACATAAAAAGAAAAAACACAGGCTCTCCGAAGAAACGGTAAGTCATAAATTTTTAAAATTGTTTGTGTTAGGTATACATATGGTGTGTGAGTTTTGTTCCCCCGGTTTAGGGCATAGGTAAGACACCAAATCAATCTCAAAATGGCTCGTTAGTGTATCCGTAACAATGTACGCTTACGCAACGGGTCGTAGATTCGATCCAGAAGTCTGGATATTATGTAGGCGGTAGGAATATCGAAACTCCGTCCGGGTCACTACAGATGAAAAGGCCGTGAAGCTTAATCCGATCCGAATCCGATAGGTCGAGAGCGCATTTGTTTTAATGTTATATAGCTGTGGTATTATATATAAACCCCCTCCCCCCCCTATAATAATAAAAAAAAACTTTGTTCGTTAGGCCCCGCTCGAAGGACCATATTGTGAGGTGTGCGATGTGAAGTTCGTATCGGAAGAAGCGCATTCGCGGCATTTGAAATTATCATCGAGACACAGCAGTGATAACGATCCGTAAGTAACAATTTCAGTATTATTGTATAATGAATATTGTAAGTGTAAGTGTTGAAGTAGAAAATGTTCGTCAAAACCTGATAACGCCTGGGTGTGTGTGAAGTCTCGTTTCCCCCTCGTGGGGCATGGGACGGACACAGAAATGTGTTCGTGTCACTGATCCGTTCTTTAACGGGCAAGTGGTTGATCAGACTTCCGTGCCCTGCCAGACCGAAACAATTGTTTGTTTCCCTGGGATTCGAACCTAGGACCTCTCGCGCTTAACGTAATGCTAGGCAATACGTTTAACCATTTGGCTACAGAGGCGGTCCGATACGCCTGGGACACGGTAGCAATTGGAAATTGCTTTATTTAGTCGGTTCTAGTACCGCTCGTGTCTGAAATTATTTATTCTACACTAATATCATAAAGTGAAAGAGTCTTTTCAACGCACTAATATTAGGAACTACTGGTACGAATTGAAAAATTCTCTTTATTTTGATCGGACAAAAAACAGGCTGCGACCAATACGAGAGAAAAAGGCGGAGGAAAATGTGGAAAAAACGGGGAAAATTATTCGTGCGCTGCGAAAGAATATATATGAAAGAATTATTCTCCTTTAAGACCTAAAAGTGGTCCACGACATAATATGTATATCTTTTAAGATATCTCAAAAGTTTGCCATGTCAGCTAGTAAGCAATAAATTTCATCAAAATCTGTCAATCAGTTTACGTACAAACGTACATTTATACACTATTAATACTAGTGCGTTTATAGGGATCGGATACGTAACGACTCCCAGAGTATGACCAGTGTAAAGAAAGGAGTTCGACAGGCAGACAGACGGATGATGATGAACAGACGCGACGTGGAAGGTGATGAGTCGACCCTTGAAGTCATCACCTGTGAACAGGTATAGAACAATATGTCTGTAGTTAACGTGAGTAATACACTTTTAATTATAACGCTTTAACCCGTGTTTTGCTGCTGCAAAGCATCAGAAACGTCGGTTAAAAAAATGTAAACAAGTTTAACCAATATATGAGGCTGCTAGAAGCAGAGTGGCCTAATAACAAAAACATAATTTTCAATACGGAGAGAAATAAAGTTGCGCAATTAACTTAGGCGAAAATTAATTTGTACTATTATTTGTGTAAGAATTATGGTAACAATTCTCAGTTAGTGTGATCTTGTAGATTAACATTTTTAGACTATGAAAATGTAAATAACTTATAAAACGACAAAAAAATGCAGTTAGGCTACTCTGCCACTAGCAGCCTCATATATTCTGTGATGGTAGAATATGTTGGTAAATAATTAAATGAACTTTAAAACAAAAAAATATTTCGCGTTTTAATACAACAATCCAAAATTTGTAACTCAGTGAACAACGATTGCAAACTCTTGCAAATATTGTTTATTTATTATTATATTCCAGTGTGGCGTACAACTTCGCGGCTTGCGCCTCTACGCGCAGCACTTCCGTCGCGTTCACCCGGACAAGAATCGGACCAAGTACCCGGCTATGAAGACGCCGTCCATGTGCGAACAGTGTGGGAAAATATTCCAGGTATATTTTTATATCTTGTCGGGCAGGGCACAAGTACTCGTTTACACTACACAAGATTGTTGTATTAGTATGGTGTGAAGCCTACCCGCTTTGTCTTTAGTCTATATGTATAGTTTTTCGTTAAGTTATATTATTTTAATAAGTCATTAAATAGATTTATAAAACACGGACTTATAAATTTGTCTGAAATAGGGTGAACGAATTATTTCTTTCAGAGCATGGCACTCCTAAAAGACCACATGTGGGTGCATACAGGCGAGAAGCGGTTCAAATGCGACCGTTGCGACAAGAGTTTCACGCAGAAGACGAACCTGGTGTTTCATATGCGCGTGCACAGTGCCACGAGACCAAGTTACGAATGCCCGCTGTGTGGGAAACACTTCGCCTTCTACAATAATCGACGGCGGCATATGTTTGTGAGTGTTCGAGTACTTATGGTTTGGCTTTGGATAGTCGGAAATCGAAACGCGATGAAAATTCACGGCTTTTGCAGTGGACGGTAGGTCGACGGACGAAATTTTAATTTTAATTGGACCCGGTGAGAATCGCACCCATGACACGTTTATTATTAAGCGTACTTGATACGTTGTTGACCCAATGGTAGCAATACCATTAGAGCAACAGGCTCGAAAGGAATAAATTTATTAATATACTATTAATTTTAATTATTTGTTTTTATATATAATAGTCCGTAGTTAACGTGACGATAAATAAAGCACTTTTAACTGTTTAAAACGACATACATATATAGTTTAATTTATTAAAAGAGTCTACTATTATTTAATTTTAATATTATTTTTCAAATAAGTTTAACTAATATATCGCGTTTTAAACCGTTAAAGTGTTTTATTTAAATGTGTACTACTCGCGTAAACTATAGACAGTATTTAGTCTACTATTATATTCGCATTTTAAAGTGCTTTATTAATAGTATTTTGTATATTTTTAGATACACACCGGTCTCAAACCGTTCAAGTGCGATACGTGTGGTAAGGCCTTCACGACGTCCGGCGAGTTGCGCGCGCACGTCGAACACGTTCACTTGAAGAAACCCTGGCCGAAGAGGTCGAGACGAGGAAACGAAGAACCGTGGAAGTGTATACAGAGTATGGAAGATTAGGTATGCTACTAGGGTATGCCTAGTTCGTTTCAAACAGCGGTCCCACTGCTGGGCACTGGTTTCTGCTCTTATGATATAAGACCCACCACGCTGCATATTCAATGTTCAAATATAATGTATTATACATACTTATTTGTATGTATAATACATTGCCAGTTGAGGTTTCAAATTTATCAATAAATAAGTTCAAAATTGTGTCAAAAGGCGTATTATTGTTTTAAATACTTCTTGAATGACACGGCTGCCTGGCAGTGATATGAATTGCTCCTTAGGTCATTAAATTCACAAAAATGTATTATTAAGACATGTTGAAAAAAGCCAGACTGAGTTTCTTGGGTGTTCTGCTCGGTTATGTTGCACTTTGGAACACTCTGTAGAATCACGAGGAACGGACAGACATATTTTTTTTTGACAAATCTAAATAATTTCATAAAGAAAAACAAAAACGCTATTGCTAGTTTTTATAAATTACACATTTATTTGTTATTGTATTCTTTACCCCTATTTTTAAGATAACAAAGGTTTTTGTTATTGAAAATATTAAGCTAATAACTAGGAATGGCAAAATTCAAAGGCGTGTGTCTGTGGGATAGTAGAGTGATGAAGAATGATAGATAAGATGTGTTTGGCCTTTTTGTAGCCCATACAAAGATTAAATATATCAAGAGATATTTTTCATTATATATGATTAAAAATAAAGGGAAATATCTTAAATACGTAAGGCTTTCACAACTACCGTGACTAATTCAGTTCTGATAACCGGAACCGACGGCTTGACGTACACAGAGGCACGAGAGTGACGTAACTCCCAACGTCCTTGCTGAACTGGCAAGAAACTCGCGGTCACTCCCTTTATCGCCAAGTTTTACTTATAAAATACCGTATACCAATGTAAAGTTTACAAATGACTATACCTTGTTTTTTTTAGGTAAAAGGTGTGCAGTATTATTAGTTAATTTAACATTTACAAATATAATTCGAAAATAAATATTTAAAATTTTTACACGTCAAAGCTAAGGAGAAGTTAAAATATTGGGTGGATATTTCAAAGGCCCATCACAATGCTCCAGTGTAAGACGGTGGGCCTTGACAACTAACGTTGAAATACCTGTTTAAAATGATAGCATTTAAAGTTACAATACTCATATATATCGGTTAGTAATGATCTCATTTTTGTTGTATAATATTTCGTATCGAAACGGATGTAATTGTGTGAGATTGAGAAATAAACTATTAAACGATAGAGAAATAATGTAAGTCCTGGTTCAGGGCTTTAAAACATTTTTATATAACAGAAACAAACATATATAACACAAATTTGGAAATCCACAGACTAAAACCCGAAACACGATTAACCTTCTCGACTTAGTCATGTGGGCGGTGTTTCGTTACCCGGACGAAATGTCGATATTCCTACCCACATTTAATTTCCAGCTGAAGCTTAACATAAAATCAAACATGTTAAATCCGATGGTTAATCCTACTACCCATTACGAAAGATCCCGTTAAAAATGGATTTATTTGTTTCCTTCGAAAAAAGTGTCATTCGTTCGCCTTAAGTTAGTAATAAGTTTATTTATTTGAGAAATAATGTAATTTTGTACATGATCTAATAAATGGCGTTTGAGAATTTTTCTTGTTTTACTCACACTTGGTTTTGACTGAAGCCAAAACGCAAATACAGCTTCAGGTTCATTCAGGTTTTCTATAGCCATGTTGAATCCAAGTAGGATATCGACTAGCACAGCATTGTCATTGGCATGCATTACTTTACAGTAGGAATCGTGGGTCTAAAAAGGGCCTAAAAGCGCCTAAAAAGGGAAATACATTAGTTACTTATTTTTACTACGACATGACGTGTCGTATGATTTCCAGCGGCAATAATCAAGGGGGGACCAATTATTTATTTCTTGATTCATTTATGCATATTTAAAAGGCATTTGATATAGAACGGCATAAAAGTTACAAATCTGAAATAAATTTCACTTCATAGTGAATCCAGTAGGAATTGAATTTACAGCTCATTGATTTTTATTGCATTGTGGTAGATACCTAATATATGGTCATATTTGTAAGTAGCGGCACGGATCTTTAGCATTGAACGAATCTTGCGCAGAAGTCAAAAATAAGGTATCGAAGGGACGGAAGCGGGCGCACGGCGAGTGAACGTCATGTGCGCTAGCGTTGATTGGTTCCCCTGTCGTGTTGTCTTTCTCGGACCAATACGACGCTCCGTTTGCTTCTCAAGTACAGTCACATTTTCCAATAAATTACGTGCGCGATTGTTCCGATGCGCAACCATCCCCTCTACATTTCGTTGAGCACTAAACATCCGTATTGCGACCTATACAAAATTGTATTATCTATAATTCTATACAATGTATGGTTTAGTTTTATTGTCTCGAACAGCAATCCATAGAGTTAAAAATGTCATTTGACATCATTCAATAGATATTTCCTTCATATTATGTAAGACATAACATACAAATTTTAAGTATTAAAGCTAAAACTAAAAAAAAAACATGGAAAATTCAAAAACTAAGAAAGGAAAAACTACGTAAGACACAGTTATATAGAAGGCCTGAGTCCCACTTGAGGGAATCACGGACATTAGTAATTTTAAGTTTGTTTCAGCCATACGAGGTACCCTGCACCATATTCATGGTCGCATACAGGATCCTACGAGAGAAAGACTATGAGAAAGAGCGCTTCGTCCTATGAAACGCAGCGGTAGGTTTTTAATTAAATTAATCTATATAATTAGAGGCTATCTTATATATTTATATAATTACATTATCGATCGCCTCTGGAAGAAATAACGTAGCTACATACTTTAGGTAAATAGCGTAAGACTGGTAATTTTTTCAATTACGATCCGGCGTGTCATACTAAACCGTTGTTTTTTTATGTTTACTGTTCGCGTAAACTGCAGACTTAATGGCCTGAGATCTTATCCAATATTTATATATAAATTGATCTTATACTCTACCTTATAACTCCACTACTAGATAAACAGTACGGCACGCACTTAGGCCTGTCCACCTCAAGTTTTTTTATTGAAAAGGTTAAGTTTTTTAATAGAAACGTAATTATTGTAATGATCGATATCGTACAATTTAGGATAACTGAGTTTTTTTTTCTTTTGCGTATTGTATTTTCTTATGTTTTTTAACTTCTATTCGCTTCAAACAGAATTTCACAAACGTACTTTCCACCATTGAAACACCTGTTACAGATTACCAGGTGTTTGACGTTTGAACACTTATTGTTTTCAGTAAAATGAAATTCTGCAAACCTAAAGGGCCTACTACTGGCTGTGATCCTTACGCATCTCATCTGAAGTATGGAATATTCCCGAGACGCTCCAAGTAAGTTTTATGAGCTAATTCTTAGTGATAGTAAATTTACAAAAAATAGCCACTGTAATTGAGAAATGGTTCTCAACGGTTCGAGGTTGTTTTAAACTGGTGGCAGTTTAAAACAACCTCGCTTGCGTTAGCTCGGCCTCTGAAGGGGCCACAGAATATCAGTGTCGGGACATCAGTCCCAACGTAGCTGAGTGGCTTCCTTTTCAGAGGCAACTATATTGTAGTATTAATTTTAATTCTTTATATACTTTTTGATATTGTTTTAATTAGATTTGATTTGTATCGGATTAAGTTTTAATTCGTAAACGTATTCTATTCTATAGTTGTGTTATATATTGTTGGCCCGTGTTGTTTTTATGATTGATGTGCACAGATAAGCATGGAGTTCTCTTGATGGTAGGTGAAGCACCTCAGCCATATAAATGATATTTAATCGATATAATTGCCATGGGAGACCTGTACTTTTTTTATTTATAGATAAATGTCAAAAGACTCGTGCCAGTACTTAGAGGATTTTGTTTATCTCCATTGCCATTCCCGTCCAATATTTTTGAGTAAAATTCTTATTCGTTGTTTAACATAACAGACGAAAATGAAGACACAAGGGTCTTGTGTCAGTATAACCTGCAGCACCTACTGTTCGTCATGCAACCATTTGATATTTTAATAATAGTGACTTAACAAAACTATGGCAATTCTAGGGCCCAGCGGCAAGGTGTTCTGGTAGTTTAAAAAAAAATGCTTTATAGAATATTCAGCTAAATAGACTATTCGCTTATTCCTTCAGGGAAGCGGACGAATCCAAACTGCGTTTAAACAAGACTCCATCGGTACATCAAAGTGGTCAAACGCCAAATATTGGTAAGAAAACTTTGTCTAAAACACTAAACATGGTTTTAAACTGTTACGCTAGCGCCATTTATTTTGACATAATTAGAGAAACTAACTGACACCGATAAACGAAATGACTGGCTCGTTGGTGTAATGGCAGCATTGTGTGATGTGAAATCAACGGGCCGTGGGTTTGGTTTCAACAGATTTCTAGTCACATGTTGGACTTCGTCTGGAAATCTGGAGATTAAATGGATGGCAGGAATATCGAAATTCCTTCCGGGCCACGAAATACCGTCCACAGATAAAAAGGCCGTCATGTTTAATCGCGTTTCGGATGCAGTATGAATTTCTGAATATTCAAAGTCAAATAGGTCGACAGCGGTTGTTTAGATAGTATATGGCTGGTGTACCTATCATCTACCATCGAGTGAACTCCGTGCTTATCAGTTCTATATTATAAAAAAAAAACGGTTAATTCAAATCATTCAGATAAAAGTTAAAATAAGTTAACTAATTTAATTACTGTTTTTTATTTATCACTTTTTATAAATAGGACAATCCGACGAACCATACTTCATAATACGTCCGCTGGACAAGCGCTTCACCAGGCAGCTGTGCGTGTCTGAAACGTGGCACGTCGATATTCAGCCCCGACTGAAATCCCCAATACGGGCCAGCTCATCTTTTCGATTCAATAAAAGAAATTGAACTCTACTTGTTTTATTCTTTACGTTAAGTTAAGGGCTCGTACACACCGGCTACCTCCAACGTCAGTCAAGGGCGGATCCAGTTTTGGCGACAGGAGGACATAGTCATGGTCAAGTCAAAGTCTAGAAACAATCTTCACATCTTAATAAATATTTTATATGTGTAGCCTATAGCCTTCCTCGATAAACGCTCTAAACAAATAAAAAATATTTCTATTTTTATTTTTAATAGTTCCCGAGATTAGAGCGTTCAAACAAACAAAAAAGCTGTATATATTATCTATCCGCGAAAATCTAACTAAATAAAACTGAGACAAAAGTATAAAACACAAATATTTCATTATCATATAGTCTGTAATTGAGAACAGGAGATGGAGTAAATAACAATTCAACAATTGTGAGGTGAAATTTTTTAATAATTACATATTTTTTACAGGCCTTATTAATTAAGTAATGTCGTTATATTGTCATTTATGATTAAATTCGTAACATATAACGTGAAATCATGGGATATTGTTTTGAATTTATTTATTATTCCCTTTTGTCCATTTCAATACTTTGCTAATTCAAGATTTTATTCTTATACGAGGAGATGAGCACCCTTGTTAGACAAGATGAGACAAAATATCATACCGGGATTCGAACCCCGGTTCCCGGAACCAAAAGCGTTCTTTACACAATGCAATGGACCGTACTTACCCAGTAAACCTCGAAGAAGGGGGAATAGACTAATAATGACTATTAGAATAGCATTTTGAACGCGCATGAGTCCTAATATGTGTTCTTAAATTACAACTTTGAGTAAATTTTTTATTACATATATCACAAGTATATGGTTTTTCGCCAGTATGAGTCCTAATATGGGTATTTAAAGAGAAACTGCGAGTAAATTTCTTATTACATATATCACAAGTATATGGTTTTTCGCCAGTATGAGTCCTAATATGGGTATTTAAAGATAAACTGTGAGTAAATTTCTTATTACATATATCACAAGTATATGGTTTTTCGCCAGTATGAGTCCTAATATGGGTATTTAAAGAGAAACTGCGAGTAAATTTCTTATTACATATATCACAAGTATATGGTTTTTCGCCAGTATGAGTCCTAATATGGGTATTTAAAGATAAACTGTGAGTAAATTTCTTATTACATATATCACAAGTATATGGTTTTTCGCCTGTATGTGTTCTAATATGTATTTTTAAATGACAGCTTTTATTAAATTTCTTATTACAAATATCACAATTATATGGTTTTTCGCCTGTATGAGTCCTAATATGGGTATTTAAAGAGAAACTCGTACTAAATTTCTTATTACAAATCTGACAAGTGTGTGGTTTTTCATCGGTATGCGTCGTAATATTATGGTCTTTTAATGTATCGCTTTCACAAAATTTCTTATTAGATGTAGCACAATGTAGTTTATAATTATCATTTATGTCTGATGTGTGAGTCTTTATAATATGATCGTCCATTAATGTTTTGTCAGGACATTTATAAAAGCAAATATCACAAGAGAAAACAGTAAAACCCTTGTTTTCTCTGAAATGCATAGAACGATGTGTTGCCTGTAAACGTTTGGGGCCTTTGTAATTGCAGTTACCACATGCGAACATGTTATTGCCAATAGATTTATAATCACAGTTAAGATTATTTTTTATGTTAATTTCTTTATTAACCGAGATTGCTGGATTATTGCATATTTTAATATCTGCTGAAAAAGCAGGTCCATTGGCGTGTTTAGAATTAAGATCTCGGTGTACGATGTTAGTAATCGGATTTATGACTGGTGTTTTATTATGATTCTCTTCATTTTTTTTCTCATTTGTATTTTCAATTACATTTCTACTGCCCTCGGTATCTTCAAGATCTTGTATGATTGTATCCGTTTGAACTGGATCTACAGTCACTTGAGGTTCCACTAAAAACGACGGTTAGTTGGAGACAAATCGGATTCTTTCATGAAGGTTAGCTAGGAATAAGCTATTTAGGCTACTTATCTATCTACTACCCATACCGTAACCGAGTTATAAGTCCCTAGCAATCAATAAATATGAACAAGTCGGTCTTGAGTTCGATTTGACTACCTTTTCAACGCTGGTAATTCTTACCTCTGATAAATTAATAATTAAAATTAAATACACGCTACTAAAAGATAGAAGAAAAGACCCTAATAAATAATGTTGCTGTAACATATACACTTGAAGTTTATAAAAAATGTACGTAATGTAATAGAAATACTTTTTAAAATGACACGCGAGGTAATAAATTTCATTAATAATTATGACAAAGTGATTTGGCTTTATACCTGCAGGAAGCGAATTGTTGTATCTTCTTACATCTATACCGAGTTTGACTGCGAACTGAACTCCGTAAAACACCAACAACTCCGTGTGGGGAGGTATTAATTTTATAGTTCTGAAAATAATTTATACAAGTGCCACCAGACTGTAATTAAATTTACCCTTTTCTATTAATGTGATAATTGTGATGGAATCTGATATTGTAGATTAATAATTTATAGTGAGTTCGGGACTGAGATCGCCTATAGGAGAAGTAAGGGAAAATATAATGAGAAACAGTCAACTCCTAGAACCAAATAGTATACAGCGTTACGTAACGCTTACTTTTGGTCTCTTTATACTATGGAGACATCAGTAGTTAGCATCTATGGACTCCATATATGCTAATTTCGGCGTGATTTCATAGGCCAGATTATAGATTGATAAGGTGAACAGCATGTTACGTAACGCGTTACATGCATAGTTCAGCTATGATAAGTCACAGCACTTCTGTAGAGCGCCCTACAGACCTCTTAACTTTTATTTTTCGAATTATTCTTAAAAGGCCTATTTTACTAAAAAAATGCATTTTCAACAGCAACACATTTAAATTAAACACTTTGAACGGTTCGAAAAGCGAATTATATCAGTTAACTGATTTTATATTTGTTATGCAACAGTCGCGACGGGAATAAGTTAATTTATAATCAACGTTTTAAACCGTTAACATTTTTTGTTTTCCTGCGTTGTTTTTGTAACTATATCGTGTCCTAGAAATATATTTGACTCTCACCTGTAGTACATCTGCCCTTGATACTGGAAAGCCACTAAGTTCTGCTCGGACCGGTGTCTTGAACAATTCACGTAGCGCATCCAATTGGAGTTGTTCGCGTCGGACGCGTCAACCACATGAGTCGGTTTGTTGTGTTTATCGTATAACTATTGCATACAATGTTTTTAAAATCGAAAGGAGGCTATTTCTTAAAGCAGAATGGGACAGACAAGCTGGCAGAAGGAACTGGCCGAAGGCTGAAGTACCCCAGTCATGTAACATCGCAATAAGATGCTCTATCGCCCTTTTTGGTTTACGGTTATTGTGGAGTGGCGGTTGTAAGTAACCCGAACAAAATTTCAAAATTTCTACCTTCCATTAATATCCAAATCTCCTAGACTAAATAGAACATGTTTCAAAACAATATATAATTAAGCATTGTGTGTAGTTCACGCTTTTAAATACAACCCTTTTTATCGGTTTTAAAACGTGGAATATTGTTAACTCGACTGCGGTCGCTGCGAAGCATCCGAAACGTCGTAGTTGGAATAAAATGAAATTTATATATTTCAAGTTTTAAACCGTTGAGTGTTAAATTTGAATATAAATAGATTTTAGTAATAATTTGGACCTGGTGGAAATCGAACACATGAACTGTTGATGACACATGCTTAAATACATTGGTATCATTGCACGTAGTTTACGCGAATAGTACACATTTAAATAAAACACTTTAACGGTTTAAAACGCGATATATATTAGTTAAACCTATTTTTAACATCGGTCCGACGTTCCGGATTGTTTGCCTAGTCGAGTTAACTATATATTCCGTTTTTGAAAACCAGTCTCCCCGTCACCATCCAAAACATCGGGCCCAAGTTAAAAATAATTTTCAAATAAGTTTAAGTAATAAATCGCGTTTTAAACCGTTAACGTCTTATATCTATAACATAACATAGTTTTTCATTTCATATAAATGCAGTGGCGTAGCTATCGTAGAGCCCGGTGGTGCAGTGCACCAAGGCCCCGTCAGGGGCCCTCTAACCTTTGAAAAGATATAAGCGTAGAAGAAAAGGATATTTTGACGTTCTTGTTGCTATTTATAATTTTGGAGGTGCATTTAATTCAAGCAAGGCTGAAAGAGGGGATGAGGGCCCGATTCTTTCATAGGCCCTAGGATTAGGTAGACCGGGGCCCTTGTCAACCTAGATACGCTACTGTATTAATGTGTTTGTTTAATGTACTAAGATTAATATTTACAAGTTTTTTAACATACCTGCCAGCAATAGTTAGAGCCGGCACTTTCAGAAATCCTGCCGCGGTACGGTCCGAATCGGGCGTCGCTCGGTATCGGTGACTTCGCAAACACACCCAAACCGGCATCTGTTATTGAGAGACATAATTTATTTGAGTGTGAATTGAAAAAATATATGTTATCTAATATTCTATTATCATCATATTATTTTGTACTACTTCAGATCATGAGGAGTATAAACAACGAATACGACCGCCTCTATAGCTAAATGGTTAAGCGTGTTGCTTAGCAATTTCCTTCAGCGCGAGGGGCCCTAGATTCGATTTCCAGGGAAACATTGAATTGTTTCGGTCTAACACGACAGAGAAGTGATCAACTACTTGACTGTAAATAAAACCGATCTCTGAAACGAAAACAGTTTGAAAATGCCTTTATAACTAACATACTAATACTGTTTACACGAGTAGTACGCACTTAAATAAAACACTTTAACGGTTCAAAACGCGATTTAAATTAGTTAAACTTGTTTAAAAATTATTACTACTACTACAGTCTCCCCGCGACCACGGCTGCTGCAAAGCATGCGAAACTTTCCGAATCCGAAATTTTAAAATACGATGTAATATATCGCGTTTTAAACCGTTAAAGTGTTTTATTTAATGCACCATATAAATATCAAAGTTTTCTTTTATGTCTGAACTGCAAGAGTGCAGGCTGTATTTTTTAGATTTAAAACTACTAATGGAGGTAGAACTATTTCGATACTAACCTGGGATATAAGAATGGTTTAAATATAAGGCGTCTGGTGTGGTTAAAGCTGCCCGGGGTACGTGAGGGGGGTTGATTCGTGACAAGTGGCACCTTACAATATTTACCATAATATATATTTACGATTTAATACCATATCCTACTAGTATAATGAAGAGTTTGTTTCTCTCGGGAACTATTGGTTCTGATTGAAAAACTCCTATATTTGTGATAGAACATTCGTCGGGGACGGCTTTGGACTTTTAACTATTCTTATAAGATGGAAGTGGAAAATGGGGAAAATTAATGATCGTAGAGGGCTTCCGTTGCGCGCGCTGTAAAACGGCTTAAGAACAAATATAATAAGTAAGTGATAATTCCTCTTAAAAATATATCTACGAGTAAGTCACGCTTGTGCACAACGCTATCTGTTTAACATAATATTTAAAGGACATGTAAATCATAGTTGCATTTCTTTAGCTGAGTCTCGAATTCCGGAATCCGGTCTAATAAACTCGAATACTTCTGATGTAGTTAGTAAAACAAACTTTTTAGCTTTATTAGACTATAAAATAGTTATATGAGGCTGCTAGAAGCAGAGTGACCTAATGACAAAAAGATGATTTTTAATATGAAGGAAAATAGAAATGCGCAATTAACAGAGGAAATCGAATTTGTACTATTATTTGTGTAAAAACTATGTTAAGACTTTCGGTCACTGTGCTCTCGTAGATAAACATTTTTAGACTATAGAAATATAAATAACCCAAGTCATGAAAATTGCAGTTAGGCTACTCTGCCTCTAACGGTCTCATTTATTGTGACATACCTTCTTATCTGGTATGTCGAGTAGAGCGCCGTGTATTGAGCAGTATTCAAACACAAAGTCCGCGCACCTAGAACAAACTGAAGAAAAAACGATTTCATGTAGATAACCTTACTACTACGATATGAGGCAAAAATTGTGATATTATGTCGCTTATGGGCAACCTTATTTTGCGATCTACCGATTGATTTATTATAATATTAAGTAAGAATTTGGCATATTTTTCATTGTTCGGGGAATCGAACTAGGAAGATTGATAAGCCACGGAGGCGGATAGACTTACAGACATATTCGTCCATGTTGAGTTCTTCCACTTCGTAATAGGAGATTCTTGGTTTCTTTCTGAGGTTGAAATGACTCATGTTGCTTGTTATCGAGCTAGAAAAATATGATAATGTACATTGATAGATGGATGTTCTGAGAATGGCTGAACGAGATTTGATGACTTTCGTATTTTTTAATTTTCAATTACAATAAATATTGACATTTTGCCTTCTGATACTATTGTGTTTCAGCGCTTACTATGAACGCTTCAGACTACTTTCGAAACAAATATACTTAATACAGTAATCTCTTCATATTTGGATAAATAAGGAATTGTATATTCAGTTTTGAATGGCTTTTTTATTCAAAATGAAAAAAATCGATATTAAATGCTTATATTCCGTTCTGCTGATGGTAAAAGTTCTTATATTTACCATAAATACCTTATTTTATCGTATCAACAAATTAATTCACTTATATAAATCGATATTTTACCTTTTCTATTAATAGAATTATTTTTTTCTTGATACCGTGGACTTATTCCAGCACTTCACCCCGCCAAATAATTTGTGCATGTCATAAAGCTTTTTGTATATTTTGGCGGGAAATAATTCTCTAAATTTCGTGGCTTGGATACCAGTGATAACAGATTATATATGTTCACACTAATCTAGATTATTGAAATTTAAATTAAGTTCAATAGATCAGTGATGTAATATTCTAATTCATACAGAATTTTTAATTTGATCACCTATTAAAAATAATTATAAAATAAATATTACAATTCACGCCCAATAAAGTTGATGATTTTTTTATTAGACAATATTTAGATTTAACATAGCAGAAATGTCAAAGCTAAACTAATGACATTTGACTTGCATTTGACAGATCGCCTCAAGTGGTTGTCAAACGTAGCGGTACCGACTTCCAAGTAATTCCAAGAATAGAATATAGATCGCTCGAGAAGATAGTATCTTTATCTGAATTTGCACATTGTATTTTTTGATTTGATTCTGAATATTAAAAGTGTTACTGCGAACTTAAACAGAAATCCATCCTCATTATCATGTGTTTTGTTTACGCCCATTAAAACACCGCAACAGGTAATAATGTTGTTGACATAGCTATAATTAAAATTCCGTGCATGTGTTTCGTTTGTGTATAGCGGTGTGCGTGTATGGCAGAATTCTGAGAATTTTAGCTCCGTACTGAAATGAATTTTACATCGCTCGATACAGGTAAATGTCGGGTTGATTGCCTCCCTGAAGCTTTTTTTACTTAATCCCGCGTTTCTGTTCGTAGTACTAATAGTGTCCTCGAAACCATTGGTAAGTACGCAGTTCTTGTTTTTACGTTTTAATCAGCAGGTTTTTAGTCACGAACTTACGTGATTTACAATGGATTAAGCATTATTGGTTACCTGAGTCTAATTGCACTAAGATCACGACATTGAAAGGTTTGTCTTTTTAATGGTTTGTTTGTGTCAAAAAATAATCTGTTTAATGTTACGCCGTTTTAGCAATTCTTGAATTATTTTTGACTTAAAATTTTTTAACCATTGAAAATATAGTCAGAATAAGGTTAAATCTGTTTACTCAGTAACTAAAGTAGTCAGGATTACTGAAAAAGTATTAATAGATTTGTGTTTAAAACCAAGAGCTTTAATAATTCACCAATGTCAGTTTTACAATAATATACTTGTCAAATATATTTAACTAAAAATCTGTATGTATACGAGAGCACAGTTGGGCAACTGCCCATCTGAATATAAGTTGATAATGTGCAAGGTGCATTGGTTGGATCGGGCAAAGAACCTGTATTAAAAATTAAACAGACTGAGAATGCATTATATCTGAATATATCTCTCACATCATGATAATGCATGAATTTTTTATGAAAAATTTGAAGTATTCTAATTCTTTAAACATTTACCTATGATCAAAGACAATAAATATACAGCATTGCCTAGTTATTAGGAATTCGAGTTATTTACTTCAAACAAGTTTTATGAATAGCTAATAGCTCCTTAGTCTATGGTTCTTAGTTGGAATGTTGATTCAATTAAAGTTTTTTCAATTTTATTTTAAAGATTATTAAAGAAAAAAGGCAACTCAATATTGGCAATTTAATATAATTGATTATATTGAAAATGTTATAATAACCTGTCGCTATTTCATATGTGCGAATGAGTGTTTTTTTACAACCAGCAAAAAATATCATATTGTTCTTATAGTTGGTAAACTATTTTGTATAGCTATAAAATTTCTAAATTTTGTAATCCACACTTTTTTACTGAATATAATTTGATTAAAACAGGGCTTGATACCTTCTTTGATTACTCACTTGTCAAACTATCTTGATATTTTATTTGTTACACGAGAAGGAGGGTAGGACTTTTAGGTTAGTGTAAAAACAATTTACTCTAGGTTATTGTTAATTGTTTGCAAATATATTTTATTATCTATAATGGGTAAAATGAATTTGTTCTGAGAGATGTATATATTAATAGGTTGAAGAAATTTGACGAGGTCAAGTATTGTAGGTAGACTACTCACGTAAACTACAGACAATGGTTAAATATTTAGCCATTTATTTATACATCTACCATGTCTACCCTCTCCCTTCTAAGTTCTTAATGTGCAAATTTGTTCGTGAATAGTACAACTGGTATTTTGATTAAGATTATAAATAATGTGAGTATATTGTTTGTTTCAGATATTCACCCTTGCTAAACTGAAAGCACTTGTATTGGTAAGTTTTCAACTTATTCATAATATTATGAACAATCTGTGAACTTTTAAGAAATTGTGTAAGGCTTTCATAATTCCTCAAGTAAATGAGGAGCAGTCTGTTTGTGATGGCGGAACAGCCCGAAAAACAATGATATACTGTTGTATTGTATAATATTTTACTCACTATATATGAAAATTTCACATATTTAATAAGAACTCATATTCTTTCTGGAAGATGTTGACATACTGCATAAAATCAAGCTTAGTGTGTGTAGTATAATAGACAATAATTTCCCTTCACCAATAATATTACGATTTTATCTTTTGCAGAACCAATATGTCGCTGTGGGCCAGAGCTCAACAGCTACCTCCAGAGAGTCTGCAAAAGGTATTGCACATCGGGTAGACTTTTTTGTCATTGAGTCTACCTTCTTAAATTACTTTCTACTTGTTTCAAAGTATCACATCCATAAGAAAGGTGGTTTAACTTCTGTCAATATCCGTATACAAGTACTGTTTAAATAAAATACTTTTTTAACAGCTTAAAACGTAAAATATATACAATTAAACTGTTTACAAATCGCACAGCTTTAGTTATATAAGTTAAGTTTAGTTATAAAAGTTAATATATTTCGCGTTTCGAACCGTTTAAAGTTTCTTTAAATGTGTACTTGATACTTGCGTAAAATACAGACAATATTTAACAATTGTTGTTTACCACGGATTCTAGTCTACAATCTACGTCTAGTCATTTATTAACACTGTCTTCGGTAATCTGCTTCTATACTGAACCGAGATGCTTTGATGAAAAAGATACTATAGTTGTGTTTGTATAATTTGTATCTTATACCACATTTTAACAGGTCCGAGCAATTTATGGCGACCACTTTCCAATCGAGGTGCGGCACTGCTTAGCGACATGGATTGAGAGTAGGATATGGTAAGTTATAATAGCATAGGCCCGTTACACTTTTGGTGGTGGTGGGCCACGTTACTAGATAACTATTGAACCCCCAAAGCTTATTATATTTATATATATATAGGTTTATTCTCTAGTACCTACTTTCATCTCAAGGTTAAAATGATTTTTTAATGTAGGTAATATCAATATGGAAGCAATTGCATTACATACGGACAAAATAGTAATAATATGAAAGTATTAAAGATGTAACAAATAATAAGATTTTCCAAGCAAACTGGAAAGTTTGAAGGAGACACAGTGTGAGAGGAAAACCTACAGTCCTGCGAAAATGGTTACCAGTTGGTATAGACCACCCTGCCTTCTACCAGTATACCCAATAGAAAACAATTATAATAACATAAAGTAAACCTATATTAGTGCAATTGTCTGTTATAATACAGTATAATTTAATTAGGACCCCGGAACCTGAAGAGCAGCAGAGGTACTTTGTAGAGGAACTCATTCAGGAGATCCACACCAACACCGAGTTGATGCTGTCTCCAGAGATGTTTGTGACCAAGATGAAGCTCATCGAAGCGGCTAAGATATTCCGGATGCAGTACGGGTAGGTTTTCAACACAAACGCAATTCCGAAACACGTTTGTTTGAGTAGTTAAAAATAAATATTTCTCAGCAATTTTTTTGCAACCAACGTCAAATATACATTTAGTCATAAAACCATTAACGTTTAGTTATTCAGTTATAAAACCATTAACACGTTATAATGTACGGACAAACATTTCTATTGCTTTTATAGTTTATAGCACTGCTCAAAAAAAAAAAGGAAATTATGGTATCAGGGGTTAAAAATAATTTTAAAGATTTAAATAACAAATTAGATTCTGCAAAGAAATCAGAGGGTTTGAAAAGGGGACATAGCAAGCTGTAGACAAGCTAATGTCAATGTAAAAGGGTAAATGGGTGGAATGGTTGGCAGATAGTGTGGACTGATCACCCGGCCTTCTATCAATATCCCCAATAGAAAATAATAATAAAACATAACACATCCTTGCCCACATAGCTTTATTTTCTTCAACAAACCCGCGCTGGTTATCTAAAAGCTATCTATCTTATAATCATGATTCTAAACTTATTTACACACAACTACTATGGTAAATTGTTTACTTGAGACAGTCAAATGTATAGAAATTAGTGCAATACAAAAAGTATGACATTTTATTGTCTCTATCTATATATTGATCAGTTGTGTATAAATGTATGTTTGTCTATTTGCAGACACGCCCCACACGAGCTATACACTTACATGCGGCGTTGCTTGGCAATGGAGGTTGATGTTATACAGAATGCGATGGGGCCGTATGTAGCACAACCGCAGACAGAAAGAAAATACAGCGAGGTGAGTATATTCAGAGTGTTGCCTGATACTGAAAAAAAGAGTTTAGTTTTTTTTTAACGAAACGGCATTCCAGAAATTGGGCCAATACAACGGCAAAAAGAGACATCCTTTGGGCTACAGATGTAAACACTAAATGTATTTTTTTAATTAACATAGACTTTCAAATAAGTATTTATATAACTACACACAAAATGTATCTTATATAACTTCGTGCATATTTCGGTTCAAATCAGAAATAATCAAAATAAAAACCTAAGTATTGATTGCGAAATATATTTTTTAATTTAGGTCACCCCATGACCACGGTCGCTGCATGGCATCCTAAACACTCGTAATTAATTTAAAAATAAGCCTACTAATATATTTCGTATATCAAACCGTTAAAAGTGTTTTGAACTAAATAATAAATACCTATTTCTTTTGCAGCTCATCACCGGATTGCAGAACGTCCGTCAAAAAGTGAATATGGCTTCCGAGGAGATACGAAGCCTACAAGCGAACATCGAATCGTTCTCCTTGCAGTACCATGAGTGTCTCAAGAATAAAGGTAATTTTATACTAGCCTGGTGTTTCGGCACTTCCTACTACCGGGACTTCGTACCAGGTTATTATTATTTTCATAGAAGACAGGCTAGCATGATGTTCATATCTACCATATGATGATATAACCCAGATAAATAACGTCTCAATGATGCGATGTCCACCTATTTTAGCGTTTTCTTACATCCACAGACTGAAACCGGCGATTAACAGAGGAGTCTTAACAGCTTTTTTGGCGGAATCTCGATATCCTATACTTCAGCTTTGTAATATTAGTATAAATATCGCATTACCCATGTAATATTTCGTATCAAGTAAACAATTTAAAATTTGTTTCATGTTTCGCCAGGTCACATAAATTATCTTCAGCAATCCGGACCAATGACAAACGACAGGCGCGAACTTGAAGCGTGTCTTCGAGTTCAAATAGAAGAAATGGAGAGGAAACTAAACGCTTTAGTAAGTAGTACAACCCTGGCACAGAATACAGAACAAACCAGAAGGAAATTCAATATACTGTTATGAATACATACTAGTAAAACCGATTTTAGACTGAAAATATACTCTAATATAAATATACACTGGCAGGATTTGAACCGGCATCCACAGCTCTCCGTGCTGTTGCTCTAACCAATTGAACTACCGTGCCCTACACGTTATCGTCGAATTATAGACCTCTTTCGAATTAACTTGATTCTTAATATATTTCAATTAAGCACTTTAATTGCGTTATTTTTGCCGCCTAATCCGACACTAACGTGGCCATTAGCTCATTCCCTTCAATAAATTTACAGGTTGCCCAAATCAACCAATCGCAGATGGAATTAGTTGACCATATGAAAGAGAACATAACAATCTTGAGACAACTTCAGAGCCAGGTGCTGGACGAAGAGTTAATTAAGTAAGTTTTATTGGCTATACCCCTCTCTTTCTATCTTTGTGGTAAAGATAGAGAAGCTTATTTTCGTTAAAAACTCACTATTTGTTGCTAGGTAGAAGTTGTCATTTTGTCATATAATATATTTTTAGTAATTAGTATAGTTTTAAACAGCTATTATTATTATTTTATATTATTTTTATTTTATTAGTTATATTATTAAAATTGTATTTTTAATTTTCATTGTATAATATAATTAAAAGTACATGGAGGGAAAATTATGAATGTGCGTGGCTCGTTTACAGAAAACTTATTTATTTTCAGATGGAAGCGAGAACAACAATTAAGTGGCAACGGCGTGCCGATGCAGTCAAATCTAAACACGATACAGGAATGGTGCGAGCTGCTAGCCGACTTGATATGGAGCACGCGGCAGCAAGTTAACAATGTTGCCAGGATCAACAGCAAGACCATAGTCGAGTTGAGGCAGCCCCACCTCGTGGAGATGCTCGATGAGATGAGTAAGCAGGTACTGTGCCCCAACATCTTGAGGGAAGCCCACATCATTTTAGGTTAGGAGAAACTATCTAAGGCAGGAATGTATATACTTATAAGTAATTAGTTGAGTATTAGTTTTGCGTGTCGGCGGGCCGCGGTCTGTGCATCTCTGATATAACTAAATAGATTTTTAATTTGAAACAAAGAAAAATTGTTTATTGTCACAAAACTAAAATATATTAACAGAATAATTGAAGCTGAATTCATAAACGAAAATGTTTTCAGTATGCCCCCTCTGACCTAAGTTCCAATTTAGTAAAAGATGTTGTAGAAAAAAACGACATACAGAGAAACGAGGGGACACATGAGTCAGTTCTGTAAGAACCCAGCTAGTTTCAACTACGAAAAACCAGATGGCGCTTGCAGATTATACTTTGACAATAGGGACACGCCCATAATTAGCCTCCTCAATATCACGACTACTGAGAAGCACCCGAAACGGGCCATAGTTAATATTATAAATTAGAAATAAGTTAACATTTTGCGTATTAAACCGTTAAAGTTTAAATAATGAGTTTTCTTGTAGGTGACAAGTCTACTGTCAACGCTGGTGACATCGACATTTGTGATAGAAAAACAACCACCTCAAGTTATGAAGACCAATACACGGTTAGTTCGGTTTTAATTAATATCCTTTAAATATTTAGACAATTATATTTTTTATCAATTAGCGTTAAAACTATATATACTAAGTTTCATTATATATTATTTTGTTTAAAATATTAATTACCTCTTTTCAGTTTTACGGCAACCGTTCGCCTGTTGGTGGGGGGACAACTTAACGTACACATGACTCCGCCCAGAGTTACCGTAAGTAGAGAATAAAGTACGCGAAAGATTCAGCGTTCTTTCTTATCAGACATTCACGGGTTCGAATCCCGTGAAAATTTCTAGCAAGCCTCTTATCTGTAGCTAGGCGAAAACATACAAAATAATATTTTCCATTGACAACCTGTCGTATATCATATTTGATACTAATATATTAAGCTGACGAGTTTGTTTACTTGAACGCGATCTTAGGAACTACAGGTTCGAATTGCAACATTTATAACCTTTGTGGGTTTCCGGTAGTTCGCTGCGAAAAGGGTGCGAGATATCCATAAAATATGTGTGAAATAATTATTCCTCTTTAAATCATCTAAAAAATGTCGACACTATATGCCTATCTTTTAATATGAACTTGCAAGAACGACGGGACGCGACGCGGATGTCACTTTTTTATGTCCAAAATAACTATTCTACGTGGACGAAGTCGCTGACTAGTACCAGATAATTCGACTTTGTAGTTCAATTGATCTAATAATCAAAGCGTACAAAATTGTTACTAAGTCAACTGCACTGTTTGCCTCGGCAGGTTGTAATAATATCGGAGCAGCAAGCGCAGCTGCTGCTGAAGAGCGACTCGCAGAGCGGGCGCGGCAAGCAGCCGGTCGAGTGCGGCGATATACTCAATAACAGCGGGTGTATGGAGTACCAGCCTACTAGCAGGCAGCTGAGCGTTAGTTTCAGGTAAGGAAGGAGATAGAAAAGAAGAGATCTTTGTGGATGGAAGAAGAAGAATAGAAAAAGATTATAATCTTATTCACCGATCTTTCGTGTCCGTATTTTAGTCCAACGACCACGAATCCACAAAAAAATTAGTCACTCTATATATACGTCGGGTCGTAGTTAAAGAAGTCAAAAATAAATAAATTGAAATATTTCGCGTTTTAAGCAGTTAATTATTTCTATTTATAATTTTAATGCCATAGAGAAGGAATTTTCTAAGCTCTAAAAATTAACGAATATTTACCGCGAGTTAAAAATAAAGCAGGTTTAACAATTTGACAGGAACATGCAGTTACGTAAAATAAAACGAGCGGAGAAGAAGGGAACAGAGAGCGTGATGGATGAAAAGCTGACGCTGCTCTTCCAGTCGGAGTTCAACGTTGGAGGTGGAGAGCTGGTCTTCCAGGTTGGTCTTTTGAGGTTATTGGGAATTCTATGTGTAGTGTATTTAAATACTGTTAATGGTTTAAAACGCGATATATATTCATTGTTATATACACGTCGTCGGATATAGCCGTGGCCACGGGTCTTCCCCTTTAGTGTATTTTTTCTAACTTGTCACTTTTGCTAAACAAACACACAATTTAGATGAAAACTTGAGTTTCTCACATGATTTACGTTAATTTATTTTATTGTATTTTGGTGTGTGTGAAATAAATAATTCGATTTGAAATATCTAAATTCCGTCCGGGTCACGAACCACCATCAACAGATAACAAATTCAAGTGAAGTCAAAAATCATTTATTCATGTTGGTAACTAGGTAAACTTAAGTCACACCAGTTAAAATCTAAAGACGTTAAATCGTTTTCGGTTTCAGTCTGTGGATTTCGAATATCCTAAGCCAAAAAGGTCGGCAGCGTATTTTGTTTAGGTGTTATATGACTGGGTTATTTCACCTTTCATCAAGATAACCTGATGATAGTGTGTCTTTCTCTATCATAGAAAAAGGCATACAAAAGAAGAGGACAACAGATTTTTCAGTGCCTTTTTCTGCTTCACGAAGGTACACCATACATAATGAAGCAGACATATAAATGTGTCTATCCTGCCAGAAAAATAGAACGCACATAACTTAACAATTTTATTTTATTTCTAGGTGTGGACTCTCTCGCTGCCCGTAGTGGTGATTGTCCATGGTAACCAAGAGCCCCACGGCTGGGCCACAGTGACGTGGGACAATGCGTTTAGCCCACCGGGGCGGATCCCGTTCGCTGTACCCGATAAGGTATAATATATTTTAACTATTTTCTGTAGTTTACATGAGTAGTACAAATTTAAATAAAACACGTAAACAGGTTTAAACTTGAAATATATTAGTTAAATACTGTCAATAGTTTACGCGAGTAGTATTTAAGTAAAACACTCTAACGGTTTAAAACGCGATATATTCGTTCGATATAGCCATTTCGGATGCTCTGCAACAGCCGTGGTCACGGGGAGACTGCAAAGCATCCGAAACTTCGGGCCGAAGTTAATAATCATTTCCAAATAAGTTTAATATATCGCGTTTAAAGTGTTTTATTTAAATATATTAGTTAAGTTAAGTATTAACCTTTAAAGTGTTTTATTTAAATATATTAGTTAATTTATTTTTTAATGTAATTCTATTTTACAACATTTTTAAAATCATTTAAATTGGAATGATTTTAACCATTAAAAATGAAATATTTTCCCCGTTATTTTCCTCGTTTCCTATTGTTTTTTTTTTGCTCTTGTTATTAGTCGCAACATTGGTTTATAGCCTCTAATACCTTCCTCGATTAATGGTCTAACACAAAAAGTATTTCAACAGTACACAGTAGTTCCTGAGATGAGCCTGTTCAAACAAACAAACAAACTAACAAACTCTTCAGCTTTCAAAGTCAAGGTATCAATGCACTTTGCAATTTCCAGGTGACCTGGGGCCAGCTGGCTGAGACACTCCGTATTAAATTCTGTTCGGCCACCGGAGGGGACCTCTCCGAAGACAACCTCCGCTTCTTAGCTGAGAAGATATTTAGGTATGTCTCTAGTTCATGATTGGGAGTCGGTTATTTTTAAAAATATCGATAGGACAAAATCGAACTCACGGCCCACAGAGTAACGTCGTATCTAGTTTTCATCGTAATATTATAAAGGGTAAATATGTGTAAATCCCCCCCCCTGCGGGGCGAACACATACCTGTGTCCGTTTCTCTAATCACTAAGTAGTTTAACAGACTTCTGTGCCTTGCCGGATCGCAACAATTTATTGGTTCCTCGGGATTTGGAATCCAGGATCCACTATTATTCCTCTGCTCAAGGCGCCTATATTATAATAAAATTGTATTCTTGAGTCAAGTACATATTGTCCACTTGTGGCCTGAAATATGTGTTAAGTAGTTTTATCTATTCACTGATTAACCAAATCGATCAGTACAACGGGCACAGGATTGGTAGCAAATAGCAATGTACGGCTAATTAACAACTGGCCGTGGGTTCGATCCCTACAGTTCAAATTTTTCAATTTATAATTTTTCGTGAAACATGTGAACAGATGAAAACCCCGTTAAGTTTAAACGCGTTTCGGATTCGGTCTGTGCATTTCCGAATATTTAAAGTAAAAATAAGTCGATATCGATCTTGTGTAGATGTCACATGGCTGGGGTATACGTATTGGACCTCTATGACAAAAAAAATGTCTACCTTTCTATTCTACCACTATTACCGATAGCAGACTATAGAATATTCTCAGTATAATCTCCAGGACCAGTCTCCCGATGAATACCATGGAGTTAAACGCGATGACCGTGAGCTGGACGCAGTTCTGCAAGGACGCCCTGCCCGAGAGGAACTTCACATTCTGGGAGTGGTTCTACATGGTGGTGAAGGTCACCAGGGACTATCTGCGAACGCTTTGGTGCGATCGGTGAGTGATGATGATAAATATATGCGTTAATAAAAATAAAGATTTAGAGATATTTAGTTACTCGTAAGAATTTTCACCGTTTACTTAAAACGCGGAATATAATTGTTTTATATATTACTAGCTGTGTCAGCGACTTCGTCCGCGTAGCATAGTTATTTTGGACATCCAAATTTGTTTTTCCTCTCTCGACGATGTCTCTCAAAAGATAGACACGCGAAAATTCTTTTTAGATCGTTTAAAAAGGATTTATTCTTTTATACATATTTTTTTTTGTTAAACTGTTGCTGCGGTGTACAGACCGGAAACCAACAAAGATGAATAATTTTCACCCTATTTTCACATTTCCCGCTGTTTCTCCGCACATACTAGTGAAATCCCACCTTTCTCGATAAATGGTCTAACCAACACAAGAATAATTTTTCAATTCGAGACAGTAGTTCTTCAGATTAGTGCGTTCAAACAAACGGACTCTTTACATATTAGTATACGCTGACTATTAATATCGTTTTGTAAATTATTTTTATAATATAAGGCGTTCTATTGATGGGAGGTGAAATACTCCAGCCATATAAAGCCTACACAAGGTACGCTGTCGATTTATTTTATTTTTGGATATTCGGAGATCCAGATACAGAAACGCGAATAAACGTTGGCTTTTCCATCTGTGGCCGGTAGTTCGTGATCTAGACGGAATTTAGATATTCCTACCAACCGTTTAATATCCAGATTTTCCTGTAGTTTACGCGATATAGTACAAATTTAAATAAAACACAGCAACACTTTGCAAAGCATGCGAAACGTGGGGCCGCGCTTAAATTTATATTCGAATAAGTTTACCTTATATATATCGCTTTTTAAACCGTTAAAGGTGTTTTATTTACAAGAGTGTTTTGTTTACAGGTTGATAATGGGCTTCATACAGAAGAAGCAAGCGGAGGAAATGCTGGCCAAGTGCCCCCCGGGTACCTTCCTTCTCCGTTTTTCTGATTCCGAGCTGGGTGGTATCACCATCGCTTGGGTCGGAGGTGAGTTCTGGCATTATAAAGGGTTTGTGGTTAAGCGGGACTTTTACTAAGGCTCAGATATCACCAAACCGTATTTCATAAACCGTGATAGATTGATAGTTGACATTCTTCTGTTTGTGCAGGTTTCCTGCAAAAGGCTGAACCGATTTTAGTAAAATTTTGTATATATAGTGTATTCTTTTTAAGTTGTCAAAAGATCATTGAACAATTTGCTGATTTTGAACCATAGATTATGGTGGTTACTATAGTTATGACTTTATATAGAGTGAAGTCGTTGCCACAAATGACACAGGGACAAAGAAATATCGATTGAATATGGTCCAAACTGAAGTTATTTTAAAGTAAAAGGCCGAGATTTAATTAAATGACCAAGCTGTATCTATATATTGCGTCATACTTTTACAACGAACCGTATGCAAAAGAGCGGGAAAAAACAAAAACATAAAGATATTACATACTACCAACATAAGACAAAAAGAGTAAACAGTCCTCTCAACATTAAATCAATGTATTGACATTGCACAGATTATTTAACCTCTATTTTTAAAATTACAGTAATGACAATCTATTTTTCAATTTTTTATGTTATTATTATGTAACTCGACGTTTATGCATGAGTGAAACTCTACCTTCTATTGTCGTTGACTTCACTTACATCCCATCGCTAAGTAAATGTTAAACCAAAGAAATTTTAATCTGTAATTGTTGTGTAATGAAATAACTTTTTTTTTGCAGAGGGCAACGAAGTCTTCAGCCTCCAGCCGTTCACGTCTCGTGATCTGATGCTACGGTCTTTGGCAGACAGGATCCTAGATCTGGCTCAGCTGCAGTTCCTCTACCCTAACGTGGCGAAGGACGACGTCTTCTCCAAGTATTACACGAAGCCTGGTACGTGATCATGTATTCGTAGCTGGTACAAAGGGTTCTCAAACCAAAAGCTGTTACTTTAACCCTTCTGTACTCTTGTTTGTGCGTCTCTGACACAAAGAAAACTAACTTTACGACTACTAATATTCAGCGGTTCGTGAATTCAGTCTCGAATTCGTAATTTTTCTGAAACATGTTCCTCTTGAGGGCTGTATAATCTATGATGGTCTGTGGCAGAGTCGATACTTCAAACTTGTCAGATGTTGGAAACTCACTCACCACCCACTTATTGCTAGTTATACATAATATACTAATAACTAAAAATTAATTAAATAAAAAACCTGTAAACGGTTTTAAAACGGAAAATTGTAATACATTTCGCGTTTCAACTTATTTACATTTCAGCAAATTTTCCGAAACTTCGGGCCATAGTTAAAATGAATTGTAAATAAGTAAACTAATGAAAATCGCGTCAAATGTTTTATTTAAGACGTCTTAGTATTGTTTGTAGTTTACGGACGTATAAACTACAAACAATACTAAGACGATATGTCAAAATATCCTATTGTTATGTAATATTTTTACTTGACAGAGAACGAAATGCTCAAGAACGGATACGTGAAGCCTGTATTGGTGACGACACTCCCCCCGTACATGTCGCCGTCTCCCTCGTACGCTCACTCGCCGGACTCGCATCGCAACACGCCCTCTGTTCACAACAGGTATGTCAATTGTCAAACTATAACTGTCAACCAATATGATCATCCCCGATTCCTATAGGCTGATTGATGTCATTTGAATTTGGAACGTTCTTAAACAACAGGGAACGTGCATAATATTTAAAAAAAGGAACTTTTTTCCGACAAGTAGACAGGTGTTCGAATCGAAGCTTTAAGTTATTGCGTGTTTCATAATGTAATACAGTGAATAAAATACTTCTAACGATTTAAAACGCGAAATATGTATTTGCCCAGTAATCAAGAAAGCATAATATAATCTTTCGTATAAAAACTAAAAATTATATTAAATCACATGCAAATTCCCTATTGGTAAAAGGTTTCTTGAGAAAAGACAAGTATATAAGGAATTTATTTAAACAACATGGTGTGATTTCTTATGGATTATGTTTTTTATATACTTTTGCACCGTTTTTACTATTATTTTTATGATTTCTTTTTCCTTAGGTACATGATTGAGTTCTGAAGTTTGAAGAGATTTACGTTAAGTTTTTATTTTATTATTATCAATAGTCACATCCAATTTTCTTTTTTTGGCGTTTAGTATTATTTTTTTCCAAAAAACAAACGAATTAAGACTGCTTTTTATAGACGTTTTGCTTATTGGCGAAGATTACGAAAAGTGATAAAATCTCGATGTAATTGCAATATAGGTTAAGTTTTTTACTTTTTTATTTAGAGTAAGGTTTTTTGTGATTTGCTTATCTAACAAGAAAATTTGCCAAGCCAACCGATACTATGGCTGTTGAACGAAAGATTATACATAGGTCATAAACAAAAAAAAATACTTCTTGAAAATGTATAATTTTCTTGTTAGCTTAACTATAACTAGATTAGGTAGGTCAGAACATCGCAGTAATGAATGCGATGTTTTGAGAGGAGTTATCTGTGGCAATATTTTAGCCTGCATTTTGGCGAGTATAGATTTACGAGTGCCTTATCTTAGTCCAGTCAGTCCTTAAAACAGAAGTGAAGTTACATTAATTTTTATCGAGCTAAAAATTTGTATGAATGGTCCATCTATGATAAATGATTCTTGAAAAGTCCCCATCAACCCCCCTTTGTCAATTTCTATTGATGGTGGTAGTTACCAAAATTTAGTTTTTCACGCTAAACGCTGGGTTTTACAACAGAATAAGTACAGGCTAAGACTACAAAGAAATATTTAGACTTCTTTTCATTAGAATTGCTATTTCCGTGATATTGGGAGTTCGAAACATTCATACTAATTTTTATCTCTATGGGAATTAATGTAAGCAAAGTCTAGTTTGACTGGACTATCTTACGAGTTAAACATGCAAACAAAAATTTATTGAAAGAGTTGTTCGTTACCTGTTACTTTGACTAAAGCATTATAACAATACTCTTTCTTTTTAATCTATTAATCTTGATGGACACCGGTCTCCTTCCATACTGGGGATCGCAACCATGGTATTACTAATTGAATAGTGGTGGTGTTAATGATGCCGAGGCAGGCGGTTTGATGCCCCCTACTTTTAAAACATGGGTTCACCACAACACTCCCAAAGAATTCCAGCCCGGGACCTCGCGATTATTATGTCGACTGCATTGACCTGTATACTAACAACACAGTTTTATACATTAAATCATGGTGTCTTCCAAAATTTTTGAACTTTTTTAATATAGGGGACCAAGCGATTCTGCATTTTATTCCTAAAAGCATTTTAGGTCGAGAATTCCGAAAGTATAGGTTTAGCGTTAAAATCTTTACGAATAGTATTTTCGGTATGCATGTTGCATTCGAACACGAGGAGTTACTAGTTAGTAACTAATTGAACGAGTTGAAACACAGTTGTTAAGTCAATAATTAATATTTTTCCTGCGCTTAGTTCGTGGAAAAAATATTGAAATAAAACGCGTTTAACGGTTTATTATATGTTAGTTAATACGTTTTTCATCAAAAGTAACTGCATTCCGACGTATCGGATGGTTTGCAGCTGTCGTGGTGGGGGACTGAAGATGGAGGGTGTCCGAGTCAAAGTAACAGCTCTTTTTCTTTTACTTTATTTGACTTTGACAATCATCTCGTAATACCAGCGCTGTTGCAAAGCAACCGAACATCGGGCAAATGTTATGACGCATTTCGTAAAAAGTGTTTTAAATGTGCAGTACTCGTTCAAAATAGTTTTATTGTTCGTTTTTATATTTAAATCAGAATGAACGAAATTTGTTTGTATATGTTTTAATCTTACCATAAAGTATTGTAGGTAATGGAAGATTTTCCCTTTATAGCTGCGGTACCACCATTCTTCAACTATAAACTGGATTTGAACAAAACTAGTGGAAACTACGAAATATCTGTTATCTCTTTTTAAATTACCTTGTATTGGAAAATTGTCAATTAATGGCTATGAATTCAAACTTATCTGGAGGTTCTTGACAATCTTCGTTTAGAGTGTGGACCATGTGACATGTATCGATGGTTTATAAATTAATTTCTCATTAAATTAGTATAAAAAATAAATGTTGCAAAATTGAAGTTTTCGATGTTATGTAGTTAGGATTTCCAATTGGTGTTTTACAAGTGAAAATGAAAAATATTTACTACTAATTGTACGTGTCTACGTAGTTTTTATAATATTCATCGAATTAAATAATCATATCCAAGCGTATATTGTAAGAATTCAAACATAGAGCCCATTCAAGTATTAGGTGAGCAAAATTATTACTTTTATTTATATTATCACACCTACAAACATTTATACCCACACTTATATACACTCACACCCATATTCATCCACGCCTATATACACCCACCACCATATACACTCACACTCATATACACCCATACCCCTTCTCTTCTGCTTACATAAACAGACTATCGAGTATTTCCAATATAGACTGACATTTTCTAATTACTCCTTTCGTAATCACCACCTAAACTCTCCCCCAACCCCCCTCCGCCCCCTAAGTCCAAATTATAATCAAAGGAAAGACACCCTACTGCATAGTGCTCACATGATACTTGAACGTCACATCAACGATTTTAGTAAAAAATTAAGCAAGACTTGGCAGATAATGTCATGCCATCTCTGTCTATTGGATAGCAATAAGGCTATCTCTTTTTACGATTCCATTTATTCCAAGTAAATGTTGTTTTATATGTTTAAGGTGAAGTTAACATATCGTAAAGTAAAAGGTATTGCTTAATATCGACATCGAAATCATTCAACGAAATAAAAAACAGTATTATAAAAAAATAAGTCTAAGAGAAATTTAATATTAAGAGAAAAACGAACAAAGGAAATAAGCTAGACCATTTTAAAATCAGTCCAGGCCTTATTTTTTAGTAAGCTATTAAATTTTCAAAATCATACATACAATTTATGTGATTCTGTTGTTTAGTAATTAAGTGAAATTTTAACTTGTGTAATAAATTTGACGTGCTCGTTGGTCTAATGGTATCTGTATACATATAGCTAACTAGCTGTGCCCGCGACTTCGTTCACGTGGAATAGTGACTTTGGGTAGAATTTTTTATTATTTAGGCTGTTTATTAATTTATGTAATTGCGCATTTATTGCAGCCAATCTATGTTGTAAGTGCTACTTTACCGCAACACTATCACCTCGCATCACTCCTACTGTAACTCCCACTCCTATTCCCAAAAAGCCAAAGAAGAAAGTTTCATTGTTCTAGCTTCAAAAACCACGAATTTCCATACAAACTTTCACCCCCCTTTTGACCCCTTACAATCCCCTCTTCGCAATTTCAAATCCGTTCAGTAGTTTTGGCGTGAAAGAGTAACAGACAGACAGAGTTACTTTCGCATTTGTAATATTAGTAAGGATGATGTACGACCGTTGGTTCGATTCCATCTGTATCTAACATGCTATTATTCAATTTATGGTTTCACTTTGATTTTCGAATATCAAAAACCAATAAGGTCGATAGCAGATCCTACCTTCAACTGCACTCTATGGTTGTTTGTCCTACTCTATCATAAAACAACTATTCATTACTGGAGAGGTCTTTTTTTTAATGTAGTCCCGTATATTCATTTCACACGAATAAAATTTCTTATATGACCACGGAACTTTGTTGTTTTGTTAAGCAAAACACTACTTAAGTTCCGCTAATAGTTGCATAGAAATTTATGGAAAGAGTTTTGTTAATTGTACATTACTGCAGCGGCCGGCCTGCAGCGTGCCTAGTTGCGGCCAAGACTTGTATAGTATTTTTCTCAACTAATGCACGGAAATTAAGACTAACTAGTACATTTCAGAACTTTAAAACCAATGACGAACAACAATAGATTTACGTGCCAAAGTGTTTTTTCACTAAACAGCTTTAAATCAAACCTCTCAGTCACTACTTTAGTCGCCATGTTGCGGAGTGGAAGATTCGTTCCATTTTTGTTTCAAATATGCCAAACATATTTAAACTTTAACGGTTTAAAGCGTGATATATTAGTTAAACTTATTTGTAAATCATATTTAACTTCGGCCCGACTTTTCGGACGCTTTGAAGCAGCCGTAGTCACGGGGAGACCGACATGGCGAAACGTCGGGCCGAAGTTAAAAATCATTTTCAAATAAGTTTAACTAATATATCGCGTTTTAAACCGTTAAAGTGTTTTATTTAAATGTGTACTATTCGCGTAAACTAAAGACATTAAACACGATAGTTATGTATTTTCATACAACTATTGCCGGCCGCTGCTTTTTGACACGGGATATTGAGTGGACTAATAGACCAACGACGCACGCTTTGAACATTAGATACAAATTTATTCGAGGAACGTGAAATTGGTTTAAAGAAAATGTTTCACGTACGCTATATTAAAATTTTAATAGTATATTTATATACCTACTCTGTTACTTACTCCGTCCCAAAACAAACCTTTTGTATAGAATGTATATTTCAAAAATAAATTGTACGAATATGAATTGTTACATACTTTTTACATATAATTATTTGAATTAATATTATACTGTTGGTCAATCACGCCTATGAGTTATATAGATATAAAATGTATAAATATACAGGGCGTTTCAAAATAAATCGCATTTAATTAATTAACTCTCCTTATCTATATGTATATGGATGTTTATTAAATGGTTAAATTTAAACAAACGTACATATATTTAAGTTCGAAATACTTAAAGACTTTAGTCTCGAAACTGAATACAGTACACGCAGTTGTGATGTTATTTTTTATGCGTTTAGCTTTAAACACTCGTGGTTAACTTTGAAAGCCGCTTTTAGTGACAACTATTCTGTCTTTGACCAATTTGGATACAGTAATAATAAACTAGAAACACTTTTGAACAACCTGTAAGTATATCATTTAAATAAAACACTTTAACGGTTTAAAACACGATATATTAGTTAAACTTATTTGAAAATAAGTTTCAAATAAGTTACACTAATATATCGCGTTTTAAACCGTTAAAGTGTTTTATTTAAATGTGTACTACTCGCGTGAACTATAGACAGTATTTAAGCTGTATATCATGTAATAAATGGATGTGACTATTGGAATTTACTACTTACGGACAAACCGATGTTAGTCGTGCTCAAGGATTCTCAAATCAGATGAAATGCGATAGAATAGATCAAATTAATTCTCATCATCACCAACAGAGTGGTGAACGAGTTAAAATAAATGAGGTATATCACCGATTTGAATTGTGAACACAATTTCTGATGTTTAAATGAATTGATTTGGTGTCTAACCGTTATTCATTTTAAATTTAATTACTAATAGAACGATAAGTACTTGTTTATTGATTTGATTTCTTAGCATACATTCGTATACAACTGTTGTTCCTATCGCATTTTATCCTTCAAAATTCTTTAATGTATTTAGTAACAAGATAAGCTCACAAGATAGGTCACAATTGATTGTTGTGAGAAATTATATGAAAAAGGGAAAAAAACTCTGTGAAACGGATGCAAAAGTGTGCCCTTTTTAAACTTGTGGTTACTGAATATATTAAAGTACATTGTTAGTTGTTAAGTATATAATAATTAAAGTATACAATTATACATGACAATGTTGTAAGTTGGATGTTTTGATGTATTTATGATAAATATATGTGAGATTACATTATATGTTGGAGTTTGATTGAGTTTTGAGAATTGCTTTTACATTGCCTGTTATTTAGAATGAAAAAATATTTGTTGTCTTTAAGTTGTTGGCACAAAAGCAGTACTCAAAACGAAAACCTCGCGAAAATGCAACACAGACGGTCGGTTTCTTTATTAATATATTTTTTAATTTACTTAGCCATTTCTTATGCGCGACATTGTAACGGGTATCTTGATTTATATAGTCTGTGGTGACATTTTGGCGAAGTTAGATAGTATTTTTCTTTTGGTTCCAACGACCGTCTACTAATGTGTTGCATTTTCTCTTTTTCCCGATTCGTTGCGGCCGCGGCGGACGTCGATTGCAAACATGTGAATTACACAAATATTCAACAATTCATATTCAACTTACACCTTTAACTTTTTGTATAATTATTATATTAATATATTTCCCAATCTTCTGATAATATGGAACACTAAAAAATATGTATAATTCAATATGCATTTTTCGATGTGTTCACATAACATTATTCAACTATTCATATCCCACTTACACTCATCACTTTTTGAATAAAATTTCTTTAATCTTCTAATAATATGGAACACATAATATAATTATTTACTTACTAAATTACACTACAAATTATTTTTACACCACTCTAAAACTGCTGTTTCATCACTATTCAAACACTGGAATACAAAACAGCTACTTTAGCGCATCGACTCCTGCGCAAACGGAAAGCAGCTTTATGGACAGCGAGCTGTTCGAACAGATACGAGCCTTCGAGCCGGACGGTTTCGACGATTTCGACTTTTACGGTGGCAATGTTAGTATGAAGTGAGGTGAGCATGTTTTACCGTTTTGATACAATTTGCAGAACCCTTCGTTCATTCACTCATAAGTTTGTGTTTGTTTACTTTCCTTGACTATGAGCCTACTTAGGTAAAAGGTTATTCGTTCGTCTATCATTGGCGACTAGAAGAAATATTAAAACAGCGTTAAGTAACAGTATTATATACCAACCAAAATAAATAAGTAATAAAAAAACTTTTATTTTCTTAAAAAACTATTACGTACAGTTGTGGGATATTTAAAAATGAAATTAATGTTTTTAAATAACTGTCATGGACGAGCTTATTTAAAAGCTACTAAACTAAATTATTTTTATAAGGAACCCTATCGGGTGTAGACCTTCTCCATTTTGGCCAGTTTTCTAGATCTTAGCTCCATTATTTGTGTTATAAATTCTTGTGGTTCTGACTTTGTGCGTGTCAATGTATATTTACAACAAAAAGGTTGTTATTTGGAGAGTTAATAACTAATTTACACTTACGTACCTATAGTTGGTTATCCAAAAGGAAGGTAAAAACAACTCGCGATGAGCGACGACGGTTTATAAAAAAGGGTTCCTTTATGGGTCCCTTAACATTTAGATTATTAGTGAATATTTTTTTAGTTCAGCTCGTCAGAAGTAAATAATAAATCCTTGCGATATGTGGCTAAATGTGTATGCTTCACCATTACCAACAGGTAAGTTTTCATATAACGCATTCTACATTTGAATTCTGCAAATTGTATTAAAATGATTAGTTGTTAGTGCTTATAGCTTGTAGTTAAGGGTATAAGGATCGCTGTATGGAGGGCTGTATGATTTTTCAATTGGTGAAGGAATTATATTCCGTATGGTTAACACTTGAGTCATAGTTTAAAATAGTATTAAAGTAGTATTAGACCGCTTACTATTGCGTTACTGCGAGTCCTTGGTTCAAATCCTGGGGACTTATTAAGAAATAAAGAAGTCTGATCATCGACTTTCTTATAAAAGAAATAGATCACTAATTCTGCCCCATACCCACAAAAGGGCAAAAGGGACAAAGAATTTTTATGGTGTTGATGCATGTAAAAGATTTGCTCGCAAAGTAGTATATTTGATGTAACTAAAGGTGTAAAGATTAAATTCCAGTAAAGGGTTGTCGCATGCTCAAAGGACCATATTTACTGTTTCATTACAACATTGAACATGTTTATTACAGATGCCTAAAAAACCAGCCTTGAACAAGATGTAGACAGTGCCATAGACAAGAATTATATTCAGTTTGTTTTTTTTTATCATATAAAACCTTTTTTTATAAAATATACGTAACGGCCAACGAAACGATTAAAGCTTAAATGGACTGATGTGATAAAAGCAAGTATTATCTGTATCGTTTGTACACTATAACGTAGTCAATGATATATTTTCGATAATATCTAGATTTGAATTGGAAATAATGAAAATAAATGTTTTAACCCCTGACAGTTTCGTTGGCCTTACTAAATAGTATGACTTTTCATTATCATATTTTATATAATATTAAAGTTTATTGAAATAAATTTTTATTTAGATTAATTATACATAAAATTTATGTTTTTTTGTTAATATCGCGAATTATGACAACGTGACATTAGTTCAGAGATTATTACTAACTTTTTAATATGACAATGTCCTTCATGACAGATACATAAAAAAACGTTGAAAGAGATATTTGATCAACAAAGACTTGACACAATTGCTAAAGCCACGACGGTATACTGGTCGTAGGTTCGAATCCCGCCTGCTTAATTTTTTATAATTTAATTCAGACCTTGAAACCACTTTGATCACACCTGTAGTTTTTAAAGCACGCACGAGCATACAGTGTGAGGATTAAGACTTTGTCAAAAGGTTTAATATAAAAACAATTACATGACTTCTTCCTTGTGCTTTACAATCGCGAAGTTTTATATAAGATATTTTTTAGTCATTATTTTTGATATTATATCGGTTGAGGATGCTTTTGTGATGTGACTCCGTTTTGCTGTAAAAAACGGATGTGCAAACAAATTTTATGTTAGATATAAGATTAGAGCACATGTTCAAAATATATTATATTGAGTGAAATCACTTTGGTGCCATTTACAAGTCATCTGTTTTGCATTTATATTCAATAAAAACGGACACAGATTATAGTCCGGTCTTGGTGCGAGGAATATAAGGCCTGATAAGGTGCAAACATAAACAAAAAAATATATATATTGTATGTTAATGTTTTCATGAGTACTACTTAAAAATCCGTTTTAAATAAATTGTATCGATTTGCTTGTTGCCTAAGATTGCACCCTCTATGTAAAAATGTATCCAAAACGGCAAATCCGTTTGGGGCTTATTGCTTGCAGTTTCGTTTTACAAAGATTCCTAATCTAACCTCACTTTTCTATAGCAATATTACTATTATATTCCTATTCGATAGTAATACTTTTACCTATCGTATTTAAAATAAAACAACTTCTGACCAAGAATCGAAGTAAAGGAAGGTACACGTACCACTTATCCAATACGGTTTTCGACGGTTTAAAACGCGATGCTAGAAACATTTTTGACCGCAGCTGCTGAAAAGTATTGAAAACGTCGTTGTCCAATATTTCTTAAATGGATCACGTTTTAATCAGTTAAATGCCGTTGGTTTAGTGGTATGTGTGCTTGACTTCTAGTCGCAGGTTTGATCTATCATTGACCAAAAAACATTTCACAAAGTACATTCTACAATATCCCAAAATAGTACCTACACGATCTACTTACCTTTCTTTCTTTGTATGGGAGTTTTCTTCTTCTTCCTAGCAGTGGAAACTTTGAAAGAGGTGATGATGATGAAGAAGTTGTTTCATTTTAATATTCTAGATTCTTTAATAGAAAGACTTCAATGTTTGTGAAAGAGTGATAAAAATGTGGCCTTATTTTGGGAAAAGTTGACAAAATTCGCTTTATAAAAAACCTTCCATGTTAATAGGAAATTTGCATGAGACTTAGCTGACGGACGGGGGTTCGACTCCCGACGGGCCTAGCACGATTTCAGGTTTTTCGATCATTTTAGACGCAATAGTTTTGAAAAGCTACACACGGCGACTATCATTTATTACTGAAACTGTAAATAGGAAAGATCCTAGGTTCGAATTCTGTGGAAACAAATATTAATGTCGGTAGGGCAAGAGAGATTTTTGTCAAGTTGCCTTTACAAGTTTATCAGCCGTCTAAGATTGATTAGGGTTTTAAAAGCCATGCAAATTTTCTATTTAAATTGTTGTGATTTAAGCTTTGCTTCTATTGATGTCTATCAATATACTAAGTTTTAGATATTATTATAGCTATTAATAAAAAGATATATCCCTTCTTTTTCTTCATGGGTTTATATTCTATATTTCGCATAAAAAATTGTTTTTTACCAAGATAAATAGTGCATCTGTATTTTGTACACACAGATATAATATGTTTATATAATTTTATTTCTATTAATGAAACAGAACCTTTACCTCAAAGGTTTAGTTCAAGACACAGATTAGTCTATCTATGCTTTCACCATGTATGTCAATGTATAGATAATAAATATTGATTGTTAATCTGTGTTTCATTTGTTTTTTACGATATTTGAGGACAGACATGGGATTCATCTGATGAAAGGTTATTAATTCAATGTGTTGCCTAGCATTGCTTTTAGCTTGAGAGGTTCTATGTTCGAACCCCGGGGATACAATCGATTGTTTCGGTCGGAAGAATAAACTACTTAAATACTGTCTATAGTTTACGCGAGTAGTACACATTTAAATAAAACACCCTAACGGTTTAAAACGCGATATATTAGTTAAACTTATTTGATTTTTAACTTCGGCCCGACGTTTCGGATGCTTTGCAGCAACCGTGTCTCCTCGTGACCACGGCTGCTGCAAAGCATCCGTTTGGCTTTAGTTTGGAAATCAACAGACTGAAACGCTATTAATCTTTATGGCTTCATGGACGGTGGTACGTGACCTGGACGGAATTTCGATATCCCTCCAACCCAGAACAACTAGATCTCTCAGACACTGCATCTCTAGCATATATCAGAAAAATAATAAATTGATAAGAAACATTAGTTCGATACAAATGTATTAACTGTGTGTCTGTAGTATTAAATGAAATATTGTTTGGTGATTAGTAGAATATAGATTTAAATAAAAATAAACATAGCGTTCAGTTCGAATCCCAGAAGAAATACACCACAGAAGAGCCTCACGTTAAGTTACAGGGACTTTTAATATGGTACGAGCGACTTGATCCGCGTGGAACAGTTACTTTTGACAGCAAAATTTGTTTTTGCAAACCTCCTCACCTTTATCAATTATAGTTGTAAAGTGTTACCCACAACAAAATACGCGTCCCGTACGTCTTTCAAGAAAATCTCAAAAGATACACATAAATATTGTCGCGAACATTATTTATAGAGGAATCATTTTTGGGTATCTTGGACCGTTTTCGCAGCGCACTTTATAAAAACTCTAAGATGCATAATTTTCCCCGTTTTTTCCACATTTCCTCACTATTGCGCTCGCTCGTGATAAATTGTTCCACACAAATAACTTTTTAATTAATACTAGTAGATCCTGAGCGTTCAAACAAAACTCTTCGGCTTTATAATATTAGTATACATCTTATATGGCAGTTTAAAAAAATAAAACGCCAAACAGCTGTTATCTATATTAATCTATATAAATTACTATTTACGAAGCAAATTTTTAATAACAAATACGGAAAACTACGCAACAATATAATATAATAACGTTTAGGTATCTAGCTACTCTTAAACCACACAACGAATGTCCGTATCTGCTGTGGGACCAGCTTTATTCCAGGCTTATCGTCGTCCTTTAACGGTTCTTCTTTGTCATCATACTCGTAAAGATCCGTTCCGTAATATTTATTAAAGTTAGTCAGAAAACTGCCATTTTTCTCCCAACGCAGCGGAGTCCAATCGGACAGCCACACATTAGCAGCTAGAGTCGTCTCTCTTACTCTCTCTACTTCAATGTTATAAAACAAACGCTTCAAAAACACATATTTAACGCCAGTTTTAACTACATCGGATTTCTCTAGAAAGTTCTCTAAACGCACCAGAAGCGTTCCGTCGTTCCAATTTTGAAGTGTCAAAACATGGACGCCGAATGGCAGTCGGTTGATACCCGCGAATTCCATTTTTAAATCGAGCCAATTGTCAATTGTCAAACGTGTGTCCGAGATGATCGAAAGAGGTTTTAATTCTATCTCTTTTGCCAATTTCTTTTCGAACGCTCTGTTGGGTCGATAGTTCGATTTCGATAAGTATAAATAGTGCTTCCCGGAGACAATAACGCCTTTGCCGTCAATTGTGTCGTTGACAGTTAGGCCAATTCCTGTCTCGTCTGTTAAAATTCGGCGCACGACCATCATATCTATGGCCCCGTCTATTAATGATGTGCCTCCTATAAAGACACAAATAAAGGTAATTAATTTTACACTAATTTAATTTAGTAAGTAGTTTATAAATTAAAAATCTACTTGAATATTATTTATACTCATAGTTTAAGTAAGATACAACATGCTCGTATCCCTAATTATTAAAACATCTCTATCTATATACTAATATATAAAGCTGAAGAGTTTTTTTGTTTGAACGCGCTAATCTCAGGAACTAGGGGTTCGATTTGAAAAATTATTTTTGTGTTGTGAACAAAGCGGGGGAAATTATTTATCTCTGTTAGTTTCAGATGCGTAAACCGTTCAACGAAAAAATATGTTTGACAGAATGATTTCTCTTTGAATCATCTAAAGAAATGTACGCGACACTATATATCTATCTTCTAGATTATTATGCAAGAACGACGGGTCGCGAGAGACGGGATGCGACCGATGTCGTGGTCAGCTTAAATTTATAAAGATTTGGGGGTTTGCAAAAACAAATTTGGATGCCCAAAATAACTATTCTACGCGGACGAAGTCGCTGACACAGCTAGCTTTTATATACTTAAGAAGTTAACTGGGAAACTGAGGTTCTAAAATTCTCTGGTCATAAGAACTACTGCCGTTAATGCAACAAGATAATGTCTCCCCGTGACCACGGCTGCTGCAAAGCATCCGGAACGTCGGGCCGTAGTTAAAAATAATTCGCGAAAAATTTTAACCAAAATATATCGCGTTTTAAACCGTTAAAGTGTTTTATTTAAATGTGTACTACTCGCGTAAAATACAGACAGTATTTGAGATAATTTTTATTGACTTAATAAAATACCGCCTTACCTTGTGCTCTATCATTTAGTATTGAGAATCGGGCGTCCATTGCAGTATCTTCTATATAGATTTTTGACGTCACAGGGTAGAAGTTACCTAAAAGAAAGAAGATGAATTAAAATATAATATTTACAGGTGTACCAGTAAATTAAACACTTAGACACTGATTTTCACCGCTAAGGCTTCTGAGGAAACGAAACGAAAAACGAAACGTTGCTATAAGTACACCTGTCTTTAGTTTATGCGAATACCTACACAGGTAAACATTGTAATAAAACACATTGACGGTTTAAAACGCGAAATATATCTGTTAAACTTATTTCAAAATGTTATAACTACGGGCCTACGTTTCTAATGTTTTTTTTTATGTCCGCTGCTGCTAAATATGTTGAACTAATATATTTCGCATTTCAAACCGTTAAAGGGTTTTATTTAATTATGTATACCCTACCTATCACTAAACTTAAATAAGTGCGTTCATAAGAAATTTTAGCTTTATAATATCAGTAGAAATAAAACACTAATATTACATTTTGGCACATAATTCTTTGAAACAACTCACCAGCAATATTATTGAAGTCGTATGGCTCATAAGTGGCTCTTTGATTCCTTATCCTTTTCACCGTCTGTCGCCCGTTCGAGTCCGTGTAAAAGACACCGGAATTGTTCAATTCCGTGGTGTACCTTATAAACACTTCTTTTCCTAGCTGGTCATCTACTGGTACTTCTCCTAGAATAATCAATTAAACATTTTAATTCACACAAATAACTTTACAATTGACAAACAGTCATGATGTAAGTAGTTAAAAAAATACTGTACATTTCACGTTTTAAACGGTTCAAAATGTCACATTTATTGCCTGTCTCTCGCGTCAATCGCAGACAAGTTCAGTAAAAAACTATATAAGATATATCTTAAGTTAAATGCGAGAATATTTCGTCCATGCGACGAGAAAGAAATCGATTTTTTTTTTGACGGGCTCGTGGATCTAATTGTAGCAATGTATGGCTAATAACGGGTCGTAGACTTTATCTCCAACGGGTTCAATATTTTTAAATTTTTCTGAATCATCTTCGTATGGAAATCTGAATATTAAATAGGTGGTAGGATTTAAAAATCGAAAATAAATTGAAAAAAACGTCGACTCGGGCAGCACTTGAACCGGCATCGTCAGCTTTCCGTGCTGTTGTTCTACCAATTGAGCTACCGAGTCCTACACCTCATCGTCGAATTTTTTCAACTTATTGATACATGCACCACTCGCGCAATGTAATTTCAACCTTAACACTTGCGTAGGTGGTAGGAATAAAGAAATTCCGCCCTGGTCACGAACCACCATCCACAGATGAAAAAGCTTAATCGCCTTTCGGTTGCAGTCTGTGCTCTTGCTTAGATGCTACAGGCTGGGGTGTATCACGTACCATCAAGTGTACTCTAGGCTTACCTGTCTATCATAGTCTATCATAAAAAAAAAAACATTTGATTACATCCGATTCAATCGGTTTGATCGCTTACAGCAAACCAACCTTTAAAAATAGACATAAGACGCCTTTTTTCCTATTTTTAAAGATATTGTTTAGTGATCAATAATTTAAAAATAAATGGGAAATAAGAACAAAAACCCTATAATTCTTTGCGGGTTTAGAACCTCAAGGACCGCATCGACTTACATCGCATTTAACCATTGAGCTACGGAGGTAGTCAAGTGGAGTATTGATACTGTTTCGTGTTAATAACAACTTGACAAACTGCCTTACCTACAGTCCACTCCAACTCCAAACACGGAGAATCCTTATACAGTCTCGCCACAAACGACGCGTACGCCGAATATATACTATGTACCTCCTGTACAACATCAGTTTTATATATTTTCGTATCTAAATAGTCCATTATTGGTACAGGTTTTGGGTCCATCGGTCGGAAGAGGTGTGGTCCTGGGTCTATCACGTCCGTAACTTCCTCTCTTACTTTAGTTGCTTCGTCGGATACATAATAATAAAATTGTATATCCAAAGATGTATTGAGATGGTTGGATAGAGTCAGTTTTGATATCTTGCGGTAGCTGTCTAGCTCTATTTTTATATACTGAAATAAATAATAAGAGTGGAATTAAATACTAGCTACGTCGTTCGTCGTAGAGCAGTTACTTTGGGCATTCAAAAATTTTTTTGCCATTCTGCAAACCTTCTCAGCTTCACAAATCATAGCTATTACCAACAACGTCGGTCACGTCGCGTCGTGTTTGCAAGTTAATCTTAAAAGATAGACATATACTGTCGTGGACGTTTTTTATACCATTTAAAGAGGAAGCATTCTTTTATACATGCTTCTTGGCTTCTTGAACCGTTTTTGTAGCGCATACAAACCCTTAAATGATGAATTTTTTTTTTCCACATTTCCTAGCTTCTTCGCTCCTGTTGGTTGCAGGCCGATATTTGTTAGCCTAAAACCTTCCTCGATAAATGGTACAACGTACACTTTCAAGAATTTTTCAATTGGAACTAGTAGTTCCCAAGATTAGCGCGTGTAGACAATCAAACAAACAAACAGTTTTACAATATTAGTATAGATACAAAAAGTTTCGAATTTCATTATTCTACAATATTCAATTTACAGTCGAGTAGTTGTTAAGACTTGTTGTCCTATGCTCCGCTGGACCGAAGCAAGACATTGTTTCCCCATGATTCGAACTGCCGGGAACGCGCATGTAGATAACGCGTTGTAAATTCGAATTCGAAAAATTAACTTAAATAAGGATATATTTTATTTTATGACGAGAATTATGTAAACTTACCCAAACCAACCGAAACTATGGCCGTTTTTATGGATTTCAAAATAAGCCAATGACGAATATAAAACATATTTAAATCTGTTAAAATTCAAAATCCACACTAATTTTATATATTCAAACTAAAACCCGACTACACAAAAATGATCGGGTCAGTCCGATCGGAATTAACTGTGTATGTGTGTGTGTGGATTTTAAAGAATATGTTATTATACTATTTTTTTTTCAATCATAGTTGCGTCAACACTTTTTACACCCGACTATACATCGTTTATGTTTTAACAGCAGTATAACATAGCACTCACTTTATTTTCTATAAAATTATCCTTAGATTCAACAGCATAGAATGAATCTAAGTTCTCCCTCTCACTTCCCTTTTTCGGTGTCCTTGTAGCTATTTCTACTCTCTCTGTGACTACGTTAAGCTCTTCTGTCACAACATTTGTATTTGTCGTTTGTTTTTGTGTTGTCTGTAAAATTTCTGCTGTTCTTTCTAAACTTTTCAATTCTGTGGTATTTTGACCTTCAGTCACTATTGTTGATGTCTCTGCTATATATGTATCTGAAATAAGTTATATAATTATCTAATCTATACTAATATTATACAGCTCAAGAGTGTGTTTGTTTATTTGAACGAGCAGAAACAGTTGGAAATGTGAAAATAAACGTGTAAATTTATCCATATTTGATATACACAGAAATAAAGCATGAAATAATGATTCCTCTTTAATTTAAGATAATGTTCTCGCAAAAAAGACGACGAAGCGACGCAGACGACGTCGTGGGTAACAGCATAGCAAAAATTTAATTCCCAAAATAACTATTCCACGCGGATAAAGTCGCGCGCACAATGAGTTGTTAATATAATGTATAACTTTTTCTTTCTAATCAATGCTAGTTATAGTCATACATTGCTATGCAAGCGATAAATTGATGGATGTCATTTGAAGAATTTGAAAAACCAATGAATAACACACCCGTTCCTTCCTTCAACAAAATTGGGATAACTTCAGTAGTATCGTTAGCTCTGTTCGATTTGGGAGTTACGACATTCCTATTATCCGGTGAAAAATCTTCAACAGACGCAAAACTGATATTCGGTTTGTCATCTTTAAATTCATCATCATATCTTCGTTCACTTTTCTCGTCCTCATCATCGTATATTGCCTCTTCTTCGAAGTAGGTCTTATTGTAGACGTCCGATGCTTGTCGTATATAATATTTCTTTTGGGGGTGTGGATTTAGCTTCTTTATGATAGATCTCTTGTGTTTTTCTACCCTTTCGAAGTAGTATGACTTGAAGCCCATGCCTGGGATGTCATTTGCTAAGAAGACTACTTCGTGGTCAGTTTTCGTTTCTCTAGTGACTATATTAAGTACGTGTATCGAAACAGGAAGGAGCGAAGCTTTAATTTTGTTTCCTAGAAGACAGATTATTATAGAAATTAAGTGTTATTGAATATTCAAAGCCAAAATGGGTCGATAGCGCATCATCGAGTGAACCGCATGCTTGTCGGTCCTCTATCATTAAAAAAATACCTTGAACTTTTACTATTTTATCTATTTATATATTATAAATTTATATTGTTATCAATTTTTCGATTTCTTATCTGTTTAAATTCAATTAATTCACAATAGCACAGATGACTATGTTTAAACTATTTCATACTTACCTTTAGTATCATAGACGATATATTTGGATTTTCGTACTGGAATTCTGACAGGCATAGTCACAGGCCAAGATAGTGGATTATATAGTAGGATCTGAAATTTAAATAAATAAATTAGTAGAACAAATACTACTCCAAGAGTACACATATGACAGTGTTATGGCGTCAAATGGTTCGGGTAAAGACTTAGAGTTCTCTCTAAGTACTCTCTAAGTCTATCTTTACCTTTGCGAGCGTATATCGATTATAGCGTGTCTGATTACACCATAGTTCAAACGGGGTTCGAATTCTAGACCACAAACAAAACAAGTGTATATTATGATAGACTTACATGAAACGTAGGAGATGCGGTAAATGGACAAACGGACGAATTAAATTCACATCTTTTGTACTCAATGCGAAATGAACTTTCAGTCAACTCGCTGAAACAAGTATAAACATACATATTAAAATAAAACACTTTTACGGCTTTAAACCCCCCGTGACCACGGCTGCTGCAAAGCATCCGAAACGTCGGGCATAAGTTAAAAATCATGTTCAAATAAGTTTAACTAATATATCGCGTTTTAAACCGTTAAAGTGTTTTATTTAAATGTGTACTGCTCACGTAAACTATAGACAGTATTTTCGGTTTCTTGTCTGTGGATTTCCGAATATCCAAAGCCTAAATAGGTTGACAGTGCATCATGATTACGTGTTATATTTCTGAAGTATTTCACCTAACATCAAGATACAATAGAAAAATGTGGACTCAGTGGGGATCAAGCCCGAAGAACCGTTGATTATTAGGCATACAATACTATCAACGAACCCGTCAAACTGTTGAGATGGGACGAAAATTAACGAGGTCCAAAACTTTATGGTCTAAATTAGCCACAGTGTGTATTAGCCTACTTACTTAAATCCATCTTGGAGTATTGTCATAGATCGTTGAATAGCATAGTCCAAACGCTTCATGTAATACAATTTGGAGTGGTGGGCTAATGACCCGGTGATGATATTGTGGTCTTGCATCACACCTATGAAAGAACACAATAATGTAAAAGCCTATATCCGCGATATATCTACATCTATACTAATATGAAGCTGAAGAGTTTATTAGAACATCGCCCTGTAACTAAGACGGCGGAAAATGTGAAAACAATTGGAAAATTATTCATTATTAATTTTCGAGGCGAACGTTGCAAAAGCGGTTCAAGATACCTAAAAAATATGTATTAAAGAATGATTTCTTTAAATTATCTAAAAAAAAGTCCGCGACTCTACATGTCCATCTTATAAGACTAACTTGCAAGAACGACGGTAAGGGACGCGACGGACATCGTGGGTAACAGCTAAGTTTATAAAGATGACGGGGTTTGCAAAAACTAATTTGGACGCCCAAAATAACGATTCTCGTGGACGTAGTCGCTGGCTCAGCTAGTATATATATAATCTTCCTCTAGTACAAATAAAAAATTGAAACTTTTAAAATATAAAAAAGGGTTCATTTTTTATATTTTGATATTTAACTAGTAATATGAAAATGTAACTTTGTTCCGATTTTATTTATGTCTTAAAAATTATAATAAAGAAATTAAAAATTAAAAATCCATCCCACCAAAGTTCAAAGGGTTAGAGCAGCAGCACGGAACGCTGTGGATGCTGGTTCAAATCCATCTAAATTGTTTCTTAATTTGTATAATGACATCATGAAAAATATTAGAGTATTCCAGCATTAAATTAAAAAAAAAACCCGGGCAGGACTTGAACCACAGCATTCCGTGCTGTAGCTCTACCAGCATTATATGTACATATATAATTAAATTAAAAATGTATAAATTGAATCCTCCGTCTTTAAAATGAGGAAAATTTCATCTTACCCATAATCCACATGAAGTCATCTAGTATTTTATCATGGCCCAGCTTGGCAAGAACTTGCAACTGCTTGGCTGTCTGAAATATAGATTACAATTTAAAAAATAACTATTTGAATTATATAGGTATAAAATAAAATAAAGAATTCAGGAGTTGAAGTAGAAGATACATGGTTCTTGCGTCAGCATAAGTTGCAGCACTGTTTTGCAGTGTTATAACACTGATTTTCAGCAAAACCCTACTTTTCGTCTGCGCTCATATTAACATGTTTATATTTTCTGATAAAAAAGAATGATTATGTAGTCTAATAAATAATATTATTATCATTATTATCGTTAGTATCGCCTTTAATTTTGTGAAATATAAAAAAGGTAATATCAATTTGTCAAGTCTTGCATTGTTCAACGTGTAGTGTAGGTAAGAATACCAGCTGTGTCACCGTGTCACAAAATGTTTAAGTACTTAATGTGTACGAATGCTTTTTAGGTTTGCATCAAGTCCGAGAGACTCTGGCTTCGAATCTCGGTGACGGCAAGCCTATGCCCTATAAGGGGAAGCGGAATCGCACTTACTTGTAAGTAAACGTGTCCTACGCGAATAAAATATTTAAGATCCGGTCTGCTTGTAAAACAACCGCTCAAATAGTTGTTTTTGTCGTATCCTAGTGGGATAAAATCATCTTGTTTTGTCTCTAATATTGGGCTGAAATAGAACAATACTGCATAGGCCGACAAAGCTCTGTTTTATGTTAGAGGAGGACTAAAGAGGGGGGGAGGAGGGTGTTGAGAGAGGTCCCAGGTTCGATTAGAGTACTTGTATGAAAATAAAATCGATTCGTAACAAAAAGGAGAAATGTGTCTACCCGTTGTCCCAATGTCCCAAGTAGGTAAAGCAATGGGAGAAAAGGAGAATAAGTAAAACTTTATATGACAATTAACAATAAATAATTTGTTTTACTTTAACCGTTTAGAATTACAAATACATTTGTTAATCATAAAAATTATTTAACTAAGGTCTGACGTTTCGGATGCCATGCAGCCACCGTGGTCACGGGGGGACTAAAGATGGGGGGTGCCCCTAATGTCAACGTAGAAACTGCTACGCACTGCACTGCACCATCTCTCCCCTCATAGTTGGTACACACACAAGGCGAGACACGCCTTGCAGAATTGACTAACGGTGTCATCGCGTTTTAAACTGTTGAACTGGTTTTTATTTAAATGTCTATTCGCGTAAACTATAGACAGTACTTTATTCTACTTACTGTGCCTCGTAAACGGATTTCAAATAGCAATGCGGAGTTGAGTAGTGCAAATGAATTTTCTTTTCCATCTTGTATGTTTTCTTGTTCACAGCACTAAAAGAAAAATTAAATGATGACTCAAGATATGATAAGAGAATATGCTATAAAGTAGAACAACGTTCTACCACCATTTAACTTGTCGTAATATGTTACGCGCAACAGTCTTTATGATAGGGTCAGACAAACATTCACTTGATTACTGTCTATAGTTCACGCGAGTAGTACACATTTAAATAAAACACTTTAACGGTTTAAAACGCGATATATTAGTTAAACTTATTTGAAAATGATTAACTTCGGCCCGAGGTTTCAAATGCTTTACAGCAGCCGTGGTCACGGGTCAGATTCACTTTATGGTAAGTGAATAACCCAGCCATATAATATCTGAACAAGCATTGTCCAATTAAATTAACGGCTCTTTAATCTGTGAACGGTGGATCTTGTCCTGGACAGAATTTTGATATTCCTTCCAAGTATATAATATCCAGATTTCCAGACGAAGTCCAACATGTTATACAAACAATATAAACTGATTAGAAACAAGTTATACACAATTAAATAAAACACTTTAACGGTTTAAAACGCGATGTATTAGTTAAACTTATTTCCGTGTCTCCCCGTGACCATGGCTGCTGCAAAGCATCCGAAACCTCGGGCCGAAGTTAAAAATCATTTTCAAATAAGTTAAACTAATATATCGCGTTTTAAACCGTTAAAGTGTTTTATTTAAATGTGTACTACTCGCGTAAACTATAGACAGTATTTAAGTTATACACAAATCCAACCCACGACCCGTTGATTGTTCAGACATTGCTTGCCATTAAAAATATACCTACTTGGTTAAAGCATCGATGTTTTTAAACCATTGTCTAGCTGCAAAGTAACCAAAATAGCCGCCCATTATGACCAATATGTGATTCGTCGTGTAATAAGGGCTTTGGCGATCTCTCATTAAATCTATGAAGAGGTCCGCCTAAAACAATAACCTATTGTTAGAGGAACAGTGAGATCGTCAAAAAGGAGGGGATAAGAAGTAGCAGTGACGAGTCTATATAAGCGTGTGCGCGTATTTTGTAAACCAACGACTCCGATCACCGACCCGTACTCTTCATGCTAGGTCCTCCTATCTATTTCGACCCGTTAACTAAGACTATCGTCGACTGGCGGAAGCTAGATAGGGGTTGAAAAAGGGGATGAAAGTTTGTATGGAAATTCGTGGTTTTTGAAACTAAACAATGAACCTTTCTTCTTTGGGTTTTAGGGATTAAGAGTGGGAATGGGAGTGAGTGTAGGCATTAGAGGAGGAGTTAGAATAGGAATGATATGAGGTGAGATTGTTGCGGCAAAGTAGCACTTACAACATAGATTGGCTGCCTTAAATGCGCCCTCACATAAATTAATAAACAGCCTAAATAATTAAAAATTATATCCCAAGTCACTATTCCAAGCGTACGAAGTCTCGTGCACAACTTTTAATATGATAAAATTACTTATCTACGCGGACATAGTCGCTGGCTCAGCTAGTATTAATTAAAGCTACTTAAGTTTTCAGAACAGTGTTTTCAAAGACAGCTCCAATAACATATAGCTTTTCAAAATGGCCGCAAGGGGGCTACTTACTTTGAAGAGTATAGAATGACTTACTCTTTCTTCAATTTGAATAACTGACTTCGCAGTGGTGACGAGAAACGGATCCAAGCTTCCCGGTGTGAAACAGAATCCAGGAGGGGACCTATAGCCGTCGTACAGTTTGTGGGTAAAAATGTCTGTTGACATTCCTGAAAAAACAGTATTTTTATCGCTTGTATAAACTTCAATATATAAAGAAAATTTGTTTATTAAGTGGCTTTTTCTTCCTGTTAACTATAATTCGTCTAAATGTAAAATACTTTTAGTACATTACATAAAATTAAATTTAAATAAAAATATTTTAACGATTTCAAACGCGAAGTGTATTAAACAAACAAATTATTTTAATTTTAACTACGGCCCGACGGACACACGCACACACAGTCATGTTCACGTTAAACTAATACATTTCGCTATGTAAACCTTTAAAATTATTTGATTGAAATATGTAGTAATTAGCTTTCTTTTATTGAAAATATAATCTTCAACATCTAGTCAAAGCTATTTAGAATCTGCTTTGAAATTGCGTAGTTCGCTTTTGAAAGTATCCTTTTATAGAAAAGTTTGTTACCGAGATCATCACTCCCCCTCCACAAGAACTCTAGTCCCCGCCTCTCCATCCTTATCAGCTCATCATCAAAGCTAATGGGGCTAATGAAGAGTCCATCGAAGCCCATTTGAGCGAGCAAAGAGGCGTATTCCCGCGAATGACCGGTGTTATCTGCCTGCCACGCCACTAGGGGCCGGGCGCAGGACAAAAATGTCCTATTCAACTTTCTGCAACACATTATCGATGGGTGTCGCTAATGAACTTACTGAACATCAGTTTCACAAGACCAGATATAAGGTAAGATCTACCAAACAGATTATATCAATTTGAAAGACGCAATATTTAAATAAATATGTTTAACGGTTTGAACCGCGAAATATATTAATTTAATTAGCCCTGACTTATCGAATGCTTTGCATTAGTCACGGCGGGATAAATAGATTAACTACAATATATCGCGTTTTGAGCCGTTAAAAGTTTTAAATGTGTTCTCTAAACTATTGACAAACTATTTTCTTTTTGAACAAAACACTTCTAACCGTTTAAAACGCAAATTATATTAGTTTACTTTGATCCGGCCTTTGGGATAAACAATATCGCGTTTTAATTATTACTAGTATGAATTACAGATAATACACACAATATTATGTTAAGATTTACTTAAGATATAGACCAGTATCAGTAGATATAGACAGACAGACAGATAGCGTTACTTCCGCATTTATAATATTAATAAGGATACCTTAAAGAATAGGTGTAACTGTCTATGATCGCGTGGTAGCTAGTGGTTCCTTCGTCTTGCATACTCCAACCTCCACCGACAATAAATAAGCGCCCTTGACGAAGCAGTTCGTACACCATGCGACGCACTGAAATATTTAACTTCCTAAAGCAAAGAGATTAGGATGCCCCACGCCCCACTTACCCTCTTTAAGTAAGAGCTATTGGGTAGTTTATGCGAATACTAAACATTTAAGTACAAAGCTGTATTATAATACAGCTTTGTACAGTACAGTTTGTTGTTTGTACAATAGTATAATAATCAGTTAAGTAATACATAATTTTAAAAAGCGAAATGTATTACTTAACTGATTATTACAGTCCCCCTGTGACCATGGCTGTTGCAAAGGATCCGAAACGTCGGTTAGCAGTTAAAAGAACTCGTAAATAAGTTTAACTAGCACATTTCTCGTTTTAAACTGTTGTATGAGCACATGTTATAGTTTAAACGGTTTAAAACACGATATATTAGTCAACTTTTTAAACTATGACCCGACTTTTAGGATACTTAACAATTGTTGTGATTATTGGGTAGCTTATGTCGAGTCGTAGTTTAAAAAAATATATATTTATCGCGTTTTGAAAGGTTACAAATATTTTGTTTAAATAACAGTTAGTTATTTCTCGAATACTGTCTATACTTTACGCGAGTAGTACACATTTAAATAAAACACTTTAACGGTTTAAAACGCGATATATTAGTTAAACTTATTTGAAAATGATTTTTAACTTCGGCCCGACGTTTCGGATGCTTTGCAGCAGCCGTGGTCACGGGGAGACTCCCCGTGACCACGGCTTACTTAAATGTTTCACGTTTTATTTAAATATTTCTCGAATGCTAAAAAGCAGGGAGCAGGTGAGCATCATTTCAGTCCTATAATATTTAAAAGACTCGAACTCGTGGATAAATGTTTGTAATTACTCCTAAACCACTTGACTGAATCTTATAACTTTGTGTTTATATTATTAAAAGGTCTACAGAACTAAGCTACAACTATTACAGACATGGCTTAAATAGCAAAAAGAAAGAATTTTAAAAACAATATACTTTAGACCTTACCTGTACTATCGCGCCTAGCCCACCAATGGAAGAAATAAGGTAATTCTGAATCCGACAAAGTAAATCTGTAAATAAATGTTACAATGAAGAATCGAAATATTAAATTAAATAATTAAATCAAAAATTTACATATTGTAAGTATCGTGTTAACAATTTTCGGGCACTGTGCTCTTGTAGATAAACATTTGTAGACTATGAAGATATAACAAACTCAATTCATATAATTACAGTTAGGCTACTCTGCCTCTAGTGGCCTCATATTAACTCACTTCCTCTCTCGGTTTTCCCACAATTCGGTTATCGTTGCATCAAATGTCATTTTCATGCTGAACATTGAACTTTGAGTCGTTGTGTTCACTGAAAGATGTTTCTTCATTTAAATAAAACACTTTACCGGCTTAAAACGCGAAATATATTATTTCGTCGTATTTTAAAATTATTTATATAAACGGGTCGACACGGCACGGCTTGCAAAGCATCCGATATAGATGCTTTTCAGAATCCGTGGTCACGGGGAGACTAATATATATCGCGTTTTAAACTACTCGCGGAAACTACAGACAGTATTTTATGTTACTTCATGTGTTAAAACTTTAGTATTTTTACAAGATATTAAAAATCTATTTCGTTACAGCAGCAGAACAGAACGCTGTAGACGACTGTTCAAGTACCGCCTGTGCCGTAACTTTTTAATCCAAATATTTTTTTTAAATTTACTTCGTGTAATTAATGTTTTCTATTCATCAGTTTCCACAGATGGGATTCGAGCCTTCTATAAAAGAAAATAAGTCTTCATCTAAATTGACATATATCACATCAAAAAAGTTGATTTGAAGTGTAAAAGAAACTATCAACCTTCAGTCCAGCACTTACTGTCCTCATAATAAGTCGCTCCACTCCAAAACAGGTCAAAATGCTTATACATGCCTAGTTCTGTGTGAGAATATGGTACCAAATGCACGTTCAAAACGTCCTGTTGGAGGTTTGGACAAGCCTGGAAGGGATATATAGGTTAATAATATTCTAACTAGCGCCACGTGGAAAAATTGTGAAGCTATCGAAGAACGACACTTCGACAGTTTTCAATATAATTTACGGTACTGAAATTCTTATTTATTAAACGTAAATATTTTTTTTTTCGCCGAGACAATAATTGATCAATAGACGATGTTTTCCCGAGCATTTTATTATTTTTTTTAGTCCAAAGGCATCTATCAGAACTTATTTTAAAATATTCTAAAACCTACTTTTTTCCTATTTGGACTATTTCTTTGTTATAGAAAAAGTTATCTATTGGAAACAAATAAAAACTCATTCCTTAAGTACTAAAATGAGGACGCAAGTTGCGTTTTTGCTTTTTTTTAACGAGAGGTTTTTTATGTAAATGATGATCTATTTACATAAAAAAACTTATAACCAATCAAAATTAACTTCAAGGTAAGTCTAAAGAACGATCTGGTCGTACATAGACTGATTCTCAATTTTGCCGCTAGAGGCGCACGAATAGTCTTTATTTCGTTTATACAATTATAGTACTAGTATATATTAGTTCTAAAGAAATAACCAGCGATTTTGTCTACGTAGAAAGTGACTTGGCAGCGTCCTATATTCTTTGGCTTTCTATTAAACAATCACTTTAATATTATTTTTGTGATACTCAACATGTTCATCATTTTTCATGTATTTACATGAAAAATGGCCAAACAATGCGACTGTTGTATTCAGATTTAAATACAAGGAAGATCCACTTACATCATAACCACAAGCTTCTCCCAAACTCTTCACTGGTGTCAAAAGGTCTATTATTTCTGGATCTAGCGCTCTGACGGACACAAAAAACATCCAAATAAACATTATAATACTTTCAATTGTAAAATAAATATAACGGATAATTCCAACGACCTACGAGAGTATACTGTTTTAATTCAAAACTTGCATACACTTATGTTTAATGTAATTATTATATGTTTGCATTTCTTCTCATGAAACATAATAATATTTTATAAACATGAGTCGATTGGGAAATAACCATATTTCGCTTAATAAACCGATTGAAAATTAAAATTGTTTACAGTTTAACAAAGATTAATTTATTATACTGAAATCTTTTTTAGTATTCCTATCGCATTAAGATTTTAATAAAACACTTTAACGGTTTAAAACGCCTATATCGAGTATTAATTAAACTTGTTTGAAAATTACTTTAACCACGGCCCGACGAGGGTCTCTTCGTGACTACGTAGTTAAAATAATTTTCAAACAAATTACTAATACATATTATCGCGCGTTAAACCGTTAGTGTTTTGTTCAAATGTGTAATTTACAGCCAGTATTTAGTAGAATAGGTTGTTATAAATAAATAAATATTTGTAATTTAAACAAGGGTGTCGCGTACTCTTGATCGACAACATAACATTGAGTTACACAATCATCATTGACAATGAGTTAACAACGCACTAATGTTCGACCGATGGGTGCCAATACAAAATATTTGATTGATTCAATTGCCAATATGTTGTGGCGATGAGTGAATCGTAATGTTAGTTATGGTTCCGTACATTCATCGGTGGGGCATGGGGTATGGGGCATACATGTTTCAGCATTATAATAGACCTATGTAAACGAAGGTGTAATAAAACAGTATATTTTTGAAAGACCTTTATTACGTCAATCAACTATGGAACTTTACGGGAAAGTTTAAAACACTCATAAGTGAGTAACACATTCGTAATTTATAGATTACGATGTGTTTGTTACTTTTAGGCGTTGAAAGTGTAGTTTGTGCTATATATTGTTCTAACGCTATATTGACTTGGTCATCGTAGCTGTGCCCGACTTAATCAATGTATTGTTTTTTTCCGGGCATTTTTCTATCTTTCATTGTCCCTGTATTATAAAAACAAAGTATTTTCCTTTTTATGTTTTGTTAATTGTTTAAATGTATTAATTTTCAACTTAAAATGTCAAGCGTGGGGCATCACTGAAAATCGGCGTTCTGTCTACTTAAAGTTACTAGAGCTGAGTGGTGTCCCTCCAATACCATCTATTATTTACGTAAAAGTATTTTTGTATGTGTGGCTTAAATGACTGGATTTGCATTCCTTGCGGTCATATGTCTGATGAAACCGTCAGAGACTTTTCCCCGTGGAACCCTCAAAGCTGATTCACCCCGGAAATTTTCGCGTCAATTTGGGCATCTCCCACTACGGCCCTATCTCATTCCCTCATAGCTGTCCCGGCGTAACGTATAATATAATGAAATATGAAGTGCGTAAAAAGTGAGTGATATTTCCAATTGTTATTTATTTAACACGCTTATACTAACTTGTGAGAGAAGAATAAGACAACACTCATTCTATATTCACAACATATATATAATATCTAGTTACTAATGAGTGCTGCATACAAGTAAGTACCGTTACAAAAATGTCTCTTTCCCTGACATGGTGACAGATATATTGCTAGAGCCAGAGTGGCTTAATGAAAAACATGATTTTCAATAAAGATAAAAATAAGTCAAGTCATAAAATTGGAGTTAGCCTACTCTGCCTATAGCTGCCTCATATATCCAGTCATTATGAACGCTGTCTACGTAACAAGCAAGTACCGTTACAAAAATGTCTGTTTCTCTTACACGTGCACCAGCACGTGTCAGATATATTTCTATGTCCGTTTCACTTGTCGACTTATTTACAGTCGACAAGTCAGTCGAGTAGTAGAACAAATTTTCGTGTCATTACTTGTTATTACATTTACCCGGGATTCAAATTATATTGAGTCATAGAGGCTGAATGCGTGCACTACCTGTAGCCGCGACTTCATCCGTGTAGAATTATTTTGGGCGTCAAAATTTATTTTTGCAAGCCTCCTCCTCATCTTTATATATTTTAGCTGTTAGGTACTAACGACGTCGAATGCGTCCCGTCGTTCTTGCGTGTTAATCTTTAAAGATAGACATATTCACTCTTATTACAAAACAAGGACTAACTCACAACCTGGTTTAAAGCGTGGTTTATTTGAAATTACAAAACGAAGTTTAACGTTTGTTCTGGACTAACTATGGACCTAACTTTGATTAATTTAGACCATGGTTTAAGAGTTACACCAAATCGATCTTTTCACTGTTTCCTCCCTCTTATTAGATACGAACCAGTAATCTAACTCTTCGGCTTTATATTATTAGTGCAGATAATAAGGTGTGGTGTACAATGTTGTACGATATAATAACTGTTCTCGACAGATTCGAAATTATTAGAAAAAAATGTGTTTATCTGTTATATTCAAAATCAGTAATTATCAAAAAATATTCAACTACTACTGTCTGTACTTAACGCGAGTAGTACACATTTAAATACTTTAACGGTTTAAAACGCGATGTATATTAGATAAACTTAGTTAAATATTATTTTAACAACGGCCCGACGTTTTGGATGGTTTGCAGCAGTTTAATAGTCCTCGACTTAAGACTGTGTACCTATTTCCAAACTTCCAAAGCCGAAATAGTTTGACATGCTATCTTATTTTTGGTGTTATATATGTGAGGTCCTTCCATCAAGTGAACATCCCAAAAATTTAACATACTTATTTTTTTTAACGAGTTACCGAGGAACTCGTTCGTAAATTTTTGACACAAAATTAGACTACTTTTTTCTTGCTATTCGCCATTAACGTGTCCTGGTTAATGAATTAGTAGTTTCCATATATTGTCTTACTGTTTATACATTGAAAAAAATGTTGTAGAAAATTTTAAAATTTACTTCTTAACCTCCATTTTCAGTAAACAAAACGCAATCCCGGGCGACTACGAGGGAGTCTATGAGCCATTGCATACAGAGACAATAGATCAATCTTCGGGCATAGGTATGACGGAAGTAGGAATGCATATGACACCTTTTAATCAAATAACAACTATGAAGTACAAGGCTTTCTCTAATTCTTTAAACATACCTCCTATAGAACAACCCATAATACTAAATCCTAATTACAATGATGCTCTAACAACCAAGCTTAAACAACCAATAAATGGCCAAAATTTTAAGGATGCAGCAGAAATAAAAAGCAGAGAAAAAGAGCTAGCAGTCAAAATAATAATTAATAAACTTAAAGATGTTCAATCACATTCTAAAGGACAAATGGGTTTACCACGAGGACTTCAAATGGAATATAATAAAAATGAAGCTGATACGAAATTTAAAACCAAAAGAATGGAGGTAAACAAAGAAGAAAAAGTAACGAGTGATTTTAAAAGGGAGGATAACGCCTTAGCGTCTATAAAATACACAGCATTTAATGTTATAGATGAAAATATTAAAAAAGCTGTTAACGTTGCTGAGGAAATTAAGAAGGAAATTGATATTGAATTGGCTAGAAAGGAACTGATAGCTTCAAGAAAAACAAAGGCAACTAACATTGAAAATAAAAGTACACCAACTATGCCTGAAGAACGTGCTCGTACTCTTGGCCTGCAAACGATATCGTATATAAAAACCTATATGGATTCGCAATTTTTAAATAGAAATATCATGACACGGATATTTTTTGAATTGACAAAGTTTATGGTGTCTCTTTCACAGCGCATTTTCAAGAAAAACTATATTTTAGAGGAACAATATACATCTCGAAGCGGAGTGGGCTTTTATGAAAATGAAGCCGAATACTATGAAGAAAAAATATTATCTGGAGCCGAAATGTCCAGGAAATTTGGCAAAACGCCACTGGAATTCACAGAAAGAATGGACACGGTAATAACGGAGTTTGAAGCAAAATCAGGAATAGAAATCACTTCAAAAAAACGACGCAGTAGCAGGTCTAGAAGTAGGAGTAGGCCAAAAGAACAACTAAATGGGGATCTAAAAAATCAAGCTAATATTGAAGGAAACGTTTATAGAGCGTTTGTAACAGAGGAATGGAGTGAGTACTACGATTTAGGAAAACCTGAAATCAATACAACAATGAAATCCGAAAAGCATTTCGAATCTGAAAGTATGAAAAAGGAAACAATAGAAGAGTTGTTTGAGGAAAAGATTTTGCAAAAGGATGTACCGCTCACATATATAGCTATTGTACAGGCACATGTCTTTACGAACCAAAATGCTATAATACGCGATGATATTGAAATAGAAAAAGACATGAAGATTTCCGAAAAAATACAATCTATGAGAGAAAATATAGTATTGAAAAAGATGGAAGAAACAGCAACTTGTACTGATTTGCAGCATCAAGTAATACAAATAAAGAAGGAAAAGCCTATAGAAAAAGTTGTGGTCATTGAATCTATAGAAGACATAACTCCTGTTGAAGAATATAAATTATTCCCCGGCATAGAAAAAGCTTTGCCCACCCCAATCCAAAAAACAACCGTTGCTTTAGAACCCGTAACTGAAATGGAACATAAACAACCACATTTTAAACAAGCTCGTGAATTCGTTGAAAATTGCAGTATAATAATACCAGGTAGCCAGGCGGTAGTGTTACAAGCAGAAAAAGATAATTCCTTCACAATACCAGAAATAAAGCCAAGAAAATCAATCACGTTATTTGAAGGACCATTGAAAACGGTCGCAGAAACAACCAGAATAGATACACTAGAACCAAGGGTTGAAGTTTTTGAAACAATTACGAAGCCGTTGGTTCAAACAGCCTCAACCATGGAAGAACCTAAAGTAATTGCTAACGTAGCAGAAGTTCAAGTGATTGAAGCTGCATCGCGACCATTGCATTTAAAAATATCTCAAGAAGAGAAGTCGAAACAACTAATTGAAACTCCCATTCAATCAGTTGCTGTGAAAACGGAAACATATATCGATCAACCAAAAGTTGAGTTTACTGAGACACCACCACTGAAGATGGAGGAGACAAAGGTATTGTTAGAACCATTAACAAGGACTGCTGCTGAGACAAGTGAAATATATACAGAGAGGGCAGATACTTTTCCGTTGTATAATCCAGACCCTGCTGTTAAACAAGTTAGGCCAACTATAGAACCCTTTGTACAAGTAGTAGCAGCAAAAGCGGAAACATATATAAACGAATCGAGTGTTAATTTAGCAAAAACAGAGCTTCGTTCTGAAGTCGTACAAACGTTAATCGAACAGCCGATCAAGGCGGCAGCAGAAACTTTCGAAACCTCAGTCAATACAGCCGAGGCAATGAGTTTTAAAACAGACATTACTATAGGAGAAAATACTCGTACTCTTGTAGAAGTACCAAAACAAATAGTGGCCCAAGTAGGTATAGTATGCACAGATGTAGCTGAAGGTGTTTATAAACAACAAAAGGCTGTTAAAGGAAATATTAAATCTTCAATTGAAACATCACAAATGATCGTAGCGCAGAGCCTTGAGACAGCCGCTGAAGAAGAAAAAGTAAAGTTATTGGACAATTTTCAAGTTAAAAAAGAAAGTCTTATTCCATCTATCGAATCAAATGCTAAAAATATTGCTGAAACCAATTTTACAATATCTTCTGAAACCAATGTCGAATTTGAAGCTACTAAAATAAACAAAGTAACCACATTACAAACTTTGGAACCTATGAAGACCGTAGCTGAAAACATGGAAGTATATGTTATCGACGTTAGTGAAGATTTCGATAAATTTAAGGTAAAAAGTACTGAGCGAGACTTTTCAATTGAAACTCCAATTAGAATTATTGCCGATAAAAATGAAATTGAAATAGACGAAGCTGTTGGTGTAGTAGAAAATGTAAAACTTATCGAAGAAAAACCACAGAGCAACATAGAAATGCCATTCAGAACCACAATGACAGTCAGCACGGCTTTCATAAATGAATCAAGCGGTGTATATGAGAAAGAGAACACTATAGAACAAAAACGTACAATGCCCCACACATCTTTAGAAATGGTTTTCAGAAGTGTACCAGAAACGTCCGAAATCACTCTGAATGAATCTAATACGGACATTATCGCGACAACGTATAGTGGAGAAAAACCCAAAAGTGTAATGGAAACACCAATAAAAGCAGTAGCTGAGAAGTTTCAACTATTCGTAAATACAGATGAAATAAAAACGTTCGAATCTAAAAAAAGCATAACTGAGAAATCCAACGCTGTTATTGAAAATCCAGTCAAGGTGCTGGCACAAAAATCCATCGTAATTCCCGATGAACCCAAACTGGATAGTTTACAAATTGCAGCAACAAAAATGAAATCATCCAAGATCGTTATGGAGGATACAGTACGATTCGTACCAGAAGTTATTATTCCAGGATTAGAGGAACCAAGGACTGAATCATTAATAATACCAAAACCTTCTAATGAAGAAGCTAAAGTAGCTCTGGATAAATTGAAACCGACCATTATAACAGAAATACTTTTAGCGGAACCAAATCAACTACCTTTTGAAAGCCCAGAATTTAAAACTAAAATACCACGGCCCTTAATCGAAAAACCTGTTTTAACAGTTCCTGAAATAATGATGACAATTCTGGAAGGACCAAAATATGATAATTTTATTGTACCTAAAACTACTGAAGAAGTGGCTAATGCAAAGTTTAAAAGCTCAGAAGCAACTAGCGTAACAGAGATATCGTTTTTGGAACCACAATGTGACTCTTTCGAAGTGCCACAAGTAACACAACGCCAGTCCCAACGCACTTTGGAAGAGGCCAAATTAACGTTGCCTAAAACTGAAATACATATTGCTTTAGGCCCTAAAGATGATAACATGGAAATACAAGGTACTATCAAACAAAAAGCTAAAATAAATTTCAATGAGCTAAAAGCACTTGAGACATATGTGATTTCGCCAGAAGAGGCGGCTCTAAAAGCCGTAGAATATAATAAACTCCAAGAGAAGAAGTCAAACTTAATCATGGAAGGTCACGCACATTCTGTTTCTGAAAGTATCCAAGTAAATGTGGCAGAATCTGAAAAATCCTTTTCTGTCTTAAGTGAAGCTATTGGACAAGAAGCTAGTCTTACAGTACAATCACTGGTAGGTCTATCTCAAACAGCAATAGCGCCGATTGAAGAAGTTAACATTGTAGATGAAAACTTCCAAACAACAAAAAGCCGTAAAGTAGTCGAAACGGAATTAGAAACTTTAGAAAAGCATAAGGCATCAATAAATAAAATAGATGTGAAAGAATCTAAAGTAGATATCACCGAAGTTACTAACGACATTGAAATGTCTGAGGATATATCCGCTGCATACAGCGTTGAGCTGGCTAAAGATGAAATACATGAAGAAAAATCAAAAGTTGAAAATAAAGTTCTACAAGAAGAGTCCCACGTCCATAAACTACGCTCAATAAAGAAGCAAGAAAAAGTATCTGCAGCGTTAGAATTAGACACAAAGTACATACATAAAGATATCGAGTACATAGAAAATGGTATGGAATCTATAATTCAATCGATAGATGAAAAAGACCATAAACGGTCCATAATTGTATCCGAATCGAAAATAATACACAGTGGGGGCAGCAAAAGTCCATCTCCCGATTCACCGATTAACGACGTATATTTTTTCAATGTTGCGACGCAATATAAACACGAAAGGGAAACCGAAGAGGCATTTACCGAGTTAGAATATAGATCTGCTGCAAAGAGGCCTTATACGCAGGCCGAAACTTCAGTAGAAGAGTCTATTGCCATACAATATCCAATATCAGATTCTGACGAGGACATACAAACAATCGAAGAGAATGATTACGAAAGTTACGAATCTAACATTACTGCAGAAGCTATGGTCAAACATAAAATGTCTCATATGAGAGAAAGTAAAGAATCAGAAAGTGCCCAGAAAAGGAGTAAATTAAAACGGGGTGAAGCTAAAACTATTCTTTCTAGCTTTGAATCAAATACATCTACTATTGAGCAAAGGCTTGCAGCGTCACAAGAAATGGTAATGGTAGCAAAACAAGGTAAAAGTGAATCTATGAAATCAGTTCAATTAGAAGCAAACACGGAATCTTTGACTGACATCAGCGCTTCAATTTTGCAAGTAGATATGGGGCAACAAGAGTCCGTTGTTAATGAGGTTAGCTCTTCAAAGATTTTAGAAGCACAGCGTCACTCAGCTGAAATTGGAATGGGGTTACAGGAAACATCAGTAAAATCAAAGTCTGCACGCAAATCGGCAAAGTCGAAACGACAGTCCGCTCTTTCTTTAGAACAAAATACAGCTAAATTAGAAATGCGTGCGTTAGAAGAACATAGAAGATCTATAGAACAGAATATTAACACAATGGAGACAAATATAGAGGAACAATACTCTATACTGTCAAAATCTGATGATATTGTTAAAAGTCCATCCCCACCAATACAACCCCCTACTCCTTTAACAGATGAATACGTCTTCCGTCTAACAGCGCCTTTACCGAGCAGAGAAGGGACCCCAGTACCGCGCGATTGTACTTCCAGTTCAGAATCAGAGGAGGAGATAAGAAGGAAACTAATACCTCATATCGAGCTTTCAATCGAACAAAGAATTTTCGACCCTCCATTACCAACTCCACCAACTTCTCCTACAGCTGTTACAACCCAGACGGATGTGACGTCACCAGTAAGAAGAAAACCATTATACTCGAAGCCCGGATTAAGAGGTGGCGGCGATACTTGGGATCTGACTAAGGTACAGTCGGGTGCAAAAAAAGCTTACCACATTTAAATTTAACCTTGTTAATATTGTATGTGTTTTTATGTCTTCGACGTATTTGTTAGCTTGATAGTAAATATGCTTTTGTGTTAAACTTATTTTTATGCATGTCACTTTTAAATAATTTGTAATGTACTTATTTGTTAATCCATGGTTAAATATAATAATCTAAAAGAACTATTCGGTATAGTAATTGTCAATAATCAATTGTGTTACAATAATGTGAGAATCGAATTCATACAGAATTAAAAAATATTTTAATTAAAAATTGATAGACACTTTTGCACCCGACTGCACATCACATGCTGCTATAGTGTTCTAGTTCTGCTCAAATAAAAGACGTTTCGCTTTTGATAATCTTTTATTTATATGTCGTAGTGTTAAATTAAAATGATTAAAAAGTAAATCGTTATTAAATTAGTTTTTGTAAAAGGTGTTTCAAAACAAACGTTCTCTTTCGCCTCTCGTGAGTATTAACATTAATATGTAAAAACTCCATGTGTTGGACTTTGAACATAGAGGTATTTTTTTATTCTTAATATATATAGGCTTCCTCTGCGTGTGAAAGGAATATTTCACTATATTTCTCGTTTTATAAATTTGTAAAATTCTTTCAAGATACACAATAGACAACATATTATATCAACGTGTAGTGCATGTGATCCCACGATGTTTAGTCAGAGACTTTGTCTACATTATTTCAAACGCAAAAATTGTGTAGAATTAAGTACTAAACTAAATATAAAACACATTAAATAAAACACTTTCAACGAGTCAAAACGCGAAATATATCAGTAAATTTATTTTATATACACTTTTCTACACGACTGTACGCATCACTGCCACAATCAATGAACATCACTTTATTACGCAACATTACTCATGGATTTTTGGCATGCAAATTACTGAGTCTATTTCTAAATAGACCGATATAGACCGAATAATGCATTTATTTTGCGACTCTGACAGCGGTAAGTACATTTTGCGTGTTTTGATAGCCCCGTGGTGCAGTGGTTAAAACAAGAATTAAATTAAAACCTTAACAGTATCCGATAAAAGTGTTGTTATTGAATTTTTGATCGCTATTACTTTTATTATCGATTTATTTTATTATAGAGATTGGCCGTGAGTTCGAATCTAGAATGTTTCAAATTGACTTTAGTAATTTTTATACTGAAAAAAGCATGATTTTGGCTATAATGAGTATAAATTTACAGACGTAGGCGCAATCTTCCAATAATACTTCTTAGTTAAAATTTCATATTACGCGCATTATGATCAAGGTTTGAATCGGGAATAAGAAACGGTCATACACAGCAACAGACTTAATCAATTTAGCCACTTAAAAATGACGAAGTAGACACCTATTTCTTGGTTATTCCTTTTTAATAAATCCTTTATGTACTAGGTTCAAATCCTGATGTAAGATAAAATATGTAAACGCAAATATTTCTGATATTGTCTGTCTCTTTATTATCTGTGTGTATTATTAACTAATGTATGTTATGGATTTCTCGTATTTTTAGGAGGAAATCTTAGAAATTAGTAGACAATCAAATCTCCTCGCTTCAGCCATAGATAAAACATTAAAAAGCATAGAGGAATACAAATCAGAGTTTGGGATATCAAATATGGAGTACGGTTCAGAAACTGTCACAAGTAGCCAATCGGAAATCAAGGAAATAAGTACTCTAATACATAACAATAAGGTCGATGTTCTTATTGACAAAATGGTTGAGACCTCGCGGCGGTTCTCTGGTGACAGCGAGCGAGATGGGGCGATGTATGAAGGATACAACAATACATCTAGGGAGGTTATAATTCCTGTTGCTACGGTGAGACTACGAAAAGTTCTAGTATTAAAATTAATGATTTCAATGTATTTATGACAGAGGGGGACAGACAAGCACGGGGTACACTTGATGGCACGTTTGACATCACAGCCATGCCAACTGTCACTCTACATTTATGGTGTCAATCTGTTTTCTGGGGATACTCAAGAATCCACAGACTAAGACTCAAACGCTAAATAAAATATGTATAATTATTTTTAGACATCTGGTTGTTTTGCGTAATAATAATATACATAGATTTTTAAAAAATTTGGACCTGGTGGGAATCGAACTCATGAACCCGATGATTAGTGTCATACATTACTATTTAACTATTTTTTTTTTAATTAGTGAGGGCATAGTTTTGCTTAAGTACATCTATCGTCTTAAAAAGTAATCACAGTTGTGGGGTTTGACCCACATTTAAAATTTTACTCCAAATCTTTTGCCAGTGAGTGAAGTTTGGCTTAACCAAGATTGTCTGCGGTAGCTCGAATGGTTATAGACGGACCGGAACGCTGTGAATGCCGGTTCTAGCCTTTATCGTACATTTTTTTCAAAAACTTTTGATCAAATCAAGAACTCATTCTCTTTGCTTGGGATTCGAATGTAGAATCCCTCAGCTTAACAGAATTATGAGCTACGTTTTCACTACTAAACATAACTCACAATTGTCAAACGTAAGTTCATTGATTGCGAAGAACAAATAAAAACACAATCAATTGTGTATTGATTGTGAGGTCGGCATTCATTGGCTTAATTTCAAATCAGCGTTTGGCAGGGCGATGCCAATTTTTTAGTTTTAAATACATTTAGGTGTTGAAAGGTGGTCAATGTCGATACAACTCAAGATATTAGCTAAAAATAAGTGAATTGTTAGTAAGGGAACGTCTTAAGTACGTAAACGGTATACAAATCACGAAAAGTATGATCTTAACAATCATCTTATTTTTTCATTAATATACAAAACATTTGTGTGAGTATATCTACTGTATATATTGGTTTTTATACTCATCCTTCTATACGTCATAGTTACATAAACCCATACATTTTATAATTGTTATATAATAAAACTGGCCGCCATTCGATAAAACTGTTTTATCAGTAGACGAGAAACTCGTTCAAACTTGAACTCCTCCGAAACGGCTTGGCCGATTTTGATAAAATCTTTTGTACTTATCCGGTATCTATGAGAATCGGCCAACATCTATTTTTCATCCCCCTAAATGTTAGGGGTAGTCCACCCCTAAATTTTTTATGTATTTTTTAGACAAAATTTTTTATTTCTATTTTTTTATGATACAACATAGAAAAATACATACAATGCTCAATTTTCACCCTTCTACGATCAACCCTTATTTTTTAATAGCCATTTTAGTAATTTAATCATTTTTCCTCTCCGCAAAACAACGCTTGCTAAGTCAGCTAGTATGTTTTATAATGATTCAGTATATATACATTGACGTGACTTGAACCGGCATCCAGACCGTGCTGATGATCTAACCAATTGGGCTAGCGTGACTTAAGCATGGAAAAAGTATTAAAATTTTCGTAGTTTAAGTTTTAAAAAACTGAACGGATTAAAACAAGTTTCATTTATTTTATATTTCGTTATAGCAATACGTAGCACCTAGGCCACAGACTGCACCGGAGGACAATACAGGTAAATCATATTTTTTTAAAAGAAACATTACATGTTGTTTTATCATAAATAACATCTACCTTGTAAACTTTAGGTAAGAGCTACTCATAAAAAATATAATATAACCACAAGGAATGTTGACGTGTTTTAAGTAGAAAAAATTTAATCAAAGAAAAATTAAGTAAACGAATACTTTTAAATAAAACACTTTAACGGTTTAAAACGCGATATATTTGTTAAACTCATTTGGAAATATTAATTAAATTATTATTTTCAAATAAGTTTAACTAATATATCGCGTTTTAAACCGTTAAAATGTTTTATTTAAATGTGTACTACTCGCGTAAACTATAGACAGTATTTAAAAGAATACTTATTGAGTAAGCTACAGAATCCAGTGTATGCCCATATCATTATACGTTTATTTTTGTATAGCCGTGATCACAGATAATTAATAAGAAAAACTCTGCGTTGCTCTATTGTTATTTTCAAGCAAACCTTTATCAACCTTATTTATCACTTCCACTTGCTGCTAAATGTTTCCGTTCTTGCCAAATATTTGACGAAAATCTTTGCCAAATATTTCGCCACTTTCCCGTTAACTTTTTAATCAGTATCAAAAGAGTATTGATACCAGTTGAACCTCTTTTTAATTTTTATTTTTAATCTGTTTCCTTTGTTAATATGAGTGAATTGTTCTCTTCGTATATAATATCTCAACATTATCCATACAACCATGGTTTGAACGGTAATAAATTTATCTATACACTAGCATAGTATCTATTTATTTAAGTTATAATTGTTACTTGTAGATGGTGTAGGACTCGGTAGTCAAGTCCTGCCCGAGTCGAAAATTTTTTCAATTTATTTTCGATTTTTAAATTATATAGTGCCTTCATGTGCAATAACATGTGAAAAATATTAATGTTTTCAAATTGTAACTTGTACTTGAAAGTACTCTAAGTAACTGTTAAACTTAATTAAGTCCTATTATCGATTTTATCTTTATGTTAACTGATTCAAACTAAAATATATACATATGATGTCATGGGCTTTAACTAGATTTTTTACACGATAGGTTCATATATGAGTGAGTTGAAGAAATTCAACGACATGTAGGGCACGGTAATTCAGTGGGATAGACCATCAGCTGTGGATGCTGATTCAAGACCTGCACATGTCTAAAATTATTTCAATCGAAATAGATGTTTTACTTGTATCTTTTTTACATGTTTATGTGATTTGTCCAAATTTAAATAAAACACTTTAACGGTTTAAAACGCGATATAAGTTAAAGTTACTTTGTACTACTCACGTAAACTATAGACAGTATTTATATTTGTCCAGAGTTTTTATCTTTTTTGAAATCAATGTCTCTTATCTAAACTCTTAATAAATACAATTCTGAATAAGAAGAGGAAGTTGAATTTTGTTTCGTAAACGTTATTTAAGCTACTTGTTATGGTATATTGTTCTAAAATGTTATTTATTATTACAGAAATTGTTTCTTACCCTTCGAAGTTGCAAACAATGGAACAAAGTAGAATATCTGAGCAATTGCTTAAGAGCATAGAAAGTATGGTTGGTAAGTTTAAAATATATTTATTTACACTTAAAAAGTAGGCATAGGGTCCACGCAACAGAAGCTCAAATATGATTACTTTTTCCCGGTTTTTTTCTAAATTTTCCGTATTTATCCGCTCTTATTGGTCTCATCATCAAGTTTTATATCCTAAATCCTTCCTCGATAAATGTGCCAACCAACTCAACAAGAGTTTTTAACTCCAACCAGTGGAGCCGGAAAATTAGTGCGTTCAAACAAACAAACGAACTCTTCAGTTTTATAAAATTAGTATGGATATTACGATAAAGGACAGATAAACGCGGGGTTCCTTTGATTGAAGATGGAATGGTGTAGCAATATAACGTCAATGAGATGCTGTCGACCCATTTTGGCTTTGGCTTAACATTAAAAATTAAAGAAAACACCTTTGTATTTACAATGTTATTTTTTTGTTACCTAATTTTCAGATCCTAACGCAGGTCTGGAAGACAGGCTATCGCAAATGCAAGCCCAAATCAGCGAACTCTCTCGTCTACCTGACATCATTAGTAGGACTTTGGACGAGGTCAAGGTGCAATTTGAACAGCTTAGCTATCAAGTACAACAGGTATTTTTAATCATGTTTTACTTGTGTATGTGGGCATGTATCAATAGGTTGACAAAATTCGACGATGACGTGTAGGATACGGTAGCTCAATTGGTTAAAGCAACAGCACGGAACGCTGTGAAGGCAGGTTAAAGTCCTGCACGCGACGTAATTTTTCTCAATCTAAAATCGGTTGGTGCGGTACAAGGAGATATGCTGCGAAATTACGGACACACTTCTGTGCCTTTAAAATTTTATTTTTAACGCTTAACCGCGGGCCTGTATTGAAATGATAATAAAGATCAAACTTTATATTGGCCGACTATTATGATATAGATGCTTATTTAAATAAAACACTTTAACGGTTTAAAACGCGATATATTAGTTAAACTTATTTGAAAATGATTTTTAACTTCGGCCCGACGTTTCGGATGCTTTGCAGCAGCCGTGGTCACGGGGAGACAGGGGGAAGTTAAAAATCATTTTCAAATAAGTTTAACTAATATATCGCGTTTTAAACCGTTAAAGTGTTTTATTTAAATGTGTACTACTCGCGTAAACTATAGATAGATGCTTATACCAAAATGTTTTTTTTTAATATTTCACACGGGCGGGAGTCGACTCTACGACTGTGGTTTTTCGGGTAGCGTTTTTAACCCTTACTCTAGTGTGTTATTTATATAATGTGCTTATAAAATTAAGAATCGCCTTCTTTTCTTGCAGACGTCCATTGAACAAAGAGTTGAAGTGAGCCAGAGTGAAATTAAAGAAGTTGAACACAATTACGGTAATTATTCTATATAATGTCTACTGATAATGATAATACTGTGAATGTTGTTTATAAAACCTTCCTCTTGAATCACTCTATCTAATAAAAAAAATGCATCAAAATCCGTGTCGTAGTTATAAAGAATTAAGCTCACATAGGGACAGAAAACGCGACTTTGTTTTATACTATGTAGTGATTCACAGCAGTCTGTGGTATATATTTTATATCATTAACGAATTACTTATTACTATATTTTATGATAGAGGAGGATCGACAACCATTGGGGATCACTTGGTAAGTCAATTACCCCAGGCACAGCGACAGTACATCGTGACAAGATGCACTGTCGACCTAGTTCGGCTTTGGATGTTCGGAAATCCATAGACTGAAATCGGAACGCTATTTAACTTTTAAATAAAACACTTTAACGGTTTAAAACGCGATATATTAGTTAAACTTATTTGGAAATGATTTTTAACTTCGGCCTCCCCGTGACCACGGCTGCTGCTAAGCATCCGAAACGTCGGGCCGAAGTTAAAAATCATTTTCAAATAAGCTTAACTAAAATATCGCGTTTGAACCGTTAAAGTGTTTTATTTAAATGTGTATTTCTCGCGTAAACTATAGACAGCTATTAAACTTGACGACTTTTTCATCTGCTGGCATTGGTTTGTGACAAAATTTCAATATTCCTACCACCAATTTAATGTTCAGCTTTCCAACATGTTACTGAATAGTTATAAAGTGGGGACCGAACTCACGAACCGTCGGTTATTAGCCAAACATTACTATCATTACAACAACGAATAGGTACGTCTAAATGTTTCGGTATAAGTACATGCAAGTTATCTTTTACTGATTTCACAATTAAATATTTTTTATAAGATCCTGAATAAAAAGTCTGCCTAACCGTGATTTTATTTCTTCGACTTTTATCATGTTCAACTAAACTTACAAAATATGTAGCTTTTTAATATTACTATGTATACATGTTTTATTTTCAGAAATGACAGAAAGCGCAATCACAGACCAGCCAGTAATAGAAGTGACATTGGAAGAGAAAGAGATGGGTGCAGATAAGAAAGAGTTCGCTGTAGAAGAACACGCGGATGTCGAAATACAGAGAATCATCGAGAAGAGAAGATTGGAGGCTGAGAGTAAAGCGCGAGAGGTAATAGGAATGAATATATCATTATTAAAAAAATGATGTTAAGCAAAAATAATATTATAAAAGGTAATAAAATTATTAACAAATATGCCAATTTAAGTCTAGTTTATGAATTTTTAAATACAAATAGTCGTATAGTCGTGATATTTGTCCATTTTTCTTATCAATTTCTATTTACAGTCAAGAAAATCAATTTTGCTAAGTAATCTATAGTACGTAGATATATTTATACTGTTTATTATTAATATTCAAGGAAATCATGAGAGAAAGACTTAGCCAAGAATTAAGAACTGCTGCGGAAAGGTTATCACCAAAATTGAGCTTTGACGAAAGACCTAAATTCGGTGTTACTGAATACGCACCGACATTGGGTGTTCCTCAAGAAACGCCTAAATTCGGCGTTACTCAAGAACCATTGCCGGAATTCGGTCTGCCTCAAGAACCTTTACCGGCATTCGGTGTTCCTCAAGAATCACCTTACTTCACTCCTCCTCAACAAACACCAAGATTTGGTGTTTCGGAAAAACTGGTAAAGCAAGATAATGCCGGACAAACTACGTCAGAAGCTGTAAAGCCTGTGGGAAAAGTCTGGAAGAAATCAGACAACTATGATGATGCTAATTTGGAACAAATGCTGTCAGAAACAATGGCGGCACAAGCTGAAGTTATTAAAGGAAAAGCAATTGGGTAACACATATTCCGTTTTTTTTTTGCATTTTGCCTTTTCTAGTTTATTAATAGGAAAATCCTTAATTCCTTACTGCTGTAATAACTAGTAAACCAAGAATAGTATACATATTAATAATATTTAAAAATATATATGTATAGCAAATTTAACAGTCATACGATTTAAATATATTTTTTGTGTTCTTTAGAACTATTTTAGTAGGAGAGGTTTTTTTCATACTTATTCTTATCATAAAATCAATAAGGAAATAAAAGCTGCGTACTCAAATAATACCATAGATACCTATAGACCATTTCTCCAATAACTTATTTGCAGTACTTCTTTCCTCCTCAGTGTGAACTTCATGAAATACGAGAAGCCACCACCACCATTGGACCACCTCCTGAACTCCGAAGTGTACAAAGCTATCCACGAGATGGACCAGAAGCCATTAAAGAAGGTAGAACTTCTCAAACCGGCGATAGCGGCATCTGACTATGTGGAGGTAATAACATTCACTCATTCAACATTCATTCATTTAATTTTTTTTTTGCGAAGAAACAGCGGAGAATGTATAAAAAACCGGGAAAATTATTCATCCTTATAGGTTTTTGTAACCTACGCTACGAAAACGGTTAAAAATACCCAAATATGCATGACATAATGATTCCTCTTTAAATGATGTAAAAAAACATCCGTGACAGTATATGTCTATCTCTCAAGATTAGTTTGCAAGAACGACGGGACGGGGTAGGTAACGGCTTAAATTTTTAGAATTTAATAGGAGGTTTGCAAAAGCTAATTTTGATGCCGAACATAACTTTCCTACGCGAATGAAGTCGCTGACACAGTTATCGTGGGATAAAGTGGTACTATGCCTTTATCTATGTTTGTAAATATTGCTTAAAATATTAAACATACCAGACAACTTTAACTTACATGAGGAAAGATTAGAATATAACAAAAGCAATGGGCGACCTTAGGCTTACTAGCGTTTGAGCGATCTGACTAGTAAATACTTAAGGCGCTTATTCAGTTTGGTCCTTTTTTCAGACGAAATTGGAGAAATTAAGCAAAATGAAGTTTTTTGAGAAAATTCTCGTATGTATGTGTAATTGTAATACATTCGCTGTTCTTTACTTTTTTCTTTAACAATACTAGTATTTTCAATTTACAAAGTCTTCAAGATATAACTGAATAATAGCGTTCCGTTAACATCGTAGGTTATTTAATTAACAATAAAAAAAATAAATACTTATTAATTTCTTTGAATAGTATGTATAATACATAATAATTTGTTTGATTCTTTCAAATCTGGTTGACATTTTTTTTTTATAGTTTATGAACACCCCCCGCACCCCAAACACATCAACAATTGTGACTTGGTATGTTCGTAAATCCACAGACTCAAACCTAAACGTGTTTACACTTCACGGATTTTTATCTGTGGACGGGCGGAGGTTTAGGACCCGGACGAAATTTCGATATTAAAACTACTGATTTGATATTGAGATTTCCAGTAAGAGTCGATTAAGATTTAGATAAAATGGAAATGATTAGAAATACGTTGGACATTTAGTGGAAATCGAACCAACGACCCGTTAATTATAAACCGTACATGACTATTAGCTATTTTATTATTTCATAGGTATTTGTTATGTTGTATATATGCAGTTTGAATGAATGTAACCTTATCAGAACTGTGGCCGTATTTTATTCTTCACTTATAAATTACTTCATTTTCAGAGGTTACGGTCTGTCTCCCCAGCACCAGCTAAGACATTGATTGAAGATTGCGAAGTGTAATTAAACTTATGATTATGTAAACATTCAATTAATATTTGTATGTAAATAAAAATAAAAAAATTACTAGTTGTATAGTCTTATTAATCTATGTAAACCGTCGTGGCTTCCAGATATACAGAATAATGATCAATTACAAAGGATTCGTTTTATTTCCTAAACGTAAACATCTGGACTTAACGATGATGTGGAGGATTTTGGCAGATGACTATGAAGTTTGTGGTTTTTTTTCTAAGTCGCCCTGTCTGTCCTTTAAGTATTTAGAGGATCTGACTAAAATTTGAAATAGTATTGTATTCAAAGATATGTTTTTATTTAGCATTTAAATATTAACAAATACTTTGTACAACTGGAAAGTACCTACTGTTATATTTCTCTTAATTCGAAGGTATGATATTGACCTCTCCGTTTAACGTCTTAAAATGTGTATGACATAATTATTCACCTTTATAATGATCTAAAAATGTCGCCGACAGTATATCTTTTAAGATAAACTTGCAAGAACAACGGGGCGGAGAACGAGTAAAAACGCTATAATTTAAAAAGATGAGCTTTGTAAAAAGAAAATTGGATGTCCAAAATAACATTGCTACGCGAAGAAAGTCGCGGCACAATGCACATCTAGTTCAATATTATTTTCCCAAGTAAATTGGACACAGAGGAGAAAGAAGTAAAACATCTGTGTACTGTACAGTAAGTCTCATATATAATCTATGACGAGCGATATAAGATAAATGTCAATGTCAAAAGCATGCTTTTAATTATGTCACACTTGTCGTACATAACAATTTTTTTGTAAACAACATTTGCGGAAATATTTATTTAATTTATTGCAAGAGTCCTTACTTCTTGTTTTTCACAGTTGTGTAGAAAAGGACGATGTTGGCATCAAAGGTAAGGACTAATAAACGTACTATCCAAATGGATATGGATGGAATTAAATAATTATCAATTTTTAAATTGACCGACACCATGATAGAGCAATAAATTATCATTAATTACCTACTCAAATAAATTCAAGGTTACCTTTGTGCTATCAGATGTAATAAAAATAGCTCTTTATGCATATCTATGTAACTTCCATAAACTATAAATTGAACACATGAAATTTACACTTTCCAGTCAAAATAAACGATCGAAAAACACTGGCAACGTAATAAAAACAAATGAGTTTAAGTTTGCCTTTTTCACGCAGGAAGTCGCGTGAATAATTTGTACAACAATGATTATGTTCATAAATATATATCAAAATAATATTAAATCATTTTCAGTTAGAAGTGCTTTTGGATTTAGGATCACAGCCAGATGAAAAAATTGTTGAACGGACATTAAATGAATTAAAATCACTTGATGGGGTAAAAGAAGTAAGTATAATAAAACCAATTGTTTTTTATTCGAGTACCAGATTTATTTTAATTAGAGCAATAATTATGTGGGGCATAACTTTAATATAAGAAGATTACTAAAAAGTTACACTATGCTATTAGCTGCTGCTACTAGAACCTTCCATTGAATTGAATCAATTTTCAGGCTATATTCAAAGACGGTGCCGTTGTGGTTGAAACAGTTTTGCCTAGTACAATGGTGGTTGACATTGTATCCAGGGTTTCTGGTAAAAGAGCTGTTCTACAAGGGTTTGGAGGTAAAAATATTATTTTGTATCCCACACACTATTGCAGCAAAGTTGTTAATGACTAATATTTTTTTTAGAAACCCAGTCCGCTGTAGCGATGGTGGCAAACCAGTGCAGAGGTTCTAGGGTAATGGGTGTGGTGAGGTTTCAGCAGACAGAGGAAGGGCCCCTAGTGGCAGATGGAAGTATTGATGGCCTGACACCAGGGGAACATGGATTGCATGTACACGACATGGGAGATATTAGTGAGGTAAACAAGAAAGAGTTGATTTACAGTATTAAAATTTAATTCAAACAAATTTTGCTAAAAATTTTTTTCATGAAATTTGCAGATTGTCTCTGCTTTTTAAAACTTTTTATTTTGAAAGTAACTTATTCGCTTCTAAGATGATTTTTAGAGAGCTTTAATATTTTTCAAATATTGCTGCATATGATGGCATTATATACTTTAAAAATCTATTTAGATTTAAAAAAATCAATAACATGCGTGGGACTTGAACTAAAATCCACAATGTTCTGTATTGCTACTCTAACAAATAAACGGGGCACAGTAGTTCAATTAGAGCAGTGGAACGGAATGCTGTAGGTGCTTGTTCAAATCCTATCTATGTCGCCAATTTTTTTCAATCTGAATAGATTTTTATTTTAATGATCTTAACAAAGATTCTTCTGTGTACCAGGAGGTATTTTTTTTTATAAGCTTCAAAACATTTTCCAGGGTTGTAATTCAATAGGGAGTCATTTCAACCCTCATAAATCACCACACGGAGGCCCATTAGATCCCTCGGATCGGCGGCACGCAGGTGACCTAGGAAATATAGTGGCTGACGAAACGGGTCGTGCCACGTTTAGGATTCTCGATAATGTTCTAAAGGTATTTAGAAAACTTACTATTAACTTGCAAAAGATTAAATATAAACATATCAATTAAGAACTAACTGTGTCTGCGAGTTCTTTCGCGAGAATCTTATTTTGGGCATCCAAATTCGTTTTTTTAAAAATTCAAACTCGTATTTCCTGAGATAGCGCGTTCAAACATACACACAAACAAACTCTTCAGCGTTATATATTAGTATATATGTAAAAAGAGGTATTTTTTTTAATAAATTTTCGAAAACCATCTATCGTTATGGTATTTACGTTTTAGTGTCATAATTCTAGTTGAAGAACTTTTTGGTATCATTTAAGCAAGCTTGCTACATAAGACGATGTGCATTTACATATATCCTTTAGTAGTAATTCTCAGTCTTATGAGAAAAAATAAAATCCTTTTTTTATTTTAGGTGTGGGATATCGTGGGGAGATCCATCGCCATAACGTCCCGGCCTGATGACTTGGGCCGCGGTGACGCTCCCTTGTCCAAGGAGAACGGTAATAGTGGCGAACCGTAAGTGTTATTCAAAATTTTTATTTGAGTAGAATTCACGTCTGAAATAATTATTATATTTTTTATTTATTTTATTTAACTTCTTTTACATTATTTACATTACCAGAATTAGTCAAGCACGATTCGTGCTATATACTCTGTACATATAGTCGTGGTTGAAATTCTTGATACATAAAGTCACCATGAATTGATGCCACAAGTACTATTTACACCTATATTTTTGATATTGCAGCATAGCGTGCGGTATAATAGCCCGTTCGGCTGGCATTTTCCAAAACCCGAAGCGGATATGCGCGTGCGACGGTGTCGTCGTTTGGGATGAGAGAGACAGACCGTTGGCGGGAAAGGGACGAAGGTGTTGCGATAACCATAAGGAGAGCGAAGTGAAACAGTGCTGTAAAGTTTAATAATGGGAACTGCTTTATTCTTTTTTGATATACGATAGGTCTGTATAGTCCTGTAAGAGTTATTGAAATTGTACTTTGAAAATTGTAACACCTGTTTACCCAGCTTGGACATGCCGCTAGTGCAACCGACACATTACTTCAATCGATTTTAACAGGCTACTAATTGATCAAAGTTCTGTGCTGTACAAATTTGTTTTCCTAAGTTTCGAACTCGGAACCTCACACTAAAGCGGGAGCACATGAATGTGCATATTGTACAATATAAAAAATGTTTCCTTTATGCTCATTAATGTCCCACTGCTGGACATAATATAGATAACGGCTTAAACCACGCAGTTTTAGTTGACGCGCATGACCAACTAATATCACTTAATTATTAAAGAAAACTGGAATTTACATAGAGGATTTGGGTGATTACACCTCCACTTTCAAGTCCAGGCTGGTAGTAGTAATATTAACATCCAAATACCAAATACTTAATCATATCCTGTGGTCATCACTAAACCGACGAGGCAGTGTATATCATCAGCCAATAAAAATTATATTATGTCAGGGACGGTTATCAATTGTTGTATTTACCGCATTAGTGTTAATGAAATAATTTTGTGATATTGTGTAGCTTTATATTGGGGAATCTTTAAATTGTTTGGGTGGAAATCTCTTGCTTTGTTATTTTGTGTTTAAGTTTTTGAAATAAATGTATTTAATTCGGTTTTTTATATTATTACAAAAATTTCATACATCTATAGTCTACTATATAGGTTCACTTTTTCCCACAATAGTCTAAGTATATAATTAACGTTATTATCTTAATATAAAAAATAATTATAAATACGAAAAAAATATTTGTCGGAATTGTTACTAGAAAGAAACGTCAACTTGACACTTGAGCAGAAAGGTCATTAGTACGGAACGCCAACTGACAGCGAAACGGAGTTAACAGCGAACTTAACTGTGGCACTTCTAATCGAACCACCAAGGGAATAACAAGTCTCTAGAAACCAAGGACGGTTTCGTTTTTTTTTAGTAAAGTTAAGTCTGTTAGTGTGGTAAACAATATATTAAAAACAAATTTCAATGATCTGGCGACTTAAATGACTATACACTGTTATGTTGAGTCACATAATGCGCCTCATTAGAATCATTATATTTTTTTAATGATAAAAGTGAATAGAGAAGCATGGGAAGTTCACTTGATGGTAACTGCAATACCCCAGCCATATAAAATCGAAACAAGATGCGCTGTTGGCCTATTTTGTCTTTGGTATTTGAAAATTATCAGAGTGAAATTGAAGCGTGAATAACCTTTACGGCTTTTTCATGATAAATTAACCGGACGGAATTTCGATATTCCTACCAGCCATGTAATATCCAGATTTCCAGACGCAGGCCAACAGGTTTCAGAAAAAATATAAGCTGATTAAAACCATATAAATTACAAAAGAATTAATTTCAAGAATTAAATAGAAACATATAACAATCTACAGAGGTACCAACATTGTGTCTGTTTTACGTAACAGTCTCCAATCAATTTACAACTGAGCCGCAGAAGTAAGTATCTTGAATTTATTTCTTTCCTTTGCGTGAACGTTATTCAGATGTTTATTTAAATTTGAAGGGCTCGTGAAAATCTGAAAAAAAAAATGCTAGATAAAATGTCTACTCAATGTTTAAAATTCATCGGGTCCAATCATATATTGTATGGTTAAGACCATACAATTTAAAACATTTATTGTGACCTTAGTCACAAAATTATTGTGACTAAGGTCACAATAAATGTTTAATACTTAATATAAATAATTATGTTAAATTATATACTATACAAAGTAGAAATTACTCGCCACTGCCAGGTATTACAAACCTTTTTACATTTGAAACATTCAGTTGACGTGTGACTTTGTCTATGCGATGTTAAAGCAGTGGACGAATCAAATGTTCTTAAGCACGCTGTACATGAATATCTGAAAACAAACACAATCTATATAATAAAATATAGACAAAATACTCTTGTCGACATTGTAAGTATAGGGTACAATGGTTTCAGTATTTTGAAACTTAATATCACCTGTGGATTACCATCTCGCTATTATCCATTTTACTAGTACTGAGTCGTTTCAAATACAGACTTTTTTCGAGTGTCTACACCATAGACAAGTGTTACTAAATTGAAAATTTTAAATAAAAATCGATTTTAATTTATATTGCCATCATATGCAATAATATAACATGTAAAAAATATTAAAGTTTTAAAAAGTTTACTCCTACCAAATATGCCTACATGCTAATTAGTCTAATAGAAGCAATGCATGGCTAATCGTAGATACATTCCCCAACGGGTCCAAAATATTTGTAATCAACTTCTAAATTTGAAACATTGTGAAATTCGTATGGAGACTGTGGAAACTAAATGTAACAATTACGAACGATCTTTCGTCCGGGTTACGAACGTGAAGCTTCATCCCGTTTCGCTTTCAGTTTATGGATTACCAAATGTCCAAAGCAAAAATTGTTCACCAGTCCATCTAGTTTCGCTGTTATATGGCTGCGTCATTTAACCTTCCGTCAAGTGAAAAAAGATGTACCGATTTTGGTGAAAATCTCACTAGTTGATTCCATAGGAAAATAGACTACCATAGCGTCCGATAAACATTAAAATCGCTTATCTAATATGTATACTCACTGTTTCACCTCAGTATGTTTTAAGCTCACGTAGTGCCGTTTGAGGCTTTTATCACTCTTAAAAGTCTTATCACATTCGACACAGTAAAACGACCTGTCATTACTATGGACAACCTTGTGCGACTTCAAGTTTGAATGTGTTGTGAACGCTTTTCCACATATTGTACACTCGTATGGTTTTATGCCTGTATGTGTTCTGGGGAGTTTCATAACAAGTGGTAAGTATAGAGATGTAGTTTTAAAAAATATAAAGGACCTATGTGGTGCTCGTCCTTCCTTTCTTTTCGTTAATTTAGCTAATGTAATTGAGGATGCTGGGGGCAGAGTGGCCCCAATTCAGAGGGAACGGCGATTTTAAGGCTTTATATTTATATTTTCATAGTTTAAAAATGTTAATCTACAAGAGCACCAAAAATAATTGGGTATAGTCATTTTTCTCTGTATTGAAAATGTTGTTTTTTTGTTATAAAGCCGCTCTGCGTCTCTCAGCAGACTCAATTATAATTCGCACTAAAGAAGACTGGTACAAAATGCCTAGTGGATCACAGGCAGACAATATTTTTAATTATATTGTTTAATTAATACGGCAGAATTATTATCACACTCTGTTCATAGGAATATTAAAAATGATAATTTGACCATAGCGATGGCTTCTATACACAATAATATCATAGACTGTTTTTACAATAAAATTAAAAAACAAAAGCAAACAAAAATTATAGATTACTTACATTTAAAAAAAAAATTGTAGGTACGTGCATAATTTACTTATTACGTGCAAATGTTGTTTTGATTTAATATGTATGTATACATATGTAGTTACTATGTTCCTCTATTAAAATACTTAACAACACACATATTTACATAAAAAAGGTTTTTTTTTCACAAAACGCATTGTATGACGTCCGCTTATTATGACGTGTTAGTCAATTCCTTTCGATGTCATTATAAACGGATTCAACCGTATATTACATAAGTATTGCAATTTCAGTTCCACTATTAAGAATGCGATATGCTTAGAAAGAATTAACAACTAGATAAAAAGAATATTTTGAAAATATCTTACCTCAAATGGGTAATAATATGTTGTTTCGTCCTGAAACTTTTCGAGCACTCGTTGCAAATAAATCTATTATCCCTCAAGTGCGCCATTTTATGTATTTCGAGAGAGTGCGTGTTACTAGAAATAAAAACAAAAGAACATACGTCAAAATCATAAAAACAATTTTAATACGTATATTGGTAACTTTTTTCGTTTAAATAAAAACACTTTAACGGTTCAAAACGCGATAAATATTAGTTAAACTTATTTTAAAATTATTTTTAACTTCGGCGCGACGTTTCTGATGCTTCGCAGCAGCCGTGGTCACGGGGAGACTAATATATATCGCGTTTAAAACCGTTTAAGTGTGTAATACTCGCGTTAACCACAGACAGTATTGAACTTTTAACGCTTATGCTCTCAAATATTGTATTTCGTTGAATAAATGCGGCTAATCTAACCAATTCGTCCACTAAACAGGTACCGCCCGTGTTGTCGACGTTTTTAAATGTATTATATTATATCTACATTATCTATATCGTTCAATAACATAGAAATATTAAAGTTTATAAAATGAGCTCTGTGTGCCTAAACTGTATAATTTCTTTATCATCATGACTTTTTGGATGTCAGTTTGATTCCTGAGACAAATTATAAAAATACTTAATCATTTGCGCGAAAGGTGCATGTATCAATTGGTTAAAAAAAGTTCGACGATGACGTGCAGGACAGGGTAGCTCAATTGGTTAGAGCAACAGCATAGAACGCTGAGGATGCCGGGTCAAGTCCTGCCCGAATGGTAAAATATGTTCAATATATAATCGATTTTAATTTAAAATACATGAAATCCGATATTAATATAGAATACCTAATGAATAAGTAACACGATTAAATTTCAACTTACGTAAATATTTTTTGGCACACGTCGCAAGCGGCAACTATCGGATCAGTCCCACAAGTGGCCCTGTGTCCCAGCGCATGGGCCCACCGTTTGAACGCTTCTCCGCATAACGTGCATCGAAAGCGGCGCTTGTGACTCAACTTATGTTGGGACAAGACAAGTTGGGACTTGAAGTGGAGACAGCATATCGGGCAAACGTGAGCTGCTGTGTCCTGAAATAGTTAATTGATAAAAAGGCAGACAGAATATGATAAAATATACAATATAGGTTGACCGCGCATCTTGTCAAGATGTTATATGGCATTTCACCTTCCATCAAGGGAACCACATGTTTGTCCCCTGCTATCTATATAAACAAATTGAATTTTTCACGTAAAATTACTTTTTTTTTGTTTTTATTTCGTTTCTCATTTAAGTTATACGGTGGCGACACCTTCTCTTTCATTCGGTCGGGCATTAGAGGTTGACAAAAACTTAGGTACGTTAACTTCCACAAACTTTTCCCTTTATTAAAATAAGATTTAATACGATTTTCAGTATTTTTCACGGATGACGGATGGAAGAATGGCTCTGTAGCTCAACGATTTAACATGTTGCCTGGCTTTGCGTTAAGCTTTAGAGATCCTAGGTTCGGATTTTGGCGAAGAGAATAAATTATACTACGTAATATTTATATTGTAATAACATATTAGGTTACATTATTCTACGTTAGCGAGGGCTCTGTGGCATAAATAAATCGTTGCACGGTTTTAATGCCAAGCGAATCTATGTAAAATAGATACAGAAAGTAAGAAATAAATAAAAAAAACGTACTACTAGTCTGTGAATAAAATTGACCAGTGAAATGGACCTACTATGTTTGCCGCACGGTAATAACTGTAGGTACTTATGATAAATTTAAACATATAGATTAAAAATGAATTGAAATATTTTCGACTCGGGCAGGACTTGAACCGGCATCGTCAGCGTTCCGAGCGTCAAGTTCTGCCCGAGTCGAAAATTTTTCAATTTATTTTCCATTTTTAAACTATATACAGTGCCATCATGTGCCAGTAATAAATATTAAAGTTTTCAAATTGGAAGTAAATAATTTAGTAGCAGTAGAATTTTTATCATACTCACATTTTCATGCCTTAAATTATGATCCTGAAACGCGTCCTGCGAAACAAAACCAATTCCGCACTTTTCGCATTTATACAGCATGTTCATAAATTTCACGGATTTCTTTTTAAATTGGATCTCGTTCTTTTGTTCCTCCAGCGATAGATATGTCACCTCAAAGTTCATGTCGGACGCATTCCGTTCACTGAAAATTAAATCTACGCTAATATTATGAAGCTGAATTATTATTATATTTAATTTGTAATACCACTTATATATATAACCTATCTATACTCTGTACTAATATATAAAGCTAACCAGTATATTTGTATGTTTGAACGCGCTAATCTCAGGAACAACTGGTTCGAATTAAAAATATAAAAAACATCACGTTGTGACTAACAGGAGCGAAGAATAAGCGGAAAATGTGGAGAAGAGACAAGGAAAATTATTCATCCTTGTGAGTTTCCGATGCGTACGCGTGTAAAAACGGTTCAAGATTCCCAAAAAAAATATGTATGAAAAATTAATTCTGTTTAAATGACCTACAAAAATATCCGCGACGCTATATGTCTATCTTTTAAAGTAACAGCTTACATTTATAAATGTGAGACCTCCTCGGTTTGTAAAAACAAATTTTGATGCACAAAATAACTGTTCTATGCGGACGAATTTGCTGATACAGCTATTTACTAATATAGATACTTATATAATCTAGGATTATTTTACAAATCCAAATACAATTTGATCTTAAATTAAGTACAGATGTCTGTTTAGTTATAGAAGCGTTTGTCTATTAAGAAGTAAATATGATGAAATCCACTTTAGTTTTTTGTGTCGGTAAAGTAATTTTAAAACAGTATTAAATGTAAGAGACAATGTATTAAAAAACTTAAATACATAGGTTATTTTACTGCATGACAGGATATTTTATTTCATAATGCATTCCTAAACCTATTCCCTATATTACCAGACTGACACACTCATAGATATCCTGCCCTACAGAAACAATATACTTGTTTTCCGAAGAATTAAATTCATGCTTAGGGCATTGCTAAGCTTACCATTGGGCTATAGAGGTAGTCATTTGTTAGAATAATTTGACTCACCTAATATTTTCAGTCTTCTCCTCATTCATATTTAGACTTTCCGTGGAATAATCTTGTTCATTTTTCAGTCCATCTACCTCAAATATAGAACTTTGGTGTTCATCATCATCATCTTCAACATTTCTGTGTTCACTGTCTATGTATACTTCTACACATGGTAAGATATCTATTGCTTCTAATTTTGTAATAACAAAATCAAACGGTTTTTCCTAAAAACAAAATGCATTACAATGTTTAGACACTGTAAGTAATATCCAATGAATTGAAATTACAAAGTTAATGCACCTAAAAATTTGTAAAATAAAATTTATATAAAAAAGGTCTGTTTTGCTAATCAATAGTATTCATCAAGTTAAACGGTGGATTTTTCACACTCTATGCAGTGTAAAGCAATAGAAAGATTAACGGGGTTTAGCTACAGAAGTAGTGAAGAAAAAATTCTATAACCCTTATTAATCAATATTTGTGTATTACTTACTATTTCAATAAGTCTTGTTACTTGGATAGACTTTTGGAGTAAATTCATGAATTTCTTCACTTTGAGTAGTGTTAACATACACAAATCACAAAGAGTGATATTTTCATGCTAAAAATTGAATATATCTTTTAATAAATTTATTATACCGCTAAACTATTTGTATATGTAAGTGTATGAAAATATAAACTAAATAAAAAACAATATCCTTACTTGAAGACCGAAGTTTTGAAAAAACTCCAACCATTTTATATCTAATGTCTTTCCAACTCTAATTAAACATACAGTACAGGTACTTCCTTCTGACATTATAAACAATGTAGACGGGGATATTGTTGAAATAAGTTATAATTATTAAGGAAAACATGAAACAACAATAATAATCGAATATAATATGATAAAAAATACAAATATTTGTATTAAATTCAAGGCAAATTATCATCTATTGAATATGACAATGACAATTGATAATTATGATTTTTTTTTTTGGGTTTTTATGACCTGGTATGTACAATTTTTAGGTCAACTCTTATTTTCAATAGCACATTCATAGACGTAATATTACGCCTATGAAATAATTATGATAACGAAATGCCACAGAAAGTAATAATGATTTCTAAAATAGAAAATTAAGTTAACAATAACAGAGTATATAGTTTGATAATCTGTATTAAGCAACACACAAGCAAGCGATATCTGTGACCTAAACCTTGTAACGCTACACCTACCGGCCTACTGAAATCTCAATTTTAAAACAAATTATTCAGAATTCCCAAGATTTCTGGTTCTGGGTCTTTTAGTATAAGTTTTGTTTTGGTTTAAGCTACACGCGTGGGAGATTTTCTCCTTAGGTTTGTGTTCATTAAATAAGACATATGTTTTTTGTGAATTACATGACACATGTTGAAAAAGTTTCACATTATTGTATCTCTACTCTGACTTCAGCGATTACAATGATTGTTACCTCACTTGTTTCGCATTTCGTTGTATATTTTATGAAAATACGTGTATAGATAAAAGGTTTTATATTGATTAACTGGTGTTAAGGTGTCATTTGTATTAATATGTTGGACTCGCAAAAATAACAAACACGCACTTTTCTAACCTATTCTAGAAATTAGGGTTTGTTCTTCGTCTTTGTAAGTAAAATAGGTTGCCAATAATACTAAATATACAATTATACATGCATAGGTTTAAATTCTCAATGTGTTGCAACTAAAATGAATTGGTGTTTTAAGCTTCTAAGGCTTACTTATTTTCATTTTTAGGATTTCAAAAAAGAAACTGTAATAAAATAATATCAAGAATTGCATTTTGTATGGAAACTTTGTTTAAGTTGGAAAATCATTGTGTCCCTAGAATTGCCATGGAGTTTTCTCAAAACATACTGTGTATGTTTAGTCTGAATTTTTCAATTATTCACTTTAAATCTTGTACCTGTACATTATTTTTACATGGAAGTTGATTTTAATTCAAACATGTTTAATTATTTTTTTATTATATTTAGTTTGACTAGTCAACAAAGGACTATTTATGGTTACTCTAGTAATCTCCATTCCTGGCATGCAAAGTCGAAGTCCAAAATTGTCATTCTTTACTTTAAAATGCTGTCTTGTCGTATACAATTTCCATCTTTTTGAATTGTTTCAACCATTTTGGATTCTACAGATACAGAACATTGTGCAAAGGATATGCTTTTTTGTTGGTTTGAGCTTGTATGGTCTGTCTGTCTATGTTATTGAAGTCTTGCATTTTAGTAGACAATTGTATCAGTTTAATTATAAAAACAAAAATAGGATATACTAGTGTTGTGACATATTATATATTTTGTCTGCCGGTTGATCTGTTTGTCTGAAAGGGTTCTATTAAGTACTTCACATAATTGGTACGCTTGTATAAAGTTCTAATATTTAGTTGTACAACACTTCTGCTCATACATAAAAAGGAATGCTTTTTATGTGAAAAAATTTTTGTGTTCATTATTAAGAGAACCTTCTACTACAAAACAAGTAGTAAATATGTTGTCGCACTGTACACATTGTGAAACCCTATTGTTTCAAACATGCAAAGGAACACTAAACGTGGGCTGCGTTTTCGCTATTTGCACACAAATTAAGAGTTGTACTGTAAGTATGAAACAGTAATCAATTATATCAATATATATTTTAACCCCGTTAGTGTTGAGCAAAATGGACCTATTCAATAAACACTGGCCAAATTTCAGTTCGTTCACACGTTTCGTCACGGTTCGTGAAAAGCATTAAAAAACCAACGGTAAAACAATATTCACATGATTGAAAAGGCTGTGTATGTAATATGAAATACAAACTAAAGAATGACACGATAGATATTGTTTTTTCGTATTCGTACATATACGTCAGATTTTCATCATAATTGTATAGGTATATACAGTGTAAACTATATAGCGACACTGATAAGGGACTGTGCATTTTATTGCGTTATAGAGAGTTGCCGTTAAATGGAGAGAAGAAACATCAGAATTAGAAAAAGAAAAAGTTTATTTCTGACTATTGTTAGTAGTTATGTGCATAAAAAAGAATGTTATTTGAACACTATTGAGTATAGTCTGTTATTTTTGGCTGACGTCTTTTGCTGCACCAGTAATTTTGTTGTATTTTTTAGTTATTTTATTAATATCTAGCAATACTGAGGCATCTTGGTTATAAAGGAAATATTTTTCCAATAATTTTGCTGCTTCCAGAGCTTCTTTAATGCTCGGCGGAGGCTCAGGCTCATCCGTCTCATCTTCTTCATCACCTTGTTCTTGATCCTCAGTTTTTCTCACTGAATCCAAAATTTCTTCGTCTGTGAGTGAAGCCGTTGTAAGCAGGCGGTCGTCCACTTCAATGTAGGTTTGAAGATTTACCGTATTTCCTGCCATGTTGAATTGAACAGCTTTATCCAAATCTTCGTATATAGGTTTAATTTTTTGGAAGATTTTCCCTTAGTTGGTTATCGTGTGTAGGTGATCAATAGTGCTAAACTGTGGCCGAAAGCCGGCTTGGGCAGGTGGTTGTTGTTCGTCGAGAGTTTTATGTAGTCTTTCTCTTATCATAGTCATAAAAAGTTTATACATGATTGAGAAAATGCTAATTGGTCTGTAATTGTCTATGTTATGCTTGTTCCCCTTTTTATGTATCAAAGTTATATTGGATAAGAGCCACTGTTTCGGTATAATTTCACTTTTTGCAATATTGTTAAAGGTTAATAGTATGAATTGAAGCATGCTATCATCTGCGTATTTAATTATTTCACTGCAAATACCATCTGGTCCTGCTGCCTTTTCATTTCTTAATTTCCTGGCAGCAGATCTTACTTCGTCAACTAGAAAGTAGTCCCATTCTGTTTGTTCGTTCGTATTGTATACATTGATTCTGTAATTATTATTTCTATATATTTTTCTATAAAAATCACTAGCCGTTGACACTATTTCTTCCCTATTTTTTACCTCCTTTTCTTTCGTATTATTAATAAATAAGATTAATTCCTTTCCTAGTGTCATTACGCTTTCTTTAGACTGCAATTATGAGTAAGTAATTCTTCTATTTGAGTCAATCTGTGATTTTGTTAATCTATTTTTTTTAGTTTTCTAAGTCTTTTGTTTATTGCTCGAAGCCTGTTCTTTTCGGATCTAGTTTTGTTTTCTTTGAAGTTTAGCCGAGTCTTTATATCAAGAAGTCTATTTGTCTTTTCGCTGTATATAGTGTCTTCTTGCTTATCTATTGATGCTCCTTCCATTGATAGTAACAATGTTTTTAATTTGTCGAATTGTATCTGCACTGAGTCTGACTCTTCTAAATTATTTATGAGGGGCACGGCTTTTGTGCGCGTAATCATCGGTATTACTGTGTTTTTAACATTCCTGAATGGTTTTTGGGGTTTTTTGAAATCCCTTCGTGGTTTAGATATTTTTAGGGTTAGCTGTAATGGCCTATGGTCAGAATCAAATTGAATATTTCTTATAGTAGAAATATTATGTAAGTTATTTTTATTAGGTATTAGGAAGTAGTCTATCTGAGTCTTATCTGTTTGATTTGGGTGGCTCCAAGTCCATCTTCTACTTATTTTGCATTTGTAAAATGTGTTTCCTATTTTTAGGTTAAGTGATTGAGCAAGTGCTATTAATTGTTCGCCTCTTAAAATTTATTTAGAGAGATCATGCAGTCTTTTGATCTTTTCTCCTGAAGTGGACGTGTCCCTCCATGTTTTCTTGTCATGCCTTTTTCAGAATGTTCAATCCAATAACGCACAGAATTTTCTGTAATACCTAGAGTGCTTAAAAACGTTTTCATACATACTTGAACACGGCCTTGAGACTCAGTGTTTAAAAAATATTGCTTGCTCAAATTTCGTCTTGAAGCAGAATCTATCTTCTTTATATTTTGTTTTCTATTTCCACATTCAACATTAGAAACAACATACTGCTGCCTCTGAGACCAGTCCATTTGTTTCCAAAAAATAATAAAAATTTCTTGTCTCTCTGTCTCTGCTATGTTGTTACATCCACGAAGTTTGGATTTCTTACAAAACTCAGAAAAGCAACGAGGTCCTATTTCACGCGCAGGCCGCATAACATCATGTAATACTTTAAACTTCTCTTGCTTGCTATCTCGCCGATATCCCATGTACGACTCTCCCTCTAATCTTAGTTTTTTGCATTTATTTCTAGTCCACTCCCTTTTGTTATCCGACTTTACTTGACCTTTAGATTTTCTTTTACGCTTAGAATTAAGATCTCCAAAATATTCGTTGTTAGTTGATTTTTCGTTTTCATTAACTTCTACATTATCAACATCTTGAATTAAATTCTGTTCATTATCAATTAATCCATCCGTTACAGTTGTTAGATCAGGTACGTTCTCGTAGCTCATTTCTTCTAAAGATACTACTCGTGTTTGTTTTTCAAGCATTTCTTCTGGTTCTTGTATCATAGTTGTTTCTATTACTTCTTCTGTTATTATCAATGCAGACTGATCAACTTCTTGTAATGTAGTAATTACATTTTCAGTAGTTATATTTAAATTATCGTGTGCTAAAATTTGCTATGAAGTCTGTGCAACTAAATCAGAAGCTATTGTATTTTCATCATTACCTAATATTAATATAGGTAAATTATTAAGGTCTAGATTTTCAAGGTTTGAAATTGGGTGTATAGAATTGTGGGTGAGTGATTTTGGTTTTTTTGGGGGTATTTTTATCTTTAATTTTTTGCAGAGTTCAAGTATAGTTTCATCTTCGTCACTGCTCATTTTGATTCTTTTTTCTGAAAATGAAACAAAAACAATTATTATACCTGTTAAATGAATAAATATACTTTCACTGCCTAAAAAACATCTACATTACTATCAAAAATTTTTATGTTGGTCAATAATTTACTATTTAACTTAAAAATTAAAATATGATCGTTAGGTTAGCCACAAAACCGTTACATTAAAACACCACTTAACTTCGAACGGACCTTAGAGCAACACAACGTAAGTCAGTACCCAAACTTTCAATAGCATTAACTAACTAAATTAAGCTTATAACAATATAAAAACATCAAATATAAATACTAAAAATATCTTAGAAATAAAAAATGCACAGATTTTAATAACACAGTAATATTTTCTTACCTTTTTTCCTCTAATCGTCAGGAGCAACCGTGCAGTACATAACACACTATGGCACAAAGTGACTTACGTACTGTTTCCAGATATATCACGGCCATTTGGTAGATCCCGTGTAGTTACACTTTCTTCATTTCACGAGTTTCTATTGGCCAATACTTTTTTCTGATTGGCTCAAACGATGCGTGTTCCGATTCTCTAGCGAATGGCATCAAAATGTCAAAACCGCCAAAAAATTACTTACGTGGTGTTAGAACTTCAACGACGATATTTTGTTTTAATTCGAAAATGTGCAACGGCCATTCTTCTATATAATTCTTGTGAACTACACAACTTTTTTGTCGTATCGTGTATTTAGTGTTCAAAGAGTGTTCTACTCGCATATGCTTAAATCTTGCTGCATGTTGTTTTCTGCTAGCTCTTTTCAAATTGTATTGAGGTAATTACATTAGGTCTGTGATAAATGGTTTTGGCAGGCAGATCTAGCTTGTGCCCTTGCGTCCCACACCACTCCTCGTACATCAAGACTTCAAATAGCATTTTTTTTGGCAGGTTTCAAGGAATGTCTTATACGATTAGTCCTGTAGTTTCAGACGACGTGGAGAGTGTCCTGAAATTTTTGAAACGGTAATTTTATATAATACAAGTTTAAACAAAAAAAACTTAAATATGGAAATAGTGTTGTTCATGACGAACCATACGCATCTTACATTTTGTTGCTCTTGAAGTTATTATATGCTATACTATTTATATTGAAGGACTGGCAAATTTTTTCAGATTTTTACCCTTCTATAGTCAGTGTAGGAAATGTTTCATGAGTATAATTAAAACATCCTTTCTTGTCGGAAGCTTTTGACAAACTGTTTTATAATACATACTTACATCGGCTTTTCCAACAGTTAACGATGTTTGTCAAAGGGTAAACATTGTCTTCCCGGCGAAATTGTTTTGCTCAGCTGTTCTAAATACTAATAAAGCAAGTAATTTAGGTTTTGGCGAATCAAACTTGTGTGGTCTGATATAATATATATTATTCTTGGGCGTTCTGCAACTAGATGAAAGAATTGTTTTTTCTTTTGGAGATATCTAATATTTAGATAAATTGTCTGTTTTACAGCACGTTCTACTTGGACGAACCTATTCTTAGAGCAGTAGATTATTGTCAGACGGGAAACGATGATACGCACGATTTGGATGAATACTGTAGACATAGTCTCCCTGGTTGCTCTTTCCAAGCAAAAGATGAGGATGGGAATTTAATCGGGGTGCTGGTCTGTGACCGTTGTCCAGTTGTGAATGTAAGTGACGATTGAAAAATAATTTTGTGATTGCAAGGCCACTTTGGTCTTTCTTTTAAAAAAGGGCCGTATAAATTTCATCGCAATTTATTTCTCCAGCCCACAGATTGCTTGACTGCTCTTAAAGACTGTAAAAGTCCAAAATACAAAACGGTCATCCGTATGCAGATAATGCGCGAGATCATTGCTGAGATTTGGAATCAGTACCCGAATGACAGCGAACTCATTGAAATCAAAATGGCCGCTACTGATCCAAAATGGCGGAACAAAGGTGTAATGAATAAATTAATGGGCGTAATTGAGTGAGTTCGTCAATGTCCTTATTTTTACTTCTGTCGTAAAATGCTTTAGTATTCAGAACTGTTTGTTCTCGAAATTTTTTCTATCCGCCTGTTCCGCTCCTTCGGGATCCAGATCCATGTTATGTCGTTATGAGGATTACTAAAACATCAAAAAGGGGCACTCTAAAGTCAAGTCCGATGAACTATCAAAGACTTAAGCGAACTGTATTTTTTTAGCAGCTTTTTAAAAACTCTTGTGCTGTTAGCATAAATGTGCTTAGCTATAGCAATCAAATAATATTTATAGTAAATATAATTTTACCCGGGCTAAACGCGTCGCGTAAAGCCTGCCACCGCACCGCTTTCGTTTCACCCTTAAAAGATAAAGTAAAACATAAATTGCATGAGACTCTTTTCTTCTTTTACTAGCACTGGACGCAGGTAACCAGCTTTATATTAAATCGTCTAATTTTTATGTGTTGCATTTAGCTAGTCAGTCTAGTAACGTAATATAACTTACAAGTTTAGAGAATAAGGTATTAATTCTATTGCATAGCATTTAAGTTGAATCGTTCCTTTCAGGAAAACTGCGCGTGACCTAGGAGTTAGACTGTTAAGAATCGAAACTTCTAGTGCTTTTTCGGCAAAATCTGCAGAAAGTAAGGGATTTAAATGCATCTTCAGCCGCCCGTACACAGAATTCCAATTCGACGGAAAGCCCTTCATTATTACTGAACCACCGCATTTAGACGATAGAATATATATAAAGGAGCTGTTTTAAGAGAAATAACAAAGGAACATCCACTCTACTTAACATAGGGCTCGGCTCTCACCATGACTTTTCAACTTTGCTTTCCAGATTAAACGCAATTGGTTTGTAGTCTGTAAATGCGTCGCTTTCGTCGACCTGCCATTTGTTAATGCACTGGATAATCGTGTATGTACTGACTGTTATGTCCAAGACTTCTTACCTGTTTCGAGTAACAAAATTGGCTGTTACAGCTTTGTTTATTATTACCAAGGCCTGCGGTACCTAAATCGGCATCATTGCCGCACTCGTGTAAGGGCATGACGTATACGTCCAGACATTACGCTTCCCTGCTTATGGCTGGGCCGACTCGACGACTTTAGCCAGAACCTGTATAGCCTGATAGTTGAGCCATACATTCGCATTTACTATATCTTGTATATACTCAAAAAAAGTCACATTCCTAGCGGCATTGTCTCTATGTATATGAGTGTCCACTCAGCTATACCTAGATCTTCGTTTAGTTATATAGTTGTTCTGGCCAAATGTTAAACCTCTTTATCAGCGTAAGAGGGTCATATGCTAAATCCTCTAGGCTTCTCGGAAGCCAGATGGCAACTTTACGTCTGTTAAGTCTAAGAACCTCCTAGTGGAATATCTCCCTGGTCTTCGAAGTCACAGCCAAGTAGCCATGCAATGGCATTTAGATCTTCCCCAGTATTTGGAGTTACTAGGAAGAAAGCTCTCGCGAGCGAGAGTCTCAAATATAGAGCTTCTAGGATTCAATGTTTCTTCTCACTCTTTCTCGCAATGTTGCTCCGCACAATAGAAGTGAGAGCAAGTGCCAATGGTAAGACGATTATTATTAGAATCCTAATAATATAAAAAAATATATATTACTTAAAAACTATATACTATGTGTACTTCGTTCTAGCATAATTTTAAGGTAGCGAAATTAAAAAAGAGAACTCAAATGACGGTGCTTTAGAAAATAAAACCATAAAATGTTGTTTCGAGATTCATGACGGCAGACATTGAGGAAAGTGAGTCTGTGTGGATGACAGCCGTGGGTCAAGTTTTTGTTGCATATGTGCATGCGTGTTGTGGTGAAGTTTGACGAGTTTTGTTTGTACGTGTTTATTATGGGTGCTTTCGAGCCGTTCTCGCGTTTGCTACCGTCTGTGTAAATGTGGTGATACGCGGAGTGATTAATTTGATTGTATGTGTCGGGTGTGAGTGTGTGAATTGAAATACGTTCAGCTGGATGTAGTGTCTGAAAAGTTTGCAGGTTTTTCGAGGGGGATATCGTTAGGGATTCTCTTTGAAGTAAGATTGATATGGGTTGTGTCTATTTCGTGGGTTTTTTAAAACTGAGATCTAGAGGTGTGAAACAAGCTAGGGCAATGGCAGCGTTGGCGGATATGGTTCGAAACCCACGAATGGCTTTAATCGCGAAGCTACGTGGTAAGCTTATTAATTTATTTTTGATGCTACATGACCCCATATATTCGCGGCGTAGGTTATTATCGGTTGAATCACTTTGTTGTAAATTATACTATTATCCGGGTGGGGCCCCTAGGTGGGTCTGGTGTATATTTGTATTAGGGAGTATTGTCGAATAAGATTTTGGCCTGCGAGGATTTTGGTGTAAAAGACATTGTGTTTTTGTGGGGCCGAAATATAATTTTACGCTATTGCCCCATACGCGAATATTTTCCAGCGCTGTATTGAGGGCGTTTTATAGTTGATAAGTCCTTCGCCGATCCAATCAGAAGGATGTCATCAGCGTAGGCTTGTATAGTACATCCTGAGGGTAGAGTGGTGTAACTAAGGAAGTCGTTAATGATGATGTTCCACAGAATGGGGGCCACGTGCAGAACCCTGTATGCATCCTTTCTCTGTGGATTGCGTGAGAGTAGTATTCCCTAAGTGTATTGTGACCGAGCGATTGGAGAGGTAACAACGTAGGGTGTGAAAGATATTACGCGGGCATTTAATTTGACACAGGCCTTCAAAGACGGCTGGCCACCATGCATTGTCGAATGCAGCTTTATTGTCCAGTGAGACTGCGACAACAAGTTTTTTGTTACTTTTAGATGTTTTTATAGCTTCTAGTGCTGATTGGATTGCCTGGGTAGTTCCTGTTCGTTCGGTGAAGCCGAATTGGTTTTTATTTAGTAGGTGTAGTTTATGGGCGTTATAAGTGATTCTTTTGGTTAATAGTTTTTCTAGCACTTTTCCGAATACTGGTATAAGACCGATGGGGCGGTATGATGAAAGTTCGGGGTAGTCAGTAAATAGGAGTGTACATTAATATTATTTAGTGTGTTTATATTCAAAAGTGGGAGATAGTTTTGTACATATTTACATTTTGTAATTGATAAATCTGTTTGTAGTTTTTAAATAAAATCACATTTGTTATCTCTAACCTGAAATTAAAATACCTTTCAATGTTTTGCAACGTGCTGTGTATTTTTTCTAAACTCTCTGCAATTCTGCATAAAGCTTGTGAGCTTGCCACTGCAGCTTGGGCTCTCATTTGAGAGTAATACACGAGGTCACGTCCCGCTGTTTCCCGCGACATCGGTGGCTCGCGCTTGCGTCGCCGGCGCGTGGGACGCGGTACGCCAGCCTCCGATGATACTACTGCTGCAGTATATTGTGTGGGTGGATAAGGAGAACATGCAGGCTGTTGGAGAGGAGAATCATCTGGTTATATGAGCAATGGTTCTGGGGTCGGTGGAATAAACATACTTTGGGAGCCTGGAGATTCCTACACTTCTACAGCAGCAGTACTTCCTGAAGGCTGTCAACAAATTAGTAGCTAATGTCTTGCAACAACCATAAGATCAATAACATAAAAAAGGGATACTGCTTATTTTCTCTCACCTCTGCAAAAGGTTCCACCCGGACACCTGTCAACCCTTCTCCAAAATTCTCTCCAAGTATTTGAAGGAATTTTTTTCTATCTCTGACAAGGGTTGCTCAGTGGAAGGCCCTCCGCCGGTTCTAGCCTGGGAGGATCGGACAACAGCGGCCCTTTTCTTTAGTTTTGCCTTGAAGTCCACCCAGTACTAACATAATTAAGTTAGTATAATATATAAATATATTCATGTACAAACATTAAATAATGACTTTAGACCAGCCTTTCCAATCCTTGTGAGCTCCTTCACCTTGCTAGTTAAGGCTTTCTGTTATTTCAGTCCATTTCCTTTTAGAATATTCCTTAGCGTGCAAGGATCGGTTGTAGGCAGTAGCTATATCTTTGTGGGAAATTAAATAAACTTTCAGAACTTCCACGAAAGATCTAGCTGCCGCCCCGAAACCCGACGAGCTACAATCCTGCAAAATAAATTAAAACACTTGACTTTAGCCACTTAAAATTTTAGCTAAACGAAAGATATTTATTGGTTTTATTAACTAAATAAATTATAAAAACACTATTTTGAACTTGTACTTACTTTCCGTCTGCCATTTTAAAATTGAGATTCTTGATTCATTTTTTTTTGGTCATTGGGAAATTTGCAATTTACTTTAAACATACAAACTTTAGAATATTCAAGCGTCCCCGCGCCGAATTTCACTGACACCTCGTCACGACTTCCCTATTTTTGACATACTTACGTCTTAAATTTATGATAAGAATTAATTTTATATAAAAAAAAAATGTGAGCCGTGACGGGACGCCTGGCAGATGTGAAACATCGCCATTATTTTGTAAAAGTAATGTGCAGAAAAGAACATATTGTGATAGGAACTAAATATGTCATAATGATAAAATAAAAAAATAATTTGTCTTCAAGTAAAACATAGGTTATGTTTACTGTAGTAAACAACACTGTGTACACTACGGAGTATACACTATAGGTATTCGAGCTCAGTGTAGCGAGAAAGATGGCTTAACGCCAGATCGAGTGGGAGAGAATCGCACAGTCGATTGCGCACACCGTACACGCTACTGCATATAGACTGTATATATATACCATCGTACAGCGTGGCGACGCGTCGCCACGGTATGCGTCGCCACGCCAGAAATCGGTTTTACGTGCGGCTATAGATGTTTCACATCAAAAAGTTCAAATCTATTTGAATATACTTTTACTTATTTTAAAAACTTTACACGTATATGGTTAAAAGATTAAGTACCCAAAAATCCAAAATATTAACTGTAAGCGCGTGTTTCGGAACACTGCGAAAGTGATGACGCTATACGAAAAAGATTAGCTATCTCGCTTTCTCCTTAAGCAGGGAATAGACAATCATTCGTTCTTTTACGTCACTACGCAGGATTAAAACATTATTGTTTTAAATTGGTCATGGTACGAATCTGAGTACTCTACTTTGAAACTCACAAGAGGGAGTTCTGTTTCGAGATGGATATATTTCTGAATTTCATGGAATATGCTCTTGAAGAAGTGAAGGCAAAGGAGTTGAAGAAGTTTCTGCAAAAGGTCCGGAAATATTTATTATTTCTACTGCGTTTTGTACTCTCTGTACCAATATTCATATTAGACGTGCCTGCAATCACAGCGGCTGGTACGAAATCTGTGTCACCAAAAGCATATTAATCAAATCCATGAACTGCATTTTGAGCTACTGCACGTTTTAGAAAAGCTGGTGATAACATTCTGTCTACATTGATTTATAATGCGCCCTGGGTGCGATTTTTGGAAGAAATTTACCTCCCTCTCAAAAGAAAGTTTTTAGCGGGCCCTAAGCCCCTACATCCATTGGCTGCATTTGATAAGTTGTGTGTGGGGCCAAGGATAAAATCACAACATTGTACTTGCTGACGTAATCTAAAGCTGAATAATACTTGTAGCTCTCATGGTTATCCAATAATAGAAGTATTTGTTTTTCAGGGGTAGGTCGAACATCTTCCACAAAAAAATGCATCCAATGCAAGAACACCTCAACAACAATTTAGAGTACAGGTTACTCCAAATTGTTGGACTTCAGGTGAGGTTAGAGTGCCGGGAGGCGCACCATCTGGGTTGTATCTTTTTACTAGCGAAAATTAAAAACGGTGGGAGAAATGAACCAGCAGCTTTACAGCAACCTGACCATTGTGCCCACTTGTTTCCTTCCTTTCGTTGATAGCACTTTAGGCGGTTTATTTGTAGTTGTAAATATACCATCACATAAATCTCGCTAAAAGTCGCTTCGATGTTTGCCGCGTACTAAACCAAAATGGCCGAAGGTTACAGTGGTGGAGTGTTGAGTGAACAACTAATATTTTAGGAGTAGAGGGGAGTTTTCTTTCTGCCCGGGGTATCCACTTTGGTGCAGCCTTCCCCTGACTAGCACTTTTTGTGGTTTTTGTACTGTCGTGGATGTTCCAGATTAAATATCCTGGTTCCATCACATAAAGCACTGTTTCGTAAAATAAGATCTTCTAAATTGTCGTAAAATTTCCCGACATTGCTTTGGTTGAAAGAGGTTCAGGCTTTTTTGATGTGATATTATGTCTGCGTCTAAATGAAATTAACCAATCCTTGCCAGCCATTTGATTAGTCTCCCAAGAGGCAGGCAACTTTATATTATTAATTATAAAACACTGATATGCTACTTTTCGACTTTCGGCTATCGGTGAATATTTTATTGACCGATATAACCCACCACTACTTTTTTCCTTTTATTGAAATCCGATAAAAGTTGATAGACTGATCCATTTTGTCTTTTACAACGTAGTTTTTTCTTTAACCGTTTTGGCAGCGTACACAATGGAAACCCATAATAATGCTCCCCGTTTTTTTTTTTTACATTTCCCGCTGTTTTTTCGCTCTTATTAGTTACAACGCTATGTTTTATAGCCTTCCTCAATAAATGTTCTATGCAACACAAAAAGTTTCAATTCGAACCAGTAGTTCCTGAGATTAGCGCGTTGAAACATACAAACAAACAAATTCTCCAGCTTTATATACAGAGTGTAAATGGAACAGTTCTGAAACCCTATGAGACCATATATTATTAAATGTACAGCGTACAGCCCTGAAGCGTATTGCAATACGTTTTGTAAATACTCGTATTATTAGATGAATCATTTTTACGTTTATTGTACCTATCCTGTGGTAAAAAGTGAACACTGCTACAAATTGTTTTGCGTTTGTTCGTAGGACTCGAGACGAAAAAAAATGCAATACCTACATGTCATACGTAAAATAACGTAAAATACAGCAAATGATAAGCAATTTAACAAAAAACTTACATTTAGATCATATTATTATGTTAAAACTATTTACTTACGTGAAAGATAAAGATATGGAATACTGAATAACTGATGTCGTGGTTACAGAAAAATGTACCGGACTCGTATGTATGTATCGTTATACACTTGCAGTAATTATTAACTATTAGACACTACACATCCACCTAAGAATAACTCATCTGTAGAATTAACAACCAATCACTTAAGCATACGTACGGCCTGGAAAAAATGTTTTATGGTAGGAATTTAGGTACATATAACATGAAAAATAATGAAAAAAATTTGGTATAAAAAAATAGGTATTCATTATGAAAAAATGTGTATGTAGACAATTGGCAACACTATGCGTGAAGTACTAAATTTATGCTTACATATTTGTAGGAGCCTATAAATCAACTCAATCTAAAAATAAATAATATACAGACTATTTTGAGTGAAATACAGCAAAACAGTTTCGATTTTTAGTGTAGCACAATGCAACCTTACATTTAGTACACTCAGTCCCCGGAAATCCTTCAGTCCGCACGTCTGTTGGAGGAACGGGTTTCATTGAACCCCGATGTCTTTTTGCTTCGATCTCCCGGTGTATATTGCTGCTTGAAGGCCTTCCTCTTTTGGGTTCAGTATTTTTTTTTATAATTGCACAATGTATCCGCGAGATCTGATCTATAATCACCTAGTGTCATGTTTGGGTGGTGTTTTTTATAAAGTACCCATGAATTTATTATCGCCATATCTATCATGTGATAAAATAATCGAATGTACCATTTTCGACTTTTGATTAGAATTTTGTAGCGGCCCAAAAAACTGTCCATCAAATCTACTCCACCCATGTGGGCATTGTAATCTTTTACGATTTTTGGACAGGCAACAGAGACTTTTTTCTTTTGTTTCTTATCAAATCTGCTGACAGCTGATAAAAATTAGCATGTTATTTTAGATAAAAGTTTAAATTCGCTCTGATGAACACTCCACCATTAGGACTGTCATTCAAATTAATTCGCTTCTTATAGCGTAAAGTAAGTAACTCTTACTTGAGAATTGCGTCAGGGCTAACAATTTCTGTTGTCTTCTGACTCTCATCTTCACTTGATGAATCGAGAATCATGGCAAGATCACATTGTTCGAGAAGCCATGTCTACGATATTTCTACTAATCTTTATATCATATTTAATCTTTTCCTCGGTTATTGATGTTCTTATAGCGAAGAACTAGGTATGTGGCTATTACATATAAGTTATTCTCTTCCAATAAAGTGGAAAATTTTCCTGAAATTTCAGCTTATAAAGTTGTGGCTGCCTAGTGAATTGAAGATTCCGGTGAAGCTGTAAAATAGTCACTAACTTTTTGCGTCAGTATTCGAATTATTGGAATCACTGATGAAATGAGAGAGATCCTTTGTCTCGAATCATGCAATGCACTTGATCATTTGAGATATTCCATTCGGTAAGCATTATCACATGTATATCACCTGTGTGACGGTCGGCAAAGATCTCACATTTAAAAAAAAATGAATATTGAGGTTTGACGGCTGCTGCGATTTATTTATTCTCTGCATACTGCTACTACGCAAGTGTGTATAAGAGAAGAGTTATTGAAATTAAAAGTTTTTATGATCTTTATTTTTCGGAATCCACAGACAGTTTTCAGCTTGATAGGGCTCTATGAAGGGAAAAGTTTCTTATTTACTCATACTTGCTATAATTGTATTTGATATCAATAAATCCTCACTAAAAAATACGTCCGCACAGAATGGGCGCTCGCTGCGAACTGAACGTGTCGCCAACGTGGGGACGCTACGGCCATCACTGTGCCATTATTCCGCCATAACCCTTTGATCTGCGTAGAAAAACCGACACCAAACGGATCTTGCGCCTATAGTCCAATGCCTACCAAATAAATCACCAACCCCCGTTCTACACAATGGCCAACACGTATTGGCTAATATATTCGCCACGGCGCCAAGTGCAATGCCGCTAATTAGCGCCCTCTAAAATTGTATATCGGTGCTATTTCTTGTAACAGTCTGCAAAAACCAAGTCCTTCCAAAAAAAAAAAAAAAAAAAAAAAAAAAAAATACCTCCCCCCCCCCCTTTTTTTTTTTTTTTTTTTTTTTTTTTTTTAAATAATTTTTTTTTTTTTTTTTTTTTTTCCCAAAAAAAAAATTTTTTTTTTTTTTTGGGGGGGGTTTTTTTTAAAAACCCGAGGGGAAAAAAAAAAAAAAAAAAAAAAAACATGTTTATAACCCAATTAATTAATTTTTTTCCCAATAAATTAAAAATAAAAAAATTTGTGTTTCACCTTTAGATTAAATTCAGTTTATATGACAAATCTAAGATTTCGGATTTAAAAACTAGGCTTGTGCTTAGTAACTCCACTAGAAGATTGGATATGAGACATATCATTCCAGCCAAAGACACATATCCAATAACTATATCTATGTCTGCTAATCATATCCGCGGTTATGATGACGTCAGAGAGCGAGGACAAGTCCCATATCGCGGAACTATGTTTCGGGGGGGGGGGGGGGGAGAGAGAAAAATTTTTTTTTTTTTTGGGGGGGGGGGGCCCCACAAAAAAAAAAATTTTTCCTCCCCCCCCCGGGGGGGAAGATATTTTTTTTTTCCCCCCCCCCCCCCCCCCGGGGGGGGGGTCCCCCCCCCCACCTATTAATAAAAATAAAATTTTTTTTTGGGGTGGGTTTTATTATATTTATTTTATTTTTTTTGTTTTTGTGGGGGTGTTGTTGTGTTTTTTTTTTTTTTTTTTTTTTTTTTTTTTTTCTTTTTAAAAAATTTTTGGGGGGGCCCCCCCGGGGGCCCAAAAAAAACCAAAATTAATTCAAAGTAATTTAATTAAAATAAAACTTATGTAATTACAATTTAAATTTACTACTAAAGAAACTAGTCTAGTTCCTATCGATGCTAGATATGGAATGACCGAGACACAGTAATAATGTTTAAAAGAAGTAATTGTGAAATGTGGAAGATTCCCATTAAAACGCAGTGTCGGATGGCGCCGGCCTCCTTTGAGTTCGTCGCTACCTCTTTCCGTCAACGTTGCATTCTTGCCTCGTGTGAACGATGTTGCAATAGTACACGGGGCAGCTGCTTACTTGCGATTTGCTAAGGGTGCGTCCATATAACACCTCCCCCCTGAGAACAGCAACTATTTCTGCATTTTGAGATGGTGAAATATTGCTGTCTTCTGCGATCCAGGATTTTCAGGCTTCGCGTAGATGTCATCTCGAGTAGGGGTGTTCTTTACCTTCGGCTGGCGTTGTAGTAACCCAAAGTGTCTTAGTATCAGGACACCTGAGACTACAAGTACACTTATTAGTATGATAGTGTACAGTGGTATAGTTGTATGATAAAGATAGTTCGCTGGTACTTGTTCAATTTGTAGAGTTGGTTGCGTCACTAGGTGATGCTGGGCTTCATGTAATCTTGTCAAGTCAATTGATTTGAGATAAACGTGGGATGAAGAGTTGGCGTGAGCTTCCTTATCGTATGGTAGTTTCATTATCTTCAAAGGGCGTCCTTCAATTTGATCATTAGTATTAGTGATAGTGAATTCTGAGGTGAACAGGAAACAGTTGACAGGCACTGTGATTAAGTAGGTGCCACTAAGGATGGTGTAGTCATCTCGTGCGCATCGCAGATGAATCTTCGTAGCATTTGGGAAGGATATGATATAGTGCTTCTCGTCAAGTTCTTCCAAGGAGATTCTTGAGAGTGTTATCGTAGTCATCTGGCAGGTCTTGTCCAAGGCTTGGTTAATGATGAGCTCTTGAGTGCAGTCTGGCTGCTGTCGTATCTGGTGGTCCATCTTCTCACCGCAGAGGTACCAGTGATTGTACTTCGGGCATTCTGCCTCCATGTACACGTAA